CTGATGCCATAATGTTGTACTAGATGCAATATTTTTGCTATTTGTGCTGGACTCTTATCTCCTATCCTGCTTTTTGATCAAATGAAGCTTTGCATGTATCCTGCCTAGTAATTACCAAGGTGTCTTGTGCAAGCCTGGAAGTGTGGGGGAACTTTAGGGTGAAAGTTTTCTAATATTTTTCTCTCAGAATAACTTTTCAAACTTCTGTTTAAGTACTGAATTTGGCTTGAGGATGGGGCACTGGTGATCTCTTCTGTGGACCGTTTCTCTCACATAGACAAATTTCATAATATGAATAGGTAAATTTGTTTTGGGGTATTGATTCCTGTGGGATCCCTTCTTCACTGCAAGCTGGCATGGAGCAGTATTTGCAGTAATTTACAGGGAGGGTAGGGATGAGGTGCAGCCAACCTCACATTCCAGGCTCTTGATTATTTGGACAGTCCTCCCCTCCTTCTGCTTGTGGTCACCTTGTTTGGAGTAAGCTTCTTCAGAGGGTTGGGACCTATAAGCAAGCCTCAAAAATAAACCTTATTGTTGTGCTCAAGTCTGAATCCAAACTATTACTTCTTTTCAGAAGATAAACAGTTTCTCTCAGTTTCTGTTGAGGCTGGCTTACCTCATATCTCTGTCACATGAATTTGAGCACCCATTGAAGTAATACACTTAATATTCTGCACTGCAAATACAGACATAGATAAACTTTGCATGTCATAATGTAAAATCTGGGGAAGAGCTTAATGTTTATGCATTTCTGAAGGGGAAAGGACCTATTGTGTCTCCAGTCATCTGGCCTAGGTGAGATTTCAGTTCTGTTGGGAAAATTAAGCACCTGAAGTGACTTTGATAAGGTCTGGGATCTTTATAAACTGTAAATTACAGTATATAAAGTTCCCCGTACCTTACATGTCAATATACGTACAGAGATAAAAATACTGTCTTTGCAGAGATGATAGGGCAGTGTACATAATTACTGTATTTAAATAACAGATGAAAATTCTACACCTCATCAGTACTAAAAAAAAAGAAATCAGTGTTAGGCCTTGGGTGGGTTTCATTCCTGATCAGGCAGGAGGAGGGAGAAGTTCAGTAGGCTCAGTGATGTGCAGCCATTCGCAGCCACAGGTGATAAAAACAAACAGACCGTGCAAAAGTTGTTCACTCTTTCTTCTTCTTTCTCCTCTCAGTTTATCTCTGCTTTGTGGAGGATTGCCAGATTCCTGAATTCCACAGTCTGGAGAGGAGTTTATGTTCAAAGGGACAGAAAGAACCCCAGATCATCCCTTTCCATTTTGTTATTGCATTTTCTTCTCTTTTTTTCTGGCTCTTAAAAAAAAATAACCAAACAAAAGTTTAATATGGAAAACATAATAGGAAGACCAATTTACCTTAATATCTTGGGCTGCAAATGGCAGCAGTTGACCTGTTTCATGAGCAGCTGGGGATGGCAGCCACTGGAGGGCTGGAGGACAAACTCCCTCCTGCCCCAAGTCCAAGTCTTTGGTGTTCCCACAGTCTTGCTTCAAAAACTGTTTGGGGTCAGTCCTGAAGGCCCTGCAGATACTTGGCCCTTGTAGATCCTGGTAATGGCTCAGACAGTGATAAATGAGAAAGTTTAGAAGCAAAGGGGAGATTGGAAATGCTGGGAGTGCAGTGGCTAAAATGGATAGAAAGGAAAATAAAGCAGTGTGAGCTCTCTTTTGCAGAACAGTCCCTGTTGGATTAGGCCACTTGCCTTTGGCAGTCCTTCTGTCCAGCCATCTATTAAGGGCTAAAATCAGATTAAGAGCACATCCCTTAAGTGTTTTTCAGTGTCACTCAGCCTTGTCTCTGCAGCTTCCCACAGGTTCCCCCCAGACTGATTATGTCTGATAGTGAGGCATCCCCTGGCTGCACTTCTGGGGTCAATGTTTTTCCCTAATGCTGCTTTGCTTTTGTAGCTGAGGTGGGTCCAAAAAGCAGATGGGAAGGAAAGAAGACCTTTTATTTATTTCCAAAAAGGTAGAATATAGCTGGGAGTGGTGGTCCCGTTAGTGGATTCATCTCACTGTAGCTCTGTTCCCATGTACATTTGTATTACTTTCCCATTTCAATGTATTTAATATTTTCTTCAGAGAAGCTGAAGTTCAATCATTAAATTAAAGGATACATCAGAAATTGAGCAGTTCTTAAATAGTGGGAAACATCTTTAGGGGACCATGGGATGGAAAAAATGGGGGGAAATGGCAGAGAAGCTGAGGGAGGGGAGGAGGAGAAGGAAGAGGTGATGAAAAGCCAGAAGCAGCAAAGTACTAGAAAGCTCAGGCAACAAAAAGTTTGATGCAGTAGAAAAAGGAACAGTGAAAGGAGAAAAATTCAATTGTTTTCGACAAAGGATTTTAAAAGAAAATGTCTGTTTACTAACAATGACATTCTGCATTGGATTTTTGCGTAGCATCAGTCAAGTAAAATCACATCTGTGCTGCATGTGGAGGCAGGAGAAGGATGGAGTGGCTTTATTGACAGGCAGGATGAGAAACTTGGGGAGTCTGGGTAGCTGTTCATTATCTGATTGTTTGCAATAACTCTCTGCCTTCCCCAGCCTGATGGAAAGCTGCTCTGCCACATCCCATCATCCAAACAAAATCCCAGTGTTGCTCATTTCCATTAAGATCTTGGCTACTCTGATACTCTAACCTGTGGATTTCTTACAAGGGGGTGAGGTTCTGAAGGGCACAGACCCCAAGTTACAGCCCTGTTGAGATTTTTACTCTAAAATAAAACTAAGATCTTCCTTTGGTGTTTCAATTAGCCATAAAACAAAGCTGCAAAGTGCCCTCTACAAAGGGAATGTCCCTGTGGAGCTTGATTTGGCAAGACTGGGGCCAGAGTGAGTTATGGGAAGGAATTTCTTAGTGCTGCAAAGGGAAACTTGAGCTGTCTTTGAATATAAAATAGGAATATTCATGCTGCCTCCATACTGTTTAGGTAATACTTGGAAAATTTGTTGTTTTCTGTATATGCTTGTTTTGTGCATAGCTGATCCTTGTAGGTGCATTCCTGGGAATCCAAGTTCTGACCCTTTTGATGAGCCCTCTGTCTCACATCAATATCAGCTCACTCACAACCTTAGCAGGAGCCTGCTTTTAATAAGTTTGTTTCAGAGATGGTACAAAATAACAATAAACACATGCTTTGTTTAGATTTTTGTTACAGTCACTAAGAAATCTCTGCCTTTTCCTGGCTGCAGGATGGGGAATGTGCACTTTTATTTCCTTTCTTATCTGCTGGGTGCACACAGGGCCACTCATGTGGGGTGATGGGGGTGACAACAAAGCCAACTTCTCCTCTTTGTCTGGTTTTAGCGGGGAGCTGATAAGTCAAACAAGTGGTTTTCCTCTCTTCCAGATGGAGATAAGGAATGATTACTGCCAAATTAGTCACTGGTTTGTTGATCTTTTAGCATTCACTGTTGTAAACCTTCATCTTGTGCAGAAGTGATGGGGAGCAGTGATACTGAGATTATTTCTTCTCATCAGTAACAAGTTTCTAATCTAATCATCAGCTCTTGTTTTCTGGGATTTTTTAGTTTATTTTGCTTGGGTTTTTTTTTAATTACTAACTGGAAATTTTCTGCCATGAATACCTATAAGACCAGCATGGAAATCTTAGATTTGCTACTTGATGGCATCGTATTTCCAGGAATGTTGATGAGGAGATGTAAAAGCTACTAACAGCTTGTGTTTTGAGATCCTGTGAGTGTTTCATAAAGATGCTGTGTCAGGTTGACAGAGCATATTTAGGGGAAGAAATAAATATCAGCTTACTCTTTAAGTACTATTCTTGAATGCTTGAATTTATTCAGAAGTGTGGGTGGTATTCTTTAAATTTTAAAATTATTCCACACTTCCATCTCCTGTACTACACTAACTGCTGTCAATTAGAAAAACATCCAAAGGTAAAGGATTTGTCATTGAGAAATCTGCTCACCTTGTGAACTTTGAGCCCCATGACCAAAGCCTTTGTCCATCCACAAAGTGAAATCCAATGTCAAATGGCTTTTGGCCTGCTGGGTATGATTTAAGCAAAGACTCTTCTGACCATTTTCTGTTCTTTAGGGAATTACCTTAAATTTTAGGGTCCATACCTTGCATTTCCCAATTTCCCATGCTGCTTAATGGGCATGGGCTAGCCTCCTGTGCAGAAAACATTTGATGAACTGGCTTGCTTTTCCATCAGTTTAGTTTTATTTTCATTACTTTTCCCTGTAATTTGTTTATTGGTTTCCGTATCTTTGAAAATTTTATTACTGTGTTATTCAAGCTAAAAAATAGCTAATTTTTCTTTCCCAAATGAGTTGCTTGAAGCAAAGTACCTATGAATACATGGATATTTTAATTCACTTACTAAAGGCATACAGAGAAAATTTACAAGCTGCCTTTTTACCATTTTTTAAGTGTCTGCTGACTGTTGCATAAGCTAAATTATTTACAGTATGAAGCCTCACAAAAGAGTAACAGATTTGGGTTATTTACTTTCCTGATAAGAAAAGGGGATTGAAGTTGCTGTGATATGCTGCTTTGTTAATTTTATATTTGTTCCCCAGTGTGTAAAATCTTTTTAAAGAACTAACATGAGTATTGGCAGACTCTTTTGAAATGGTGTGGAAGGGGTAAGATTAAACAAAACATGAAAAGGTCTTAAAAATATAAGTCAGCAAGTGTTTGATAAAAAAAAAGGTACTCAACAGTAGAAAATATTTAGGATGCTTAATTTATTTGCTCTGTCTTTGAGAATATTCCTGGATGGGAGGGCAGGAGCAGTTCCTGGGAGTCGTGGGGTGTTAGTGCTCGGCTGGTTGGAGTGGTGCAGGGAATGCCGTCGGGAACGGCCCCCTGGAGATGCCAGCCTGTGGTGAGGCTGAAGGGTTACTTTTGCAGCAGTCCCTGGAAGGTGGCATCCTCGCTGTCCCAGCCCTGGCTGTCCCTGGGGCCTCACCAGGTGTGTCTGTGCCCCTGCAGGTGCCAGCAGCCCCTCGGACAGCGCGGCTCCCGCCGTGGTCATCCGCCCGCACAACACCAGCGTGGTGTCGGGGAGCAGCGAGGCCACCCTGGAGTGCGTGGCCAATGCCAGGTATGGGAACACCTCCAGAGCTCTCACTGGGACTCTGTCCTCTCTAGAGAAGGACAGAGGATGTTAGTTTCATTTTTTTATTGTTAATAATTTGAGATTGAAGAAGGACGCTCACTCTTCAGAGCGACCTTATGAGTGATCTTGTTTGTCTAACGTTACTGCATTAAACCTATTGATTTTTCTGGCCAAATGAGAGTCAGGCCAGGGGTGCTTCCCCATCTAGTCCTCACATGGAAAAGAAAGGAAATGCTGTTCAAGCAGCAGACATTATCTTAAGGAAAAAATTATAGTGAGGGTTAATAATATTTCAGCTGTTGCCTGTCAACAGCAGAGGGGATGCTGTTGAACAGTTGGTGCTTCCTAGTAAATAAATTTAGTGAGGATCTCCTATGAAGTCATTTTTTTAGACACTCATTTTGCAGTGATTACTTCTGAACTGTTCATAATGCACTGTAATACAGAATTCACAGCATTCCTCCTATGTTTCCATCTAGCTGGCCTTGAATAGCTTTGAATTTCAGTGGGAGTGAATAGTTGAAGTCCTTGGGTGATAAGACCAACTGATTTACTTTCCCCTCTGAGGGCAGAGATGTTCTTGATATGATTAATATTGTTTTGGTAATTGAGTTGTAATGAAAGCACTTCCCATGCAGCTGATTCCCATAGCAGTATTTACTCCTTTTGCTTGGAGAAATCAAATTATTAGCACTTAAGTTCTATTGCTGTATCAATTAGCTGTACTTGCATAATGCCACTTGAGTAGTCTGTAGTCCTTGATGTGTAGAAGTTATACATGTATTTACTTTCTAACAGTGTGTTTTGGGGATAGAGGAAGACTTAAAATTCTATAATTTGTAATATTATATTCCTCATGTGTATAAATATATATATGCACTCAGAGATTATTCTGTCATATATATGTTTTCTGATTTTATTCTTGTATTTTTTGGCAGACCTCTTGAGAGGCTGAGTGTGACCTGGAAGAGAAATGGAATCAAGATCACCAGTGGCATCAGCAGCTTTGGGAGACGCCTCACTATCACCAACCCAACCTCTGCTGATGTGGGGATGTACTTCTGTGAAGCCAAACTCAGAGAGAGCACAGAGGAGCCAGCAAGAGCTAAAGCTTTCCTTTCTATCTTGGGTAATTCTCGAGGCAATGTGTTTTTTAGTAAAAAAGGCTCTGGGCTGAGGTATAATAGGAAATAAAATTGATATCTTAATATTTCATTGACCTTACATTTGAACCTTTCTTCAGAGAACAGAACAAAGGAGGTGCAGGAGGGTTATCTTCCAAATTAATTCAGTCGTTCTTCCCTGCTAATATAAATTCATCAAATAGATTTTTTTAAACACTGCTGTGATTGTAAATCCCCCGCGAAACTATACATTTAATGGGAATTTTGAGAAATACAGTAGTAAAATCCTTAATGGGCAGCTTCCCTATCTTGGCTTTTAGGTGCATTAAATCCTGATTAACTCCTGCCTTACTTATGTCCAGTCTTCTTATTGCAAGTGCCTGTATTTTTGCAAGGAGGCTTTTAGGAGCACTCCTGTGCCCTGTGTGCTGCAGGTGCCAGTCAGGGGCCAAAGATGCTCTGCAGGCACAGAGCATTGCTGAGGCAACAGGACAGGGAAGGAAATGCCATTAAAGCAGCTCTGTTTGCTGGACCTCCAGCTCCCAGGGAAACTTTGGAATTCATTATTTTAAAGGGGACATTGCTGCCCTTTCCCTGCCTGTTTCCACCACCACCTCCTCTCCGAGTGTTGCTGTAGGGAGGAGGTTGGAATTTGGAAATGGTGGTTCCTGGCATGTCTGATGAAATTCTGCATGTTAGCCCAATGCACACAGTGTGGAGTGGTTTAGGACTTTTAGACTGAAAGAGGTGGTTTAGATCAGGGACAGTGAGCTGTTTTCAGCCAGACATGATTGTGTAAAGTCAAGCATTTACCTGAGGGAGTGTCCTGGGGAGGTTGGAGCCCTGGCAGTGCCAGCAGTCTCGGTGTTGCTCAGGGTTTGGGCACATGCACTCCTGGAGCTTTGCAGAGGGAATGCAGCCCATGATTCTTTACATCTTTGAGCTTTCTGAAAATACAGTTTTAAAGACTGCTGTATGATTTGTATTCTGCTAAAGCAATTTGTAGTAGCTGCTGTTAAGTGAGAAAGCAGCTCTTCCCTCTGCAAAGCTCCATTCCAGATTCATTTAGAGCACTGCGTGTCTGTTATATTTATTACCTGCTGGACAAAGTTTGGTTCTAGTCTTTTGCCTTGCCCTCTGTTCCTTGGAGTTATTACCTTCTCTTTAAGGAGCACAGATGGATTTACTTATTTATAGGTTTTGTTTAAACTCTTCCTTATTCATAAGGTTTTATTGTAGCTGATTTGCCTCTGTTGCTGTGATGTCAGATCCAGCCTAATGCAATACTTAAAGCAGCCTCTTGGTTAATATAAAAGATTCTTAAATACAGTTACAATAAAACTGAAAAATAATCACTGGGGAATCATATTAAACTAGCAGTGCTTTAGTAGCTTACCTGCTCTCTTATTTTTAAATGTTTTATTTATTTGCTATCCAGTTTTAGGAGGCTGTCAGGGAATGAAGTTATGAAAAGGTCTGTAGATAAGAACAAGCAGATGAAAGAAAGGAGAAACAAATTGGTTACCAATTACTTTTATTTCCTTCTGATGGAACACGACACTTCAGATGCAGGTGTTTACTCAACGTGTCAGCAAAGCCTGATAGATTTCTTTATTTATGAGTTTCTTGAGCTTGCAGGATGGATCTCTAATTCTAAACAGTGAGCCAAATCAAAGGATTAGTAGTTAATGCATAACTTATATTCAGCTTTAGAATTCTTGGATGGATCTGGCTGTCATTTAATTAGTCAAGGGACGGGTTCTAGAGGAAAGTGCAGACAAGATTCAAACCTAAGGCTTTCTGCAGTGCATCTCTCCTAGTCCATGGGGGCAGTACTTAGAGAGAATCAGGAATGCTTGTCCATTTGCATGCATAAAATATTTGTAGTGTGGATGTGTAGATTGGGAACTGATAATGAGCTGTACTTCTTGGGAGAATAACACAGCATGGACTTAATGAGGGGTCTCAACTAACAGAAAAAGGAAATTGGCTTAAAAGAAGAGGTTTGTTTGCAGAATGGGAGAAATCAAATGCAGCCCCTCAATAGCATGGCTGTGAGAGCTTCTGTGGAACAAGAGAGAAAAATATTTTGCTATTAACAGGTAGAACAGGGGTAGCAATAAAAAGGTGCATCAAAGATGTCACAAACAGTGAATTAATCAAAGCTTTTTTCCAAATATATAAGTCCTTGACTTTCCCAGCTAAGAGAAGTCACACAATTTGAGTGTGGCTCAGATGGTGACCAGAGCTCTATTAGAAGGCATTGGAACTTAGCACAAAGGCATCTACTCAACAAATTATTAGCTGTGACCTGCAGTATTATCTCAGAAGTTTTTCTGGATATTTCTGAGAATATATCTCAGTCTGTAAATTAAAATCACAATACTATTGAAAAAACCTGAATCTCCAATGTATTAGAGTAGTACTGCATAAACAAGAAGAAAATCCTCTAGCTGTGTGCTGCTGCACTTTTCTTCTGAATGTGGCAAAGAGCTCCCTGACATCTTCATATTGTTCCAGAAAAGATAAACTGAGGTGGTTCCAAACCTTGGTTTTATTAGCTGCAGTTGTTATAAATTTTTAAAGGGTATCATGTTCCTTGCTTGGCAGAGTAACAGTTTGGGAAAGATTTGTTGCAGATTAGATAAGAGCACATTTGTTTTATCACTAACAGTTTGAAGATTAAGTAATTTAAAGAGTCTTCCCATGAACAAACCAATTTGAAAGCTGAGATAATCTTAAATTCTTTTGCTCCACTTCTGCAAGTTTTAGTGACAAATGGCAATAGTCATTTCTTAAGTGACTGTTCTACGGGAAATTATGAATTTTAGGAGCTTTAAAAAATGGGGAACCAAACTCTTCCACTGTATGAAATCCAAACTGCTCTTTAAATTAAATGTAGTCAGATAGTAAAACCTAAAAAAAATGAGAAAAACGAATTGAAAAAAGGGCCTGGTATGATGAGTGGTTGTGCAGAACTGAGGGTTAAAGCCTCGTTGGTCTGTCCAAAGGAATACAAATGCACTAAACAGTCAGAGGAGAGGGCTTCCTTTCTTTTGGAGAGTTTTTTGTGCCCGGAGATCTACATTAAAAGACATGTTATTCTCATCTTGGGAGAATTCAGCTCTGTGGGGCCACGGGATTCAGGAGCACAGACAAGTTCCAGTGTGGGCCTGAAGGGCCCACCTGGCTGGGCTCTGGCATGGACTGTGGGGCTGTTTCTCCCTCCCTGTTCTCCAGGAGTGTCCATATGCTGAAGGGTCTTCTTTGTGCATGTCTGCTGCTCAGGAATTTGCATTTTGTGTACAGAACTGCTAGAGCAGAAGTTATTTCCCTCTGTAGCTACGAGCACCTCAGTGCCTCGTGCTCAGACCTCTGGAAACAGCAGCTCTCATGGCTCCAGCTTAGACACATTAAAACACTGCAGATGCCTTCTTTGAAAGCACTGGAAATAATTTTTCATGTGTGGTGCTTAAGGGAAGATCCTGATGACTGTGTTCACCTACTGTGTAAGAAAATAATAAGTTTTCAGGGAAACTATAATATGAAATGTCTTTGGACTCACCTAATCACAGTTTGGGCTCAAAGGAAAGAAATATTTGCAGCTTTTGATTTTTCAGACCTCAGAGGTTCTGAGATGGATACAGACATTCTGCCTTGGGCCTAAATGCAACAGGACCTACCCCAGAGGGAAGCAGTGGGACTTGTGGGCAGCTCAGCTCTGTCTCTGATATTCCCAACAAGTTCTTCCTCCTTTCAGCCCTGCAGACAGAACATGTGTTCCCCGGGCTGTTATTTCAGAACACACAGACTGCAGCTCACAGTAGGGGTAGCAAGAAACCACACGGATCTTTTCATCTCTGTGTTTTAACCTGATATTCATGCAAAGACACTTCCTGCTCCAAGGATCTTGCTGTACCTGCATCCACAATGGGGCTTCTCTCCCAGCATGGCCAGTCTGATCTTCTGTCTGGAGTTACAGACTTTGTACCTACAAGGGGCTGTCAAGCTTCCAGTTCCTCTTCCTTTAGAAGATATTCACCAAATAAATTAGTTTATGGTAATGCTGGATGAAGGCTTCCATGTTGAAGGCTCAATTTTCCTCTTAAATATGCAGCCCTGAGTTTCTGAGAGATTCAGGAATTTCAGCTTTGGAGGAGCCCCTGGGGCTTTCTCTGTTCTTTCTGACTTTCATGTGTGTATCTAGGATTAGGTCACACATCTCCAGTGCAGCTTGAAGGGTATGTAATGGATGCTGACTGCTATCTTTTGAATGCTAAAATCAGTGACCATGGAACTCTGCACAGGGGAAGTTAGAACAGGATCAAATTTTGCAGGCTCCCAAGGGCTTTTCTGAGAGACATCTTTCCAATGATGTCTAGGGTGAAAAAAAAAAACCCAAAAAAAACAAACCAAACCAAAATTCTCAACAACTATGAAAAACATGCATTTATATTCAAATACTCTTTCCCCCCTTGCTTGTACTTGACATTTTAGTGAGGATCAGTCAAACACTAATACAATATCTGAACAATGCACTATCTGTTTCTTTCAGCCTAATGTGGGCTGTGACCTGACTCATTGCCACACGCCACAAGGCCAGCAGGGTGAACTTGGAGTAATGTGTCCTTTCCGATGCTAACTATTATGATTCTATAATTTCAAAAAAATTAAATGTTTGACCTGATACTGGCAAATTACTTCATTCCTAAAAATTATGTGGGGACTTGTGTCTGGCACATTGTATTCTTTGGAAGATGTTATAATTTCACCACACATATTAAATTTCAACACATGATTATTGCCTACAACAATAAATGTTAAATTCATACCGTGTGATTCAAACCAAGCCTTATAAATATGCAGTGGAGTCATATATACAGCCACCCAGAATGCCCTCTCAGAATGCCATCTGACCCCTGTAAATAGTGCTGCATTTTTATGGCCTCTTTCTGACAGTCATTCACCAGGTGCTGTACAACCCAAATTCACATACTCTGAATTTCTCCCTTGCACTTAATGCTGGGCATTCAGGCCCTTGGGCACAACCTGATGTGCAGATGATACATCTGACACCTCTGAAAAGTGAGGAGCTGAGGTTGCAGTTGCTCAGCACCTGTAAATGGAGTTGTTTCCTCCACAGCCTGAGTTCTGTTGACTCCACAGGACCTTTAGAGCATCCTTGCTGCTGGTGAATGGCACGTGGGTGTGGAAAAGCTGCCCAGTTGCATGGAAAACTCAAACTTCTTTACTTGGAGGGTGACAGAGCACTGGAAGGGGCTTCTCAGAGAGGTTATGGAGTGTCGTTCTCTGGAGATGGTAAAAACATACCTGCAGCCTGCCCTGGATGAACCAGCTTTAGCAGGGGACTGGTCTGGGTAATTTTCAGGGGTCACTTCCAACCCCAGCCATAATGAGGTGCTGTGTGAAATCACTCTTTTATTTGTCTTAGGGTATCCCTACACCAATATTCCTGGAATTCCCTCATTCCTTGCACTACCAAGGCTAATTTTCCACATATGTTAGACTTTACCACAGCTCTGCTGCCCATGTGCTATTCTGGATCTTCCAGAAATCCCTTATCAATCAGCCTTGTCATCTCACCCTTGTCTCAATTTTTAGTCAGTGCAGGCCATAAATTGCAGAGTTGCTCATGGAAGGTTTTCTGTATCAGTGCTCATCTTTCAAGAATGGGATCTGACTCTGTCAGGTGCAGCATTTGGCAGTGCCTCCAGCTGCTGGAGTGGCTGTGAACAGAGTTCAGCAGGCTTTAGTATGGGGGAAAAGGTGAGTCTGGGCTTCAAGACTAGAAATCAAATCTGTTGGCACCGAAAGCCCTCTGGGATCTGCCTGTGGCCTTTAGATTGCATCTTTCTGCTGCTCCTGCTCTTTTTCTGTCTTGTCTGCTTCTGTTTCTCACTGCTTCTTTCAGAAAAACCGATGTGAGTCTTCTTTTTAGAACATCACATCCCGTTTGCTAAGTGACAGTTGTCACTGACTTCAGGCTCTTTGTCACGTAATTCATTGCTTGATACCTGCTTCCCTAAGCATCTCTTAATGTCACAAGTTTCCTTGAGGATGTCAAACAGCCTGCGTGGGATTTCAAGGAAGGAGCACAGGTTGCAGGTTAGGATTTTGGGAGGGACACTGGGAAAGACAACTGTGTAAATATGCCAGGTGTAACTGCAGGAGCTGTGCAGCAGCAGCAGCACATAAACAGAGGTCATGGAACCACCAGCATCTTTGAGGTCAAATCAAGTGCTTTGCAGCTGGACTGAAGGCCCACAGTGAAGATAAATCTGCAAATTTATCACTGGTGTGCGAGTGTGTTGCTGATCCAGGAGAAAGTTTGACAGCTGATGGCTGAAAGTTGCCACATTTAGAGATAGGCCCATTAAGGGCAGAATCCTTTATAAAAGGAAAGGTGCAGTCAGGACTTCCCTAAGCAAAAGATAAACTTCAGTGACTGGAGAGACATTCACAGAAGAAGCCCAGAGTTAGAAGGGAATGTCTGGATTTGTGGATATGTGTCTGGATGCCTTCCTGGCCTAGTGTTGCTTTGTCCTCATCCCACAATTACATCAAATTGCCATAGAATGAAAGATTCAAATTTTATTTTGAGAGATGGACATGTGGACACAGACAGGACACATAGATAAGGACACTGGGCTGAAAGTTAGGAAATTCAAAAGTTAACATCCAGAGAAATGAAGCACAAGGAAACCACCAGGCAGGGCTTGGAGGATGGTGTGAGAGGAAGAAGAATACTCATGGACTTAGATGAATTGCAGAGGACTCAGCAACTTAGCTGATCAAACACGTCAAATTGAGTGCCATCAGTGAATTTCAATTAAATGTTCAGCTTTTCAATTTGTTGTTGAGATTAACGCATGAGATCATATGCAATAAATCACAGCTTATTATGCATGTTTATTAATAGCTTTATATTTAGGCACTGAGGATCAATAATGTTAACACATGTATATTATTAGAATATAATAAATCAGGTCACTTGTTTTTATTGGTTTTGCTGGGTAAACAACTATTCCAGGCTGTTTGCAACCTCCCCTTCTCCCCTGCATGGCGTGCTGAAGACTGATATTGATTTGCTTTATTTGGAATGAATACAGAATTGTAATATCCATTGGTGCTCAGACTAGACCCCAGTTCTGTACACCCAAGCAAGTATTTTATTGTAGTGAGAGGGAAGAGCTGCTGGGAAAGGGGAGGTTCTGTTCTAACCTGGTGCCTCCTGATGTCACCCCTGTGCAATGCCAGCCACGCTTGCTATACTGCAGGTAGCAACAAGATTTTGCAGGATAAATTTATATGGTTTTGATTTTATTTACTAAAATGCTCATGCCCTAGCAATAATATAACCACAAGTTCTTTCTCCAGTTGTGTTTGGTGAAGAGATTTGAGAGCAGGTCTGCTCAGATGTCCTTGGATCTTGCAACTTCCTATGTATTTTAAAACATACTCAATTTCCTTTAAATGGAAATACACATAACTTGGTTTCACAAGCTACTTACATTGCCTTTTCTGTATTTCCTAAAACTTACCAGTGAGTTTCATTATGCTGCAGGAGAACTGCATTTATAATCAAGTAAAAGCCTTCTAAAACCAGTACTCAGATGATAATTGCATTGAACAAACTATGACAGTCTTTAGTTACCATGATAATGACTGCAACCTTAATGCCTCTGGGACTTTGACATGATGCTCTTCAATTTTATGCTGCATAGAAGAAAGAGTTACATGCCAGCATACTCTGCAATTTCTGCAGTCTGGTCTTTGTTTAATTAAACATCTAATATCTTTTCTTTAGCCCTAATGATAAAGTGGGGATTTTTATGATTATTACTATAACTTCAATTAAAGCATTAAATCTGTTTGCTTTCACGAAGTAAAACAGTTGAGAGGAATTTCTTTTAATTATGCTGCACTTGTCCTCTGATGTCGACTCTGTGACATGCCATGGCACTTTATTTGACATACTTCATGCCTTGCTGAGGTGAAATGCAGTCTAGATACTGAAGCAAACTATCCTATAAAATGTACATTGTAAATATAAACCTTTATAAACCTCTCGGGAGGGCCTTTCTAAGCAAAAAATTAACATGTTCAATGATTCAGGCCTATAAAATGAAAAGTAGCCCCTGCTCTGAGTATTAATTTGCAGTGCAAACCCCTAAATCTTTACCTTCCATTGACTCGACTCTGGAATTCATACTCAGCATAGCAAACATTGTCAGGCCTTATTTTTTATGATGCTTTTACTACCAAAAAAAAACCCCACCTCCAAATAGAGACAAACAAATCTGTTTGTAACCCCTTACATCAAATGCACCACCTGTGGAGAGATTCTGTGATGAACATTTTTTAATGAGTGCCTGTTGATCACTTTGCTGTGGCTTTCCGTGTTGACTTTTGTTTGTTTTCCCCAAGAACCTCCGTATTTCACTGCTGAACCCCAGAATGTGATTTTGGCTGAGGTGGAGAAGGACGTGGACATCCTGTGTCAGGCCATGGGTGAGTGCACAAAAGTGTTCCAGCCTGGATTGATGGCATGTGTCTGTCCAGTTTGGAAGAAACCATCTTACATAAACCACCTTTGTAACTTTTTAATGTTTAGAAGTCTCTGTGTTATTGCTGATTATCACAGGTCCCATATACAAGGAAGAGGGTTGGCCATTCCCTTTGGAGAATTGGGTATTTCCTGTAATTTGGTTGAATTTGGAATAATGCTGGCATGTTGATGTTTGTCTGTGGGGAGCACAAGTCCTGCTCCTGTCGCTCTGGGATCCAGCCTGTGCTTCAGAGTTGTCACTAGAGAAGATATTTAAAATAACTTGAGCCAGAAAATGGGCTGAGGGGAGAGAGTGGTTATGGAACCCATCATTTGCAATGCAAACAGTCCTTATTTTCAACAGTCACAATGCCCTTTCTTCTAAAACTTAGGGAATTTTATAGTGAATAGAAATGTCAGTAACTCTGACATCTGAATGCAGTTATGAAATCTGCAGGACTATTACAGGCAGTTTTTAATTGGTAGGTGACTTATTAATATAAAAGGCTTCAAAAGTCTAGAATTCCACCTGACTAAAATCACGTTTCAAGTTGAGTTCCACAGAAGTGCAATCCCCACCTGTTTCAGCACTGTTAGGTAAGAGATGTTGTCATCATGTGTTTAGAGCAGGTTTCTCAAAGTCACCAAATTTCTACGTGACTCTGGTGAGGGACTGAACATTTTGTTTGCTCACTTTCCCTGGTGCTGAGTTTAAGAAGCAACACACATAAAATGCCATGAGGTCCTTAGGGAAAAAGATCACATCCTTGATTAAAAAAGCACCCAGACCTAAGTAACAGCTTATTTGTGTGCTGTCTTCCTCCAAATCAGAGCCAATAAAGGCATTTTTGCTGCGTGATTGTGTTATTGCCACTATGATTTAAGCATTTTTCCCTGTGTTTTATGTAGGAAAGAGTCAGCACTGCTTTTCTAGGAAGAGTCTTTGCAAACTGTGTGATAAGCAAGTGTGTGTTAAGGGTGCTGTGGCTGGTAGGGAATTTCAGAAGCTTATGATGAGATCTCTTACAAAAAGCTCTTATGGAAATGAAGGATCAGATGATGAGACAATGTCTTCTTGTTCATTAATAGCTTTTTAAGCAAAACACAGCAGGACCTGCTGTCAGTGGAGTTCCCCAGGAACCCATCTGCTGTCTCAAATATTTTCCATGAATTAAAAAAAAATAACCCAACCCAAAACCTGGAGGAATCAGGGAGACCTGAGGTTGACTTCAACTCTTCCTTCTATCCTCATTTTTTCTTTGAGCAGTTTAGTTTCCAAGGGGGTTAATGGGGCACTCATAACCATTCTCAGTGGAGATATGGGAACCCTTATTAGACAAAATTAATTATTTCTGTTCAACTCTTGTAGTGCATATTTGATTTGTTGATGGATGTGTGCAGGAATGTGAAAACCCGTTTCCTTGTGGATTATTTTGTTGGATATCTGTAACACATATAAGGGCAGGTACCAGAATTAAACACAGAGGAAATTTGATCCATTATTACACAAATCTAGCAATTGCCAGCACTTAAAAAGAGGGTAAATTAAGATTGCTGCCTCCCAGCTCCAAGCTGGGAGAACAAAGCACTTGGGAAACTGCAGAGCTGCCCTCTACCTTTGCTACAAGTGGAAGACAGATTGTATTTCCCCTAGCCCCTTCAGGTTGTGTGCACAAAGCCCATTTGCCAAAACTTCGTGCACTATGGATGTGTGAGAGACAGATTAATTTCACAGTATAAGCAGAGATTAACTGTAAATAAAATTGCAACTTGCAGCGACCAGCTCCCTGCTCCCTGTAATGGAGTTTCAAAGGGACAGGCCACAGGAACCAGGCTCTGCTGTTTATCTTCCAGCAGTGGCTGATGCTGCCTGAATGTTCAATGGGTTTCCTTTAAATGCTCTCTCTGATTTGCTTGTGGAAAGTTTCAAGCTGCAGGCAGTGGTGGTGGTGTCTGGGGAGCCCAGTTAATTGGACTTCAGTTCTACCTGTTTAGAGAGGTAGATGGAAGAGATGCTTTGGGGATTCCCCAGTAGCTCACTGGGATCTAGAGGAGGCAGTAAAAAATAAATAACAAAGATGACACTGTGAATATTCTGAGTCTTTCATCGAGATTCTTAAGTGAAATTTGGCAGAGAGTCAAGCAGCTGTTTGACAGATGGAGGAGCTGAGCCTCGGGTTCCGTAAGTTATTTGCCCAAGGTTACAGAAGAAGTGGCAAAGCCAGAACCAGCATCTCTGTTTCCTGCCTTCCCCTCTCCCCACTGACACTAGATTAATTTGTCTATGAAAAATGAATAGTGCTGCACACAACTGAGAAATAAGGTTATTTTATTTATTACTGCCAGTCTTTTAGGCCATTCTCACCTCCTGAGCAGCAGGGTCGGGCCAATACTGCTTGGAAAGGTAGAGTGCAAAAGGTCTTTAAAGTGTTTTCTTCTCTTCATAATTTTTTCACCAGAAGTTGTTTAGAGAAGGAAAAAAGCAAAATTCCTTTGGCTGGGTGTGTGAAGAGAAAAGGTTGTGGGGTGAGTAGAAGATGAGACAAGCTGGGTTTAACCATTTTTTACAGCCAAGCAGGTAGCAAAATTAGAAGAGAATGTGTGTACAACTTGGAAGACAAATCTCTCTGGCAAGATCCCTAAAGCTCAGATGAATGCTGCTGACAGGCATCAGAGTGCTCAGATAAGATCCTATTATTCAGACTCATAACTTTGAGTGGAGGAAGATACCCGTAACTGAAAAGTGGAGAAATAGAGATGGTAATATTCAGTTTGTCAGCTGAGTTGGTGATAGGAAGGTGTTTCTCACAGTGATTATAGGATTAGAAGGTTTGCCAATACTGTTAGTAGAATGGGATTTATGGAATGACACCAGTGTTAAGGTTTCAGTGTTCTGAATGCAGGATTTCATTATTTCCTAGGTGCCTATCAAGTATAATGTGTGGGAAAATGGAATTGCTATTATTTAAACTTGAAATCATTTCCGAGCTTCTCAGCATCAGGAGAACTATTCCATTTTGCATCATCTGTTTCTTCATTACTCAGTGATAATTTGTATTTGCCCAGGAGGATTTTCAAGAGATGAATAACACTCTCACCGAGAATTGTGAACATTGAAATTTACGCTAATTCTGTATATGGGCTGTTGTATGAAATTTAAATTATACCTATTGCAAGCTCCTGCATCACGTCTATTCTCTATCAGACAATGCACTTCTACATAGTGGGTTTCTTCCTGAGATGATTATCTTCATCATGAGTACATTTTATTTTATCAGCAGAACAAAAGCATCAGAGGTGATTGTAGTAAATGATACGTGTTTATAAAAGTAACAACAGCAATTGGATGTTGTTTTTCAGTCATTTCCATACATTGTTTGTACATTCCTTCCAGAGTTAATACAGCTTTTGTCTGTATAAAGAGAATAAGTACACTGAGAGAAGATGTGAATGGAAGCATAACACAGTAGTATTTAACTTTGGGAGTTTTAAAATGATAATGATGATTATATAGATCTTCCCATGGCACTTTAGCTTTCAGAACATCAAGTGACTGCCAACATTGCAGTGAAATTCCTTGTCTGCAGATGCTCAATTCATCAGTGACATCCCATCCTCCATGCTTTGGCGGTAACACTTCTCTATTTGGGCAAATTTCATCCACCCATAAATTTAAGTTTGTGGTCTCTTATCTTGTTAGAAGAAATTGTGTCTGTGGTTTTAAGTGAAAAGTGTTCAAAACCACCCCAAGTGCAGTGCCCAGTTCTGGGCCCTCCATTCAGGAAGGACATTGAGCGGCTGGAGCATGTCCAGGGAAAGGAACAGAAGGGTCTGGAGTGTAAATCCTGTGAGGAGAGGCTGAGGAAGATGGGAGGGCACAGCCTGGAGCAAAGGAGGATCAGGGAGACCTTCTGGCTCTCCATAATTCCTGACAGGCTCTCCACAATTCCCCCTCCTGTAGTGAAATGGGGGGTCGGGCTCTGCTCCCAGGGAGCAATGGGCAGGATGAGAGGAAATGGTGTTTTTCTCTGTGCCAGAGGAGGGTCAGGTTGGATATCAGGAAGCATTTCTTCCCAGGACAGGTTGTCAGATATTGGAAGGAGGTGGCCAGGGAGGCGATGATCTTGAAGGTCTTTTCCAATATTAATTACTCAGTGATTATCTAATTCTGTAATAAAATACCTGCCTCACTTCTGATCTCTGCACAGAATCCCCAGCATTCGATCCAGTGGGGATTTCTGGGATGTAAACATAAAACATTGTCAGATATGAGCAGTGGGATGGGAGCAGCTGTCTAAGACTGTTCTAGGCCCCTGACATCTCTTGAGGAAAAGAGAATCCTACACTATTTGTGTATAATAAATTTACAGCCACTTCATTCCAGGTGACGGGGACATGACAGGAACAAAAATATGTGTGAAATAACTGTGTCAGGGTTTGTGGAACATGCACATGAAAGAAAACAGGAATAAATGGGACTGTAAATTTTATCTAGGCTAGGAATTTTATTTCTCTTTATGCCTGTTTTTTCAAATAGCAGGTGAAGCGTGAGACTGAATAAAAATAATAATTTAAAGCTATCCTATTGTTGGCAATATGTTGTTTGTACATTGGCTCAAACTAGGCTGCTAAATTGGGACTCAAGTACAGCCATGTGAGCACTTCATTTTTCATGTGTAATTTGCCATTTCCTTTGTATTTCAGCTATCTTAGCTACAGAAGCACGGAGGAATCTTATTTGGGATGGAACAGTCTTACAGACTGGCTGTATTACCACACTGCTGCTGTTTAAGGAGCATGATTCTGGCTTTCAACATGAAATTGCTCTAAATCTTATTTTGTAGTAGCATGAAATATGATTGGGTGAAGAAAGTAATTTGATAACATGTTTTCTCAACATTCCCCCTTAGTATTTGCTGGTTTTATTCCCTCATGTCCTGCAGTGTGTTATTACCATTGATAATGTGAGATGCAGCCTCCATTTATCTAAAGCAGCTTAGAAAAAATACAAATAATTGACGTAGAAAGACGGGAAAACAGGGATACAACCTAAAACATGCTCTGCAAAGACTAATAGTGATCACTTTTTACTTGAGCAGGTGTTCCCATCCCCACCCTGGTGTGGTACAAGGACTCAGTTCCCCTCAGCAGGCTGGAGAACCCCCGGTACAAGGTGCTGCTGAGCGGGGGGCTGCGCATCCACGCGCTGCGGCCGCAGGACGCCGGCATCTTCCAGTGCTTCGCCAGCAACCAGGCTGGGGAGATCCAGACCTACACCTACCTGGATGTCACCAGTGAGTGAGGAGTGCTGGCACAGGGTGCAGGAGGTGTCATCCCTGTAGGTGACCCCACACCCATCACGTTTCTCAGAGCTGCTTTAGTTCAACTTGCAGAACTCTGAGTTCTTGTCAAGGGTAGCTGCCCCAGCTGTAAGGAACCCCAAAATGCCCCTGTGGCCTCAGCACAATCTGCTGAATCTCGTGGAAAATCTCTCCATGACATCAGGAGAGCTTGGCTTGAGGTGAACTCCCCTGTTTCACATGGCAAAAAAGAGATCTTAGAGAAAAGAAAAAAAAAATTCATTGTGAAATAATTTTATCTTTCCTTCATTTCCTTCCAATTTCCACTCTAATGTAATTCCATTCTGAACTTGAGCTAGTGCTTCATGATTGTGCATGCTATCATTTTATTTGCCCTTGTCTGCAACTGCATTTGGTCAGGGAAAAAGAAGGAAAGTTCAAGTTAAATGTCTTTTTTGGCCAAAAAGTCAGATTAAATGGTTTTGTTAATGAAGTGCATGCTTCTCTATGGAAGAATTACAAATCCTAGTAGTCTCTTTTAACAGTGATTATTAACAGTCATTTCTGTAATATTAAACTTCCCTTCAGGAAGCTGATTTTTAACCCAAGAGCACTTTGCACATACTGACCAGAATTCCTACTGGCCTCAGAAAATAAATCAGCCCCAGTTCAATATAGATCTAGGAAACTGCAGGAAAAAAACTGCAATAAAATGCAACTGGGGGAAAATAAGAGAGAGAGAAACTTAGAAAATGTCTTGGATAAGGCTCAGGTTCTAAATTCTTTTGGCTGACATTTAAGTTTCAAAGTTAATGCCTCTCTCAAGTTGCTTTTCATCTTGAAGAACTCTGTTATGAAGATGAAGGAAAATAGTTTTGTTTATCTAGATTTCTCAAGTTCCCCCCAAACACTCATTTTGAGCTTTATCTTTCTTTTTCTTTAACCTATCTTACTTGTACAGGTACAAGCACTGATAGATTTTTATTTTCTGTGTAGGTAATAAACAGGATTAGGCAATTCCTGGGAGATGAATAAGAAAAGGTTACAGTCACTGCTGAAAGGTTTTCATGTCTTATTGTCATGTCCTTCTCCATGATCAGCTCTATAAAAGTGGATGTAAAGTAATCCATGGTAACAGTTAAGGGACCTTTCTGAGAGGTGAGGCATTGAGTTTGTTTGAATTTTTTATTCTAGACATCAAGCCAGCCTTTATCCAGCCCCCCGAGGACACCACAGTCACCGAGGGGATGACTGCAGTACTGACCTGTGAAGTTTCAGGGGCTCCACGACCTGCCATCTCCTGGAAGAAAGGTAGCCAGTTATCAATGTGTAGAAGAGCTGTAATCCACATTTTTCTGTCCATTCCTGTTACTGAGATCCTGTAGATCCATTCAGTGCCTCCTTCCCCCTTCCCCTCGTCCTGTGAGCAGCGGGTTCTCTGTGGGGCCATCATAAACCGGCGGCCTGGGAAGGATGTAACCTTTTGGGAGAGCTGGAATTGCAGTCCCTGAACCCTGACACTAACCATGCTGCTTCCCCCATGTGTTTCAGGAGAGCAGATCTTAGCCAGTGGCTCGGTGCAGATTCCTCGCTTCGTTCTCCTGGAGTCTGGAGGGCTCCAGATAACGCCCGTGTTCCTGCAGGATGCTGGCAATTACACTTGCTGTGCAGCCAACTCTGAAGGAGCTCTGAATGCTTTTGTGATGCTGACAGTGTGGAGTAAGGATAATGCTTTGTTTAAAGTCTAACTTTAATCAAGTATTAATCAGTTTTTGTTGTACGCTCAGGAAATTTTCATTAGTAATTATGCTTTTCTCGTTAATAGCGTTACTTGTATGATTTAATAGGAATAATGTGTCTATTTTAGGAAGCCTATCACAAATACCCTTTTTATTTGGAGAATTATGCATATAAAGCTCTATTTTGTGAAAGGAAGTGTATTTACATAGAGCTTCAATCACACTTACAGTTTTACTCAGGTTTGCTTTGGTGTCTCGCATTGCAAGTCTGAGCTTTTAACTTGTAGATTTGGTTGGTTTCAGGTGGTTTCTGCCTCCAGGAGCCTGCAGGCAGCACAGACCAGTCCATGCTGATACTGAGGCAGTAGCCACAGTCAGAACAGATAGGATTTTCCTCACACTTTTGTATTTTTTGTGGCTCTGGGTGTTGTTGGAAGCCCAGTCAAAGTGCATCAGATTTCAGCTAATCCCTCCCACTACAGACTGATGTGGGACAGGCATCCTAGGAAATTATTTTGTCATTCACCTTTTTCCCTTGATCTCTATATTTTTATATTTCTTCCATTGGGGAAGTGAGTCTGATCCAAGAGGTTCACCTGTGTAACTCCTAAGTGAGTTCAATTGAAGTGTAACATGGTTTTTACTACTCAAGGTGCAAAATAACGATCCCTGAGCAGGGACTAAGAGCAACTGAAAATAATGAAGATGATGAGGATTAATACAGAAATGTTGTGGCTTCTCTCCTCTCCAGCACTTGAAGTACTGATTGTGCTGCTGCTGTGTGGTGCATATTTGGCATTTATTAATCCCCGAACTCTGCAAGCTAAATCAGCCACATTTTTCCTTTTGAAGTTCAGAATACCTGAAAACATTCCTGGCAGTAACTGTAATGCATTTGTGTCATGTGGCCATCGTGTTTATGTCTTATGGACAATATCAAGCTGGTAGAAATTTCAGGATGCTGTAAACTGAATGATATCCAGATGTATGGATCAAGTAAAGGAGATCCTTCCTATTAATTCTCTAAGCTATGGTTCTTACCTTTTGGTATTACCCTTATGGTATTAAAGATAGTTCCTGTTCATTGCACTGCATGAGGGGAAGAAAAGTGAATATAACCTAATGTTTTTGTAGCAACAGCACCTTTATAAAGCCAGAAGTCTTACGTATGTGCATCAGGAGAAATGCTAAAAATTCCATGGTATTTAGAGTCAGCTTTTGATCTTGCTGATGGTCCCTTCTTGTGCATGTATGAGGTATCTCAGTAGATGCTGATTATCTCTGTAGGGATTTGGGACTTATTAACATTATCCACATATCTTCCAAGCTCATCCTGGTTGTCTCCCTGCCTCAGCTGATGCTTTCTGCTGCTGCTCCTGTGTGTGACACATAATGGGGATCTTTCACACTGGATCAGGTTGCTGTAGTTACAGCAATTATTATGTTCTGAGCCTCTAGGAGGGGCTTGAGTAAGGATGTTCTGAAACGTTTAAGTAAACAACATCTTTCTGATATGGAAGATTTTTCTTCTGGGAGCTCCTTCACTGCCCTGGAGTTGATGAGGTTGTAGGGTGCTGTTTAAGTTTACCTCTTTCTCAGTACTTTTCAAGTCCGTTTTCCCTTGTGCACATTTTCCTTGGTCTTGTTTGTGTTTTTGAGCATGGCTCATTTTCTGACTCAGTGTTTGCTGCCACACACTCGCTGAGACTTTAGGGAGTTGCCACAGACGCTCGCACAAGCCGAGGCAGTGTTTGGAGAGTTATGCCATTCTTCTCCTCTGGGCTCAACGCGTGCCCTGTGCTGCTGTCACCAGTGTCACAATGTCTATAGAGGGAGGGGAGCCTTCGCAGTAGAGGCTTGAAGAGCAGTGTCTCTCTTGCTTTGAATGACAAAGGCTCGCTGGCTGCTCTCTGAGTGAATAGCCAAGGCAAAAGACTCTAATTTCACCTGAGATGTGCTCCTTTCAGACCGCACGTCCATTGTCCGCCCTCCCGAGGACAGCACGGTGATCAAAGGAACCACAGCCACCCTGCGCTGCGAGGCCACGCACGACCCCAGAATTTCAATCAGGTTGGTGGTGGCACTTCTCCTTTGTGTGGTTTATCCCAGTTTAATTTTATAAGCTGTGTGAATAGCACTAGGTGAAAAGTTTCTGGACCCCACATTTTCACACCAAACCCCTGATTACTGCATTATAAGGTTGTACACTGTATCATTAATCATATAAATCCCATCTTCCATTTCAGCCTTATGTATTATTTACAATGAGCTATGTTCCACTTCATGACTTCAATATAGCCTTCCATGATTTTACTGTCAAGGTTAATACACTATCAATAAAACCAACTTGTCAGAGGCTGATACTTAATGAGAGCAAAAGCCAAAGAGAAGGAATAGGATTTCAGAAGTGTTTACTCTAGGGTGCATAAAAGCCACACCAGAGATGCCCATGTTTTTGGAAACAACTCAATAACTTGGGCTTATAGTCTGTTCTAACCATGTAAAGGAAAGCAGAATTTGTCTGGACTATTAAAATTTGAATTAGAGCACTTAGACGAAACTCAAAACTTGAAAATAAATTTGCCATAAAAATTAATGTAGTCTGAAAGCAACATAAATGAAATAAAATACAAGGAAGAGCTTGGAGAGTTCTTGAAGGGTGAGCTGCAGAAAGAACTTTGGAAAGAGAAATATGGGTATAAAAATTTCAGTTAGAGGTGGGAAATTGAGTCTGTGGGCTCTCCACACCTCTGTGATGTGTTGGGAGGGGTGTTTTTGATATGTGAGTTCTAGCAAACCTTCGACAAGTTTCTGATGCTGGCAGTCCAGTGTTACTGAGCTGGCCAGCACCCACCATTAACTGCAGAGTTAATGTTCTGGTGGGGGTGAACTTAAGAACTTGGACGTGTATGAGTACTCCATCTTTTCCTTGCAAAATACATAATATCTCAGATGGAATTACATTTTTCATTCTGATCGCTTGACCTAAAACTTAAATTTGTAAAAGGCACTGCTCTTGAAAGTAGCTGCAGGGGCCTGTCATTTTTAACACGTGATGACAGGAGCTGATCCCTTCCAGCAAAGTTAAAATAAATCTATTCCGGTGTTCTTACGAGTGATCAATAACTGAAGCCTTGTAACACTCAGGTACCTTTGGAAGAAGGACAACGTTGTAATAAATCCATCCAGCAGTTCCAGGATCACAGTGGAGAAGGATGGGACCCTCCTCATCAGCCAGACGTGGTCGGGTGACATTGGGGATTACACCTGTGAGGTCATTTCTTCCGGAGGGAACGATTCCAGGACAGCTCGGCTGGAAGTCATGTGAGTACTCCAGCTTAAATATTCCCTACACTGCGTTTCAGGCAGCCTCAGGTATTTTTCTAACATTTCTTTCTAGGTGTTGTGGAGAGTCAGCAGTTCTGATTTTTTCGTCTGGTTTGTTTTTTTTTTTTAAGGGAAATTAAGGCTGGTTCCTTGCTAATGAAATTGCTTTGAAATGCTCTGATCTCACGGCTCAGCCTGTGTTGAGCAGGAGTTTAGACCAGACACCTCCTAAGGTTCCTTTAAACCTGGATCATTCTATCACCCCATGCTGTAGGGCTTTCCCATAAAGCCCAAGTGCTGTGCTGTGATGCCAAAGTTTGAAAACAAGAAATTGTTTTCTTCCTTTTAGTATTTTTTCTCTCTTAAACATTTATCAGAATAGCTGGTCCCTGGATGGGCATTGCTTACTCTTGCATTCTCTTTATACATCATTTTTCAGGGAAAAAAACATTTTTATGTATGACTTTCTTTATTTCTATGGATCTTTAAAAATAAAAACAAAAAAATGTTTAAAGTGCCATTCAGCTCTGGAAAAGGATTAAAAAAATGTCATTACATGGTTCCATATATTCTATTTCTGTCATTCCACTGGGGTGAAGTGCACTTCCATTTTATTTTTATCACTAAAAGCAACAGCTGTGGGTTTGGTACATGTGTGGAGCAGATCAAATGGAAAAAAAAAAAAAAACAAAAAAAAAAGGTAATGTTTTATGTAGTGTTATTTATTTATTTACTCGAGTAGTACGCCGCTTTAATTTAACTAAAATTGCATCTGTTTCTGCTGGTCATGCCTGATGTCTCTGAGAAGATGGCAATTGTGTGGTTGGCAGTGTAATGAGTTCACCTCTGAGATTTGCTGTGCAGAGGGCTGTTTGATACAGCATCATTCTGACAGTGCCAAGGCTCCATCAGATGCCCATTTTCCGAGAGCGGTCATACATTCTTTTTCTAATTAAGCACTCCTCAGCTCTCCTCCCGGAGTGCATTTTACTGCTGGTCGGAATCCAAGAGCAGAAGACAATTCAGAATATACTGCAGCTACATAACCACACTCGCTCACTGTTCTCTGAGGCAGTTTTTGAATGGAGGGCAGAAAATCACAGAGTAAAGACTGAAAAGAATGCTAAAGCTTGGACTTTGAAACAAAGCTATAAATATGTGCTAAACAGTTCAGCAGGACAGATTCCTAATTCTGAATAGCAAAAGCTGCCCTGTGCAGCCCAGTACAGCACAGGGAATTGGATTTACTTGCAGTTCCCCACTGATCACTGAGGAGTTTCTTTTATGGTCCATAAAATCTGGGTTAGAAGTTGGTTGGGAGAGGCTCATCCTGTGTGCCCTGCTGAGGCACCCCAGCTGTTCCAGCTGTGCTGGCTGGCTCTCCATGCACTGGGACTGCCTCTTAATCCTGCCTCTCTACTTTTTTTGATGTTCTGTTTCTGATCGCCCATCTCCTGTTTTTCCTGGGGGAATTAAAGGAATCTATCAGACCCACTCTTTCAGAGGAGTCAAGTAACTGATAAGTCACTCAATAATACCTTGAATTGTGACATTTCATTTCAAAGCAGGGCTGCAGGTAGTGCAATACTGCCAGAAAACATTGCATTTCCTTGCAGCTTTCATCATTATCGTTTGCCTCAGCAGCACAGATCTGCGAGGAAGAGAGATACACAATACAACAGGAGTGAAATGAAGAAGAAAATATGTGGAAAGGAAACGTCTGAAGTAAAGCTTAAATTAAATTCCAGCTTGTATAGGAACGACAGATCTATAACATTCCCTGTTCTCCCAGATAATTCCCTCGTGCAGAGCATTAACAAACAGGACATGCACATTCCCATCGATGAGCACTTACACTTCAGTGCCTTGAGTAGCACTAATGGCAGACAAATGTTCAAAGAAGGCCTCTCAACCAGTTACAGGCTGGAGCAGCAGCCAATGGATAACTGTGTCCCACATAGCCTTGCCTGACAACTCCAAATCTCTCCCCACCTTTCCCCCCTGCCCAGGAACCAGCATGTTCCTCCTCCACCTCTGTACCCATGAAGAGGAGTTATCAAAGGCAAAAATAAGTTTGTTACTGATTTCTGTTCAAACTGATTCAATTCAAAACAGTCGACCTTCAGGTTATTTAATCTCTGATGGTCCAGTTTTCAAATCTCTGAAAAGAAGGAAAGAAAACTATCTCTTCCTTTGCCTGCCCTTGCTGGAAGTCAGGCTTGGGGACAAAGGTGGTGTTCCTTGCTGGAAGAACCCGCATAGACAGCACAGCACAGATACACTGATGCTGTAGACAGGATGGATCATCTTCCTCAGCATGAAAGAAGAAATAAAATATTTGCAAAGGAAAGCCAGAAAACTAATGAAGAACTTGCTAAAGTGCAGCCAAAGGTTACCTTGCTCATCAATTTTGCACTGATGGTACTTGGGCACAGAAACTAATTGCTAGTCAAGATACTCTATTCATTCATTTGTCTTCCCTCTAAATGTGTTTATTCTCCATGTACATCACTTGATTTGATTTGCATGAGGTAAAACATTTGCGAGTGATGTTTCTATTCTGCAAGAGATAGATTTTAATTTTACACTGACTTTGTTTTTCTCCTAGTAGAATTTCTCAACTGCGTATCAGAAACATTCGGTGATGAGCCCCCCGCTTCTCTTCTATCCCTGCAAGTCACAGAGTTTGATCTTGAAAGTAATTGCATGTTATGAAACATCCCAGCTTCATTTAGCTTACTTTTATAGTCCTGTAAACACCAGCCTGACATACATAGAGGAAAAAAGGCTTGTTCCTAAAGCTGAAAAAGCTTAGTTATCACCGTGTATCACTCACCTGATGGGAAACTGTGCTGATTCCAGCTCAAAGTATCCTGAGGATTCTCAGAATGTATAAAATATGCAGGATTACCACTATCTGTGCCTGATGATACCCACTGCTCAATATCAGCCCGTCTGCAGCCCATGCTAGAGGAACTCTTTGTTGTATGAATGTGACTGCAAAGTATGGTAATGCTGCATTGTTGGAAAATCAAAGCCCTCTACAAGCCTCTGTTATGTCACAACATATAGTAAAATCTTTTAGGCTCTTTTTCTATGCAAAAATATGGGAAGGACAATGTAATACAAAAATAGGCAATTTATTCCTGGCAGCAAGTTCATCTCCTTTCAGTTCCCTTTCATCAGAGAAAGAGCTATTATTGTTCTGTCTTCTTCAAAAGCAGGAGAAGGGAGCTAACCACTTATAATAAACCCCAGTGGGTTGCCAGGAATGCAGAGTATTGCCTTTGTCAGCCATCTATCCATGAATTTGGATGCCCTTTTTACTGGACTATTTATAATTGCCACTTCTTCCAATTTCTTCCCTATATGTCCTCTAAAAAAATTATTGCTGAAATTAAAATCAGTGTGACCAATGCAGGGTAAGAGATAAAAATGATGTCCAATTACAAATGTAACTTGATACAGATCCCACATCCCTTGGTTCCAATTGCCCATCTCTTCTCCTTTCTCCAGGGAAAGAAAGCAGAAGGAATGTCAAACTTGAAAATATATTATTCCTTCCTCAGTGGAAAGAAGGCTTCTATTTATTTTTCCAAGCTTTCTATTGAGATGTCATCCAAGACTCAAGGTTCACTGCTGAGTCTGAGTGCACTTGATACTCAAAGGAGAAATATCACCCAGAAATGCATTTGGAAATAAATGCCATTGTGTCTGTTTGTCATTGAAGGTACAGCAGGAATGTAGGTGTTTTCGGCAAAAAGAAAGCATAAAATTCAAACCTCTTTCCCAAGTCATTCCTATTGAAATGGGAAATAAATCTGTGCACTCTGGAACTCAGCAACCCTTTAATTCAAAAAATTCCCCATTTTACAGACCTGGGAGAGACAAAGAGCCTCAAAACACGTGGCTGCCTTGCACAAATTGGAGAGGATTCTTTTGCAAGAGAAACTGCAAAGTCCCGAGCAACAGTTGCTACGTTTGTTAATTTAAACCATGATAAACTTTTACAAGCAGAGCCATCAGGGCTGAGTGCTGCATTCCCTCCCTGCCTCAGCCCGGTGCCGTTATCGGTCGTGGCAGATGAACCACCTGCTCCTGAGCAGCCCCTGCCTGCTGGACCTGACTGAGGGAGTCCATTATAAAACAGGAGCAGGGCTTTTCAGAAACCGACACGAAAACTTGTTTAATCTCCTGTGCCTTTTTAGTAATCCCCTCTTCAGTCACAGTCTCTCTAATTATCTGCTGTTGGACCATTTTTCTCAGAAGTCTCTCCAAACCGTGTCTGGTTTATTTTTCTTAGCAAATAGTCTGCTTTTAGCTAATTTTATAAAACACTCTATGTGTTTGCTGAGTGAATTTTTCAGCTGCCCTCTGGCAGTGATGAGCTGACTCAAAACATTAGGGTTTCTGTTTTGAGCATGTATCATCTGCAGCTGGCTAATATTTCTCTCCTAGATTGTCACAATGACTTCATGTTCTTTTCTTGCAAATGCACTACTTTAATTGCTTTGTCAGAGTTCCCTCAGGTCACCTTGGTGGCAATGCCATTAACCCTGGGGTTATCTATCAATTACAGATTTTAAAGTGTCCGTGCACATATTTTGCTATCACATAAAATAAGTTATGGAAAACTTGCCTCCATGCAACTCTTCAGCATTAGAAAAATGAGGTTTTAAGATACTCTGTATTGAAAAACTTCCATATATTTCCTGTTGGGGCTGCAGTGAACAAAAGGAAGATAATGGTGGAATTACACTTTGCATGTCTGGTCAAGGTCTGTTCAGTGCTCTGGGTGTTATTGCTCTAAACCTCATCCACTTTCTTGGTGCTGACCAGTTCTAGACTGAGGTCCTCCTCACCCCGAGAAAGGGTTGAAATTAGAATTCTCTGCAGTAATTTCTTGGGTGTTGGAAGCAAGGAAGAGTAATCCTCTTAAAGGAAAATAGAAGCAATGATCTCTTTGGGGAACATGAATATTCATAATGGTGGTACAGGTCTCATTTATCATCCCTTCCACAGGGTATGTGGTAGCAAATGAGAAGGAGACAAAGTGTAAGTGCATGCTAAAGTAGAAATTACTACTTTTTAATCTGTGCTTTTGCATACTACAATGAGAGAGGTACACTCCTGTGCTGAAATGTCTTGTAGCTTTAAATATTCATTTCTGTCCAGGTGTGTTTCTTAGGCACTTGTTCTGTTTGCCTCGAGGGGTTTAAATCTGTGAGCACCATCTGTTGCTGTTCAGCATGGACACGTTTGGGTAAAGACAAACCCAATATTTGTGATATTTGTGGATGGGGTCTCCTGGATGGAGGCAGCAGCTCGCGCTACTCAATCTCTGTCTGAACAGAAAGTGCCCATTTCCCTTGTGCTGCTGCTGATTGTCCTTGTCAATCTGAGAGAAATAGCTACTAAACCCAAATCCTAAGCAAACAAAACCCCAGGTTTTAACCCAGTCTGTGCATTTAAAAAACAGGGAGAAACTGGGAAACTCTTTTTCAAAAGTCTTCTGAGTCTTGTGCACTTGGAAAAAGAGACCAAGCTTTAAGTCTTTCTTAATTGTGTAGTGTCTGTCTTCAAGTGAGCTGTTAATTGAGCCCTTCTAATGTATGGGACATCAAGAGTAATAAATGCACACCTTGAAAATATCCATAATATATACCAGGAGTGCTCATTTGCTGCCCAGAAGAGCAGATACATGGGGATAATCTGCTGTGAGCTCCTCCTCAGCCATTCCTCCCACACTGCTGCTTCTGTGGCCATCATCTTCCAGGAGGAGCTGGAGCCACAGCCCCTCTCTGAGCTCTTCCCCACAGGGACTGGTGATAAATGAAGTGGGGACTGGGACTTGTGTGAGCCATGTAGCAACAAGAGGTTTCACTCTTCCCTTCAGTAATTACCTTTGCCGGCTTAATCACAAAAACTTTTCCAACCAGCTTGCCTAGGACATAATGATAAATTGTGGTGGAGGTTTAATGTTTATTATAATTTAATGTTTCATTCAAAATTAAGCAGCACACTCCTGTAGTCCCTGGGTAAATGGCCATATCTTACACCCCCACAATTTCCAGTGACAGCCACACTTTGTCTCCCAGGTCAGCTGCCCTCCTGCTTTGTTTCCAGGTTCCCCTATTCCCTAAACATGTTCAACCAAAATTTCACAGTGCTGTGTTCAAAATCTACTCCCTTTGGGCCCCCACGTGATCCTTGCTGTGCCTGCTGTTTGTTTTAGCCCCAAAGTGGCCATGTCTGAGCTGTCAGTGCACGCCCAGAAAGGAGTGAGAACAGTCAACTTCAACTCCTCACCATCAAGACATCTCAAGCAAGCAATTTAATGAAGTTGAGATCTGAATCACACCCTGAGGTGTCATTCCATGTTTACTACAGAAAGAGCCTGGGGTCACCGTGCTGCTAATTTGGTTCTGCATTTAAAGTCAAATGAGATGAGACAAGGCTTTGAGTCTCAGGTTTAGCCTTAGGAAATATCAACCCCTCTTGCCTGGAGAGAGGTGGGCAGGGAAGTGCCTTCTGCTTCTGGTGCTTCATTAGCTGTGTGTTTTTCTTGCCACTCTTTGGCTCTTCCAGCAATTTTTTTTTTTTTTGGTGCTAACTCCACAGTGTGTATCCATCAGAAATGCGTAAACAAAAGCATTCACGGCTTAACAGAAAAATAATAAAACTATTGTCTGGCTCTCCATATGTTCCTCAATCTTCCAGTAGAAACTGAAATTCAGGACATATTTATTGTTCTGGCTTGGAGCCAGAGCCTGTGTTTATTTTGGTGAGTGGCTGAGGAGTTGCGGTTTTTAAATAACTCTGAGTCTTCAGTGGCAAAATACATCACAAGCAGAAATTGCTGCATTTTTAATTTAAGCATGTGAGTGCCCTCATGGCTTTCTGTTCTGGCCTGAGCTGTGGAAGGGTCACCCTCAGCCTTCCTGAGGAGGAAGGCAGATTGAATGGGTAAAAACTGCCCCTCCCTGCTTTTCCTTCACTCTGAAATCCTCGTTCTCCTTAGTTATCAGGATAAGGAGCAAAAATCATGCTTAAGTATGATGCTGGAGGGCTTTTATCTCTTAAAACACATCAGCATTTAAGGGTTGCAGCAGAATTTAGGGTTCTCACTTTACCATGCAGCTCCCACTTTCAGCCAATGGGTACAAATGAAATGTTTTTTCCACAAATTTCCTTTATGTGTAGAAATTACACATTTTAATTGAGCTGCTGTTTTATTTTTGTTTTTGAAATGTTTTATGTTGTATTTCCATGGGGTTTCTGCAGGCATTTTCACTGCATTTTCTGGTTGGGTGCTTCCAAAAAAATCCTTATTATAAGGAGGAAGGATTCTACCCATGACAGGATAAGCCTGAATCCGTGAGTAAATCAAGCTGTTCTGTAGCCTAAGAATACATATGGTAATTTTGATTAGTCGCTCTGTGTGGATAGTGTCAATGTCTTCTGCTTCCTTGAGTATGAAAAATTCCATGTTAAATCATATCTCCCATGTGTTTTACTGTTTATACATATCACTGCTGTCACATTGTAGGACATCATTGTAAGACAGGAGAAAAAGTGAGAGAGGAAATTTATTGACCAACTTGCTCAGTCAAAAATAGGATGAAAATTGGCTTTTTGCCACATTTGGCGACATGTCCATTAGCTCTTCTATGCATCAGCCTTGGGACTTTTCAGCATAATTTTTTTTTCCCCAAACAGGATAAAGTTGTGAAGAATTCCAAGATGTCTTTCATTTATTTAATTGTACAATAGCTGCTGGTGGTTTTATATCCATCATCACACGGGGCTGATGTCGCCTGCCTTTAACTGCCTGTAAGACTGGAGCTGAATGAAATATAGATTAATTTTTCTGTGCTGGTTTATTTTATTTTCCCTTCTCTTACCCTTTTCCTCTGCAGAGAGCTGCCTCACTCCCCTCAGAACCTGGTGGCCACCCTGAACTCCTCCTACAGCCGCAGCGTGGTGCTCTCCTGGGTGCGCCCCTTCGACGGCAACAGCCCCGTGCTCTACTACGTGGTGGAGCTCTCTGAGAACAGTAAGTCAAATACTTCTCAGCCTCATGGTGCTCTTAATGAGTCCTTCAGATTCATCTCTCCCCAGAGCTGCTGACAAAAGTGCTGCTGCAGTTTGCTTAAGCCTGCACAAAGGGGTTTTGCACTCAGGTGTTTGCACGCTGAAAGAGTGGAATGACAAAGAAGGCTGAGGTGGAGGGATTTATTTACAGGACTTAGTTGCATCTCTGGTGTTGCCAGCCAGACTTGAGGCACAACGACTCATTCCTCAGTGCAACAGTAGTCAGTTTGTTCCTTCCCGTGGCTTTTTCTCCAGTTTCTTGGATTTCTTGGTGCATTCAGAGCCCCAATTTCACCTAAAAGATGCAGAGACGGGGATAATTCAAGGAACTGATGGTCTGTCAAAGGAACGAACTTGGATGTCAAGAGGAGCTGCTGTCTTACCTCTCTGTGGGCTCATATGTTTTCTCTGCTTTCTCTAGATTATCATTTTACACCCTTCCTTTAGGTAGGTGGTTGAGGATGTTTGAGTGCAATCCAAATATCTGACTTCCTGCATTGCAAAACCTGGGCATTGGGAATTGCCACTTGCCAGTTTTATCATGCTGTACACCAGTCCCTCCGTGGCTCTTAGTCTGCAAGGTTATTCAGGGACATTGCTAATGCCTCTTTAGGAGTTGATGGAAAGATGAGGGTATATGGAAATCGGTCACCTTGGCAATAGTTTCTAATCTCTATCACCCTAGGAGCTGGAAATCCAAGCCGAACAATTGATTCTTGATGAAAAAATTAAGAGCATCACTTTTTGTGACATGTGGAAATTAGTCACTGCATAACTGAATGTGAAACAGTTCTGATTTCTGATTATCTGGAGAGCAGCAGTTTGTTTTGCCACACTGAGAGCTTGAGGGGAAACTTGAGCTTCAGATCACATACAAGCCTTTTGCTTTGCAGGCTGGAGTGCATAGCTCCTCAGATGTGGAGGTCCCAGAACCAATGATCTTGACAACTGTTAAGCAAAGTGCAGGTCTCTAATCCTAGCAGAAATCCAAAGTCATGCCCAGAACTGCTGCCCTTAAAATAGTTCTTTTCAATCAAAGACTTCAGATCTTTTTGTAACAAATGACTAAAAAAAATCCACAATCCTGCACTCATACTCCTTCTCTACCTTTTTATCACCATCTTCCTTTCTATTTTCACTCTTCTCTCCCCTCCCATAGCTAAAGGCCAGTAACTGCCTGTTTTTCTTCTTTTCCTTCCCTGGTCTTTTGCCCAAGGATGTTTCCCTTCTGCTCCTTGTTTCCCAGTGGCTTTGTTGATGATAAGTTAGTGAAGTCCCAGTCTGGGAACATGATGCAAAGGTCCTAGAGCTGTATTTACACAGAGACAGCACAGAGGTGGCAGAACATGTGCACTTGGATCCTGCAGTGGGCTGCATTGACTGGGACAAGTCCCTCAAAGAAAAGGCAGCTCATTCAATGCCAGGAGAATTATGGAATTGTTTCAGTTGGAAGGGACCTTGAAGATCATCTCATTCCATCATCTTTCTTTTGTCATGGAGGAGTTTGGAAGGTCTTCAAGTCCTTTCTACCAAGGATGCTTTGTAGTTGTATAGGAATGGGGTAGATGTGCCATCATTTTAGAATTAATTCACTGAAATTTGTTGAAGGCTCAGCCAAAATAAACAGTAGTTCTTTGGAAAGCATGCACACAGTCCCTGAGAACACCACAGGGTCCTGTGAACCACTGCTCGCTATGTGATCAAATAATTTTGGCTGATGTGTTTGCAGTCTGCCACTGAGAGGCTCTCATTGTCTCAAAGCACAGGTCTGTGTCCTGCCACAGCTCAAAGCTGCAAAAGCGACACACAGGCCAGCTTTGTTGTGAACTGAGCATCTTCACTCCCAGATATATCCCAGGTCTTGCTGTCCTTTAAATTTTTGTCTTTATTTTCTTTGCTTTTATGTGCAATGTGTAAATGATTGCCCACAGAAGTAGAACAGGGGAGAATCTGAGCCCTTGGATATTCCACTGTTGCTGTGCTCTCTTGTTCCATATATACAGAGCAGTACAGCAATGTCAGCAGTGGCTTTGGTTTGGAACACTGACTGAAACATCTGCACACTTACACTGGCTTGTTTTGGTTTCTATTTTCCTGAAGTGTTTGTTTTTCAGGGTTATTTTGATCTCAGCAGTGTGTGGTTAATATTTAGCTTCTCCAGACCTCCTGCTCCTCTGGAAACCATCACCTTCCTTTGTTCCCCGCCATCCCCAGCACTGTTTGTGCACAAAGCTGGCATTTGATGTTGTGTAGGTAGAGCTTGGCCTGATACGACTCTGCAGAAACTCTCTTTGCTTTTCAAAGACAATTTCTGTTTGGGGTTTGTGCTGCAGAAGGAGCGACTGTCAGGGAGACAGGGAACACCCTCCACAGGCTCTGTCACTGTCACAGCAGAGCAATGCACCTCCCATCCCAATCCCCCTTCACTTTCAAACGTAAAGCAAGGACACCAGAATTAGAGTTTATTTTCCAGTTAGCAACGCTGTGCAGATTTTTTTCTTAGTTCTTGTGGAGTTTGAATGTTTGGAGTTTGAGTGTTTTGGTTACAGGTGCTGAAAAGTGGCCTTGTTCTGTTGGGTTTTTTTAGCTGTTTTAGGATAAATTCCTCACAGCTTTAGGATCCATGGCAGGTTTTGAAGCACTTGCCATCAATGAATACATAACAGTGTCTGTTGCAGAGAAATAGCTGAAGAGGATTCAAAATAACGAGTATAAATTTCAGGGGTTTAATTACCAGCTGCATTAGAGGGAGGCGTGTCACTCCACCTGGCATGGATTAGATCTCCTTTTCATTAATATCAATTCAGTAAAGAGATACAAAACCCTTATTTTAATTAGAGGGAAGAAAACAGTGGCAGATCGTGCACATAAATTGCTGGGAATATGAACGACTCTAGCCACCTAATTTTTAAAATTAATGTATTTGGCACAATGCAATAATTCTCAAAATACAAGCATTCACCATAGACTGTGTCTGTGGGTGACTTGAGACATATGGCCTTAAACATTTGGGGGCAAATTTATAATCTAATTTGAAAAACACAGTTCCAAGGAAACACAGTCATTAAGTATTCCTGCCCACACAGAGCCAAGAATGTGAACCTTGATTTGAAATAGGATTTTCAAATAAATAGTACCATGCATTGCTGTCATTTGCACTAATATAATTTTGGATGTTTCATGACCTGTTTAGCCCCATTGCAATTTACCTCAGAATTCCAATGAAGTGTCTTCATGGAGTTAGGAGGGGATATGCTTATTTTATTCCAAAGAGGTTTAGAATGGAGGAATTAATCAAAAAAATATTCTGAATAGTCTTTTAACTGAAGAAATGAATTAAGACTTGTAGAATTCTGCTGAGGACAATTAAGATAAAAGCCCATTTTTGTTTTATTGTATTCTGGGATAACTGTGCTGTGTCAGGTGATGATATAATTCAGATTCACCATGTTGTGCCAATGAGGAGATAATAAAAGCTCCTGTGGAAAGCATCTCTACATGTACCTATAAATTGGCCTCCTGAATTTGGTAAGAATATTCAAATGGCAAATATTGAACTCATTGATGAATCTTTGCAAAAATCATAGTAAAACTGCATTGTCATTATGATTGTGACTCAGATCTACATATGATAATTTTAAAAGATCCTTTTTTCAGGCCACTGGTAGACCTTGTGTAAGTCCTACCAAACAAAGGGTGAAGCATTGAGCTTTTATTTGGATTTTGTGCAATATCCTATTGCTACAAAGGTTTGAAAGATGAATTCAGTGTATTCCAGCAGTGCAGAAAATTCCTATGCTACCATCTATGCAAAACCCCCTGGAGAAGGAAGGAGATGGAAATGTGTTCCAAACCTGCAAAAATCAGCTTTCTGCAGTAGATCTGATCAGTAATATCAAATTAGAAATGATTTTTTGGGAAATTGCAATTAATGCATGAACTGTAGGGTAGACAGGGAAATAGAGAAGAAATGCCTCTTGGCACATAGCCAGAGTTATTGAACGCGTCACAAGCACATCCAGAAATTCATGACAGAAAAAAAATGTAATTTCTAAAACCCCAAAATGACATTGTAAACCAGAGAACAGTCTGTGAGATTCTTCATTTCCAATAAATTAAGCTGGAGAGGCAATCAGAGTTAATTCAGAATGGCCAATATTTGTAAGACGACAGGCAGATCAACATGGAAGTTGTTCAGACAGCAGCAATTACGGGGGAAGAGCAGCAGAGCCCAGAGTATGTTCTGGGCAGCTTAAGTTAAATGAAGGATTAGCAGAGTCTGTTCAGTCTAACAGAGGCTTTTTTAATAGTTTGACCTGGCAAGTCTTTTGTCACTATGGAGCTTCTCCAGGCTTCCTGGGACAGGTGAGTGACAGCCATCCCTGGAGGACAGGAGAGGCACTGTTAAAAATTTTATGGCATGTTTCCCTTGTCAGAATTACTCTTCTCCACAGTGAAAAGAGCTTCTGCACAATCCTGGAGTTGGTTGTGTGTATCTAAAGAGGGAGATCCAATTTTTTTTTGGAGTGTTTTGTTTATTGACTGTAAAAAAAAAAGACTTGACATTTAAATTTTAAAGATACTCTGCACACTCAGTGTATCCAGTGCTCCAGGAGTGAGCAAATGCTCCCTGAACCGCCCTCCTCTCTGAATCAGAGTGCCCAGGAGATGAATAGGCTTCGTTTATATTAGTTTCCAGTTTAATCTCTCTTCCTGCCAGATCTTTTATCTTCCACCAGGAGAGGAAAAAGAATTAATAAAGTATTCTACAGATGCAGCATATAAACAGAGCAAAGCCCCAAGGTGCTGAGGAGATTAATAGGGCCTGTTGTTGAATCAAACTGCTCACTACATTGAGCTGCTTGGGTTAAGCACTCTCAGGTGGTGTTTACACTGGCAGTAAACAAATGAAATGCTCTAGGAAACGGACCACTGCCCAAGTAGCTCATACATGGGTATTTCGCTCCTCTCTGCCATTTTCCTCAGGAAGTTCCTTCAGGCAGTGCACTAGGTCAGCCATACCTTAACTCCAACTTCCCTTGATTTGTTGCTGTGCACTCTGGCTGTAACAAGGCTGTTTGGGAAGTCTCAAGGGAAGCCTGTGAAAATTCAGAAGGAACTAAGGTACAAAAAACTCCTAAGCAATGCTTTTCTAGATGGCACAGGTGTGCTTCCTCTAAGGGCTCTCTAAAAGAAATCCAATGTTCAGCTAAGATAAATTGGCATCAAGATCTTGCAGCCAAAGTGGCTGTTGGTAAATCAACAATTGGCAAGGACAGACCTTCACTGCTGTGCAAATGTCCCTCTCCAGCATTCCCAGTATTCTGCTGTGTCAGTTTTCCTGTTAAAAAAGACTTCGTTCTGGCAAGGCCCTTAGTGGAATAAATACATTTGGAGTAATTTGAAGATGCAGTGTTTATAGCCTAACTGGCATCACACCCTAGAGGACTTAAACTTGCTAAGGAATCTGCCAGAAAAGCACAAAATGAGTGGCTTCTGTCTTGGTGTGAAGTTTAGCAGCCTTCCACGTTTGGGACATCTCATCTTCATTTTCAGGCAGACGTTGAGGTGACCTGCCAGGAGCCACGATGCACTTCTGATGAGCAACATGCACAGATAACGTTGCCAAAATCTACAGCGAGCTCCTCAGCAATTTCCAGAAGTGTTAGTAATTTTGAGCAGGGAGCATGAAAACAGCTGGTATTATTTAAAAACTGAACAAATCTTCAAATTGGCTGATTCCATTGCTGTACTGTTGCAACACAGACCAAATGTCACCTCTCCCTGACTATTTCAGTCATGACATCAGGGAGAATGTGTGACACCAGGCTATGGAGAGAAGAAGTCAGAATATTTAATTTTCAACATGTTTCATTTCTGACCTCTTTGAAAACTTGTAAATGCAATTTGGGCATCAGAGGAGCTTGATATGGCAAGAATGTGAACTGACAGCGAGAGGTTTAGAGTGCTGCCAGGGCTCTTTCTAGCAGGGAATCTTCCTAGGACAATTAGATTCCATGCTGAATAATATCACTAGGAAAAAAAAAATAAGACTGCAGACACGTAGAATCAGCAGCTGAAGCTTTCTCAGGTCTTGCAGCAAAGGGCTGATTTGGCAGAGAGAGTCACGCTTCTACACCTGCTTGCAAGCTGGGTAGGAAGATATTCCAAACTGACTGTGAATTTCATTAGAATCCTTCCACCAGAGCCACTCATGGGTGTGGTGGTGTGATGGCCTGCCAAACAGATGGGTTGTGAAATACACAGCCCATCTGTCTTTATCATGCTTGTTTCCTCTTTTATTAAAATGTTAATGAATATAGTTTTTATTTATTATGCCATGACATGTGCAGCATCACTTTCCAGTAGACAAATGTGCAATCTGCATAACCGTGTGGGCTGACAGGAAGGTTTCTTCTGCTGAAAAGAAACTTCTTCCCAAAGTTCCTCTGAGGGAAGGAAGCACCAAGAGCTCTGAGCAGTCAGAGGCGTTTTCTCACTTCTGCAGGGCTTTTGACAGAGACTTTCATCTTTTTTTCTTTTTTTCCCATGCTAATTTTTCCAACAGATTCTCCCTGGAAGGTTCACCTGTCAAACCTTGACCCGAAGATGACCGGTGTCACTGTGAGTGGCCTCACTCCGGCCAGGACCTACCAGTTCAGGGTGTGTGCAGTCAACCAGGTGGGAAAGGGCCGCTACAGCACCGAGACCAGCAGGTAATGGCAGTCAGTGTCTATGTGCTGAAGGGACAGCGACCTGGGGAGGGGAAAATCCTGCTTGGGAATGAAGGAATAAAATAAACTTTTGCAGAATTATTGGGAGATGGAGAAGTTGCCGCTTCCCAGGTGCCTGGAGAAGTTGCCATTTCCCAGGTCTCTGGAGAGTGCCCTGCAGCTGACAGGAGTTGAGGATGATGGCATTTGGGGGATGCAGGAGCTCAGCACATCATAGGAGAGGTGTCCTCATACTCCAGAGTATCAGTTGAGCAGAATCTTGGAAATTACATTTTGCTCTTGTGCTAAGCCCCAGCAGTTAGCCCGGGCAGGAGCACAGCTCTCACCCTGTCATGGTAATGTCACTTCTGGAATTTACCCAGATGTGACAGAGAAGGATGGCTTCATCATATTCAGTTTCAAATGCATCCCCCTTCTTCTGTGAACCAAAGCTTGCTGCAAGCTTGAATTGCAGAACAGCTGAACTCTAAATGGCTTTTTCAAAATGTAGGAGTTTGATATGAAAAATATTGAAAGAGCTGAAAGAAACAATTTGGAAGGAGTCACAGACACTGGACCTGAGCTCTTACTCATTCAGGCTTGTAATCTTTTTAAAGAGTTGTAGCAGCCTGGGTGATTCCAAGAGAATAGGGTTACCTCAGCTGTCTGTCTTGTTGCTTGCTTAACTGATTTCCTATTATGTTGATTTGTTGTAACTATTTCATGCATGTCTTCAGCAGTTTGATCAGCATTATATTTCTTTCTAGTCATCAGACTGTGATAAAAGAGCAGTTCACTTGGAGTGGGTTCAGGAAATAGACTGTTATTTATGATTTCTTTCAACACCCATGTCCATCGCATTCTTTTGTACTTAGGTTGATGCTACCTGAGGAGCCCCCCAGTGCCCCACCTAAAAACATTGTGGCCAGTGGGAGAACCAATCAGTCCATCATGGTCCAGTGGCAGCCTCCTCCTGAGAGTGAGCACAATGGGGTTCTTCATGGCTACATCCTAAGGTAAGTCCTTTCATAACCTGGGAAGTCCAGAGATAGGTCCAGGTGTGCACAAGGGAGTTGAAATTGTGTGAGTTAAGAGTGTAATAAAAGCTATCTCTTATTGAATTAAAGATATTAGTTACTGTGTGCAAATGCTGGGGCTGCCCTGGTTTGTTAAATATAAGAAAACAACAACTCTTCAAGGAGTCACAAGGGTGCAGCCATTTAAATTCTGGCCTGTCTGTCCTACAGAGTCTGAGAGCTCCATCAGCTGTTCCAAAGGACCTGTGGAGACTCACAAAATCCTTTTATTCAATTTTCAAAGGGAAGTGAAACTCTAAGTAATGCAAGTGTTCACATGGGACGCTGGTACAGTGCAGCCTATGCAGATGTATGTTTGCTTATTACAAGCTCAGCTCCCTGCTCAAAAGGTTAATTAAATTTATCAAAGACACAACAGGGCTCCTGCCTATGGAGGAGCAGCAAAAGAATCAATAAACTTCAGTTTTGTGCCAAACAAAATGGAGAGAGGGAATGACAGGTCAGATGCTTCATGGCAGACCTTGGTTTGGTTTTGAAAATCAGCCAGTTGAGTAGGATCCTTTCAGCCCTGTCTATATTTATTAATGAGAAACACATTCAAGCAGGTAACTGGGAATCCTGCACCCATCCAGTCTGGCAGCTTACCCAGGATTCATTTTGTTAGAAAGGATGTTGCCACTTGAGAGACTTTGCAGAGCATTTCCCTTAGGTGATATTTTGGGACACAGTATTCACTCCTACCCAATTCCACTACAGATTACTGCTCATTTGGCATCCTCCACACCCTGCAGTGCTAGCAGCCAGCTAGGGCCACACCTCTAGTGAAGGAGGCATTTTTTGTGGGAAAACTCCCAGCCCCTGACGTATTTCCAAGTGATGGTTACAGCCTCCTGTAGGCAGGCTGCTGCCATTTTTAATACAGTGTCCTCCAGAACTGTAAAAGCTAAATGCTGCAGGTTAAATGCCAACATCCTGTTCAAGCTGCGCTCCTACTTTTGCTGGCATGGATGGGAAGGCTTTTGTCACGTTAAGAGTGTTGGTGAACTCCCAAAATAACCCTAGGAAGTTCCCTCTGTCTGCAGGCAGAGTTGAGTGTGTTCATCTCCCTGTCAGCTGCGCAGAGCTCCTCAGCAGAGTTGAGCCCCTTGTGCAAGTGCTGCTGGTGCAGGGTTTTAGGGCTGGGCTCAGTTTAAAATGTTTTGTCAGCCATCAGTGGGCAAAGGTGCTTTAACTTCTGCCTGCAGATAGACTCCTGTCCTGAGTCTTGGTTTCCCATCTGCCAAGGGTGCAAACATTCTTTGTGCAATTCTTCTCTTCAAACTGGTCTCCTCAATGGTAGGATTAGTTCCCTAGGTATTCCCAGGGCGTCTTTCCCAGTCTCAGCATTAAGTCCTTTAAAAAGCAATCCCATAGACTCCTACTTCTGGCAATCTGTACTGTTTTCTCCATATAACATTTCCAATAATGTTTAACTTTGGGACTTTCTACAGTATTTATCTGCATAATTGATCCCTGACCTTGCCAGAACATTTCTTTCCATTTTAATAGTTTCATATTCATTATGCTCAATCTGTGAACATTTTTGGGGTCTTCCTTCTTTGTCTTGACAGCAGAGCAGAGAAACCTTTTATTCAACAGGAATTTAAGATTATCACATAAAAGCACAGGTGTCCCAGGTAATAAACCAGGCTGTTCTTCCCAGTTGAATTGTGTAGTCACAGCAACATGCACTGAAGAATAGTGCTCCTGCACTGATTTCTGCAGAATCAAGGTGTAGCAGAGTGAAAAGCACCAGCCATCCCAGAGACACAAAGCTCAAGACATGCAAGATGCTAAATTGATGGAACACCTGATCTTTAAAAGTGAAGGTGCACTGCACAAGTCATGTGGAGTATCCATCAAAGTCCATGGTGAGAAAAATCATGAAGACGTGACATTTCTGAACTGGCCTCCTTCCTCTGCCCTTTTTCTCACTGCCAATATTGCATTTAGGGGTCTGCCACACTAACAGCATAACAGATTAAATCACAGGAGCACTTGCACCTTGTCTGCTGGGCAGGCAACAGAGCATTGCTGCACTAAGAACTGACTTGCCAGGGAGCAGATGCCCTGCACAGGAGAGAGAGAGAGAGAAAGGGGGAGCAAGGCATTCAATAAACTCAGCTGAGAGCTGGTATTTCTTTATTTCCATTTATATTTCCTAAATGGAATCACACCAGTGTAGCATTACAAATATTAAGGTGCTAGAGATGGTCAGGCAAGCAGCAGAAAATAGAGATGTCAGTGATTAGGACCTGATCGCATTATAGGAAGATTTTAGAACAAAAATCTCTGGCTGAAACACATGAAGTTGTCTAGTCATAAACATTGCACTTATTTTATTAGATGAATTTAAAATGTCTCTGTAAGATGTCAATGAAATTATTCTATGTCAATAAAATTTTGGTGATTGCAGTGAAGCAAAGGATGGGTAAGAGTGTATGAAAGTTGTGTGGTGAAGAAAAACACAAATGTTTCCATATTTGTCTTTTTCCTGGAATAGTAATGCCTTGTGTCCCTTATTTGGCCTCTGGTTTTTTTTTTTTTTTTAATTTTTTGTGAATTAGCATATTGTTAGCATCCACTGTACTGCTTTCATAAAGGAAGGAAAACAAACAGTATTATTCACATTCACAGATTTGCAAGGTTTGTTTGTTTTCTATAATTTAGGTTTCTTCTGTAGTTTGTTGGCCTGAAGAGACACATCAAAGGGGCTCTGTTTTCTGGAATACAGTTTTTACATGAGAAAATATATTCAGTGTTTCAGCTGCTGGTGTCTCAGCAGAAAGAGTTTCAGGATATTTATCACCCACCTGTGTTTGACACAGCCCTTCCCCTGGAGCTCCAGTGCTTACCCAACCCTTCAGTGTCAACTATATTCAATCCTTATTTTAATTATTCTGTGGAGTAAATTCTGGTGGAAGCTAGGGGTGCCAGTGGCTGAGATTCCAGGAGGTCAGAGCCCTCTGAGCTCTTCCTTTTCAGATTTCAGAAGTGAAGGGAAAAAAACAATTTCTCAGGCTGATTTACAGCAGCACTCTGATAAAAATCACATCTGGGCTATTTTTTGTACTAAATCACAGCTTTTACTAGACAAGGCACATTTAAAAAGCTGTAATTTTTCTGCAACCATAAAACAGGATAAAATACCCGTTTTGTTTAGCCCTGAGCCTGTAATCTCAGTGAGATCAGATTATAAATACTATAGCAGTCAAACATGATATGGTCTTATCAGGAGTTGCTATGTTCCTCCTGATTATTTTTCATTATTCGTGGCAAAATTCTGCTGTAAAACTTTGCATATTGCCTCTTCACAAAGGAAGCTCTTTTTCCAGCCAGGATATTTTCTCTAATTGATACCATCTAATTAACCAGCTAATTCTTCTCTCCATATGGCAGGTATCGCCTGGCCGGCCTCCCGGGAGAGTACCAGTACAAAAACATCACCAGTGCAGAAATCAACTACTGCTTGGTGAAAGACCTGATCATTTGGACCCAGTATGAAATCCAGGTGGCATCTTACAACGGAGCTGGGCTGGGAGCCTTCAGCAGGCCTGTGACAGAGTACACACTGCAGGGAGGTGAGCAAATCCCAGCAGGATCTCCTTGATCATCCCACAGCTTCCTCAGGGGATGTGCTGCTGGCAATCCCACCTGGGAAATCAGTGGTCACTTCAGTCAAATTTGATAGACAGTTTGGAGCAGGAAGCACCTGCAAATTTTAAGTGCCTGATCAGAGCCAAGTCTTTGCTCTATCTCTGTTGCAGAAAAAGCTGTGAGTGAAGTAAAAAAATTATCTGTTTTGTTGACCCTCGTGATGATGTGTTGGCACACTTGCAGGTCAGAGTCAGCTGCAGCAGAAGTAATAAATAGAAATGCTGATGAGAGCTGGGGTCCTGGGGAATGGATTTATGGGACCTGTGACAGGCAGGGGCTGAGGTTACCCTGCCAGGAGACTTGGAGAAAATATGGCAGGGAATTGGTTTTATCATGGCCAAGGCATGCAAGATGCTGCATATGCAATGTAGGAGATAGAGTGACCCAGCTGCATTAGTGCTGATAATCACAGAATACCTTGTTTTAGAAATATGGAATAAATTGCAAAAAAGAAATACAACCTGTGGAGAAAGGGTTCTGAAGCATTTCAGGAATGGTGCAGATACTTTCAAAGGGGAAGATAAAGTGATCTTTAAAGCCCTGATTTTTATGCTACAGCTCCTCCACACTTTTCTAAGTGCTTTAAGAAGAGTATAAATTACACCAACAAAAGGATATGTAATTACTTTTTACAACCAGTGTAAGGCATGTTTACACCTCGAGATTGGTATAAAAATCTGTAGGATAATTAAGTGCCAGGTCCTTAAGGCTTCCATATATTCCCATAATTGCAGGACTGTGCTGGATGCTGAGCACTGGACAGTACATGGGCTCTACTTCATTGGTCATAAAACAATTATACTGTTTTAAAACCTAGCAGATTTACAGTGCATCAGTTAATTTTCAATCAGGGAAGAAGATGTAGTTGTTTGTTAATTGTTACTAGGAGTAGCTTATAACATGATTAGATACAGTTTGAGGTGTAGGGAGATCTTTAAGAACAAATTATTCATATGCAACACTAATTAACCACAACAACTAGGGAAAGAACTATCTATATTTTGTCTTAGGGCATGCAAAGTCTCATAGTTCAGAGGAGCCTAGGCACTCTCAACCTCATTCTAGAAGTATTTATAGCAGACCTTGAAATGTTTTTCTTGAAGTCTTCTCCTTCAGCCAGGATTAATGTTTTCTATCCCACTAAACACCCGAGCTCGTCAGAGAATTGGTTTGCCCACAGAATTTGAATCCCTTTTGTGATTATGCTTGTAATTCATTACCTTGTTTATTTGCACATTTTAAGCTATCATAGCACCTTAACCTTCCATCTATTAAGGCCCAGGTTTGGACTTCACACTCTTTTTTCTTAAACCCTGTAATTGACTCTAATTTCCCTTGATATTATGTGCAGTTATTATCATCCTTTATTGATTGGCTGTCTGTTGTCATTTATAAGGGTATAAATCCTCTGTTATAAATTAGGTGTAGTCAGTCCTGCATCCATGTTAATCAGCAAGAATGTTTAGACTGCAGGCCGACCTGCAATGCCCTCTTTGGCTTCATGTAATTCCTCAGTACTGGGTAGACATAGAAGAAAAACTGGATATTTCTGATTTATTTCATATTGGTATTTGCTGATAGCTGTTGATAACTACCTCATGGATGCTGCCACCTCCTGATGAACCTTGCTGGCGTCACCAAAGGCATATGTCCTGTTTTAAAAAGAGTTTGAAGCCTTTTTACATTTAGAGCTGAAAAGGGAGACTGGTATGAATACAATTTGAATCTGGATTAATATCCAGTCTCCGTATGTAATGTGCTACTGTCCAAATCTCTGCTCCTTTATGTTTGTTGTAGTTGAGAAAAGACAGGGAAATCTAGTGACTGTTTCTTGCTCCAGAATGTTTTTCCTAAACCAAACTAGCAGGAGTAAGGAAAAGCCATGTGTAAAACCACCTTGTAAATCATATTCTGATTTTAATATGAGCAGAGATAAATGTCAAAGACACACACTCCCATCCATCCCCCTCTCCTACTACCACACCACCACTGCCTCTGCTCTGACATGCATTAAATGATGTGAGCTGTGCTGGCAAGAACCTGTCTGTCTGCAGATGAAAAATACCTCATACTCATCAAGTGTGCTGTGCAGGCAGAGCCTGGGAGGAAATGAACCCCGGGAGCAGATCAGCCCATTGGCAGGAGCACATCAGCATATTGGCACCTTTGTCATAGGGGGTATTGACTGGCCATATAACCTGTGGATTTATACCAGGAGCTAGTCTATTAATCCCTTATTAGTCCTCTGGCATTGCTTTAGCCACTGAAAACTAATCAGCTGCTCCAAGCTCCTCAAAAATCACCAACTTCAAGAACACAGCCAAGCTCACGAGGTGCTGATGGATCTGAACTTGGGGGAAACTGGTGCATAATGTCAGTGAGATAAAATGTCAGGAAGACTTACTGGCAGAGCACTGAACATCCCAGCACGAGGGTCAGACAGGTTGACTGTCTCTAAAATCTTGAAAGTCTTTTCAGAGTGATATTCAGCCTAATCCTTTGATGCTCTGTATATATAGGTCTTTCTTCATCAGACTTTCTCCAGCTGTTCCTTGCTTTGATGTTACTTTTCACAGGGATTTGTGCCAGCCCTCTGCATAGGGCAATTTTAGTTATTTAAGCAGTGTCCTGCAGGACTTCACATTGCCATATGAAAACCTGAACTTTCCCAATATCTTTTCATGTAAGAACAGCTTTGTGAAGGTATAAACATCTTTGTGTGGTGACAATATTGTCTCTGCTCTGTACTGTTGGGCATGTTTGCCTTTTTATGCAGGTTGATTTGATAAAGCAGCAACTTCCACCCCTTACTTTGGGTCTGTCCCTTTTATCTCACAACTGTGAATATCTCTTAACTTCTCTCTATTTGAAAAACTCCCTCCATGTCTTAGATTTAGGCAGGGCAAGGTTTACAAGTAGAGACACTTCTTCCATTAGCCTCTCCATTAACATTAACCACTTCTGTTTCTGCTTTTAGTGCCATGTCTTTCTTTTGATGCACATCTCAGAAGCCAGTCTTACATCCCAAAGTTCACAGATCTCAACATGTATTTGAATGTTGTTTTGTTTTCCCTTCTTTGTTGTGCATGGACACCTTGCCAGGCCAAGAAGGTCTGAGCAAAAGCCCTTCCTGAATAAAAGTTACCAGACTAGTGAATCTTCATGGTGTGGACAGGATAAAAGCAAGAGGAGTCTGTTCAGCCAGGTCCAAAGCAGCTTCTTCCTTAGGCACTAAGAGATGAATCAGAGAAATGTGTAGAAGAGCCAGAGGAAACCCAGTTAACTGAAAGCTTCCTGCTTTATGTAGGAAATAATCTTGAAAAAAGAATTCCTGGCTGCGAAGGGTCCTCTGCAACCATTCAATTTATCTCAGTGAAAAGATATTTTCCTTAGTTTTCCCTTGGGTTTTCTTGGCAAAAATACTTTAAAGATCCTGTTTCACTTCCTTTGGGGAACTCCCAACAGCTTTGGAGCACCCATGGCTGTTTTGGGCCCAGCTGCTCCTGTGCAGAAGCAGGTTGGAGTTGTAGTGGCTGGGGGGATTTTATCTTGCTTACATGTCATTTGCCATCTACTGCTTTTATTTTATTTTTAAATTATTTCACAAGGTGATGAAATTAGCAGTCGTCTCAGAGAGGCCCCCAGCTCTTAAAAAGAAATAAAATCTTGTCTGTGTGAGAGACATGCAGGAAAGGAAGGAGGCGTTTCCCAGCCGCAAGAAGCCCAACTCATCAGTTAGTGCCAAATCTCACACTGCTGAATTTCAGAATTCACATTTTCAGATGTGTAGTGTTACAGAGAACACTTTTCCTAGGCACCCACTGCTGTTCAGAGCACAGCCCAGAACACCAGCAGGGAGCAGAGGGAAGAGGCTTCCCAGGAGGAATTACAGCTCCACATCCTCACCGCTCCCGTGGGATGTGCAGCTCAGCACCTCAAGCTGGTGCATTAAAGGAACAACTAAATTCTCACCTAGAGGAAAACCTGCAGTTCCACAAGCTTGTCTGAGACAGGCAAGCTGCCACCTCGAAGGTCAGGAGCCCCAGAGGAGCCTTTTTTCCAAGGCTGTGCTGAAGATCTATATTTAGGAGCAGGAGTCTGGCAGTCAGAAAGTCCACGGGATTTCCATGCTGTTTGCACATGGCCAGAGACAGAATAATTCCATGTACAAATGCTTAACCTCAGTGCCTTGTCTCCTCTCAATTATCTTGTCAGTGAAACCCTTTTAATGGTTTTTATCTAGAGTGCTTCCATGACCTTTTCTACTTGGAATGCTGCACATTAACCCTCAGTCCTGGGGGCTGAGCTCTCCACAGATTTCCAACCACATGAACTTTATCAGGAGCAAAGTAACAGTTGGTTGTGTCTGACCAATTTGATCTGCAGCTCTGAGATGCCTCCCAGATGGATCTTCAGTGTGAGATGGCTTTGGAATACTTGCAGACATGATGAAGTGCAGGTTTAAAAGCTGGGAGTGTAAATACTTGGGGATTACTCTTGAAACACCTGTTTGACATTGGCAGCTTCTGTACAGCTTGACAACAAATTTGTAGGAAGAGGACAGGTATCTACCACTAATTTAGAAAATCCTGTGTGCAGACAGCCACAGCTTCACGAAGTTACTCTCCAGGATCTTGGAAAAGTATTTGAGTTTTGAAGTGACCAGAAGGTCAATTCTGATTTAACTTCCCTCAAACTTCTTTTTTTTTTTAATGTAGAACTGCTCAGATACCCAAGGAAGTCTTTAATATCAGGACATAAAAGGAGAATTTTATACTGGCACTTTGAAGTAAATTTGAGATTATAATGCCAATATTTTACTGATTAAAAATATAAAAATGTATTACATTATGCCTTCTGCAGTATAATTAAGCTTATGCAAATCAGATGGACCATGTTCTTTCCATCTTTTAAATGCATTAATTGAGATGCAGATGTTGATTTTTCAATAAAGATAACCGAGGAGGAAATGTGATATAAATCATGATTTCCAACATTCTGAAGGTTTTATGTTTTCTGTTCATAATTTTTTCCACTTTTCATATTATAGCAGGTATTTTCTCTACTATGACCATATATTCTTGTTTCAGACATTTATCTACTAATGAACAAAAAATATTTCCCTTTTTAAAAGAAATAACTAATGCATTTGGTTACTCACATTCCTAAAACTGTAGTAAACCTGTCCTCAAGTGTTTGCCTGAGCTTTTTTGAGAACTGTGAGGACCACAAATGAAAACTTGGAGCTTGGGGTGGTGCTGAGCTGATTTAGCTTTCCTGACAGGAGGACAGGAATCTACCAGTGATATCCTGGTGAATTTCTGATAACAAACTATCATCAAGACCTGTAACACAATTTTCTTCTACAATAACAAATCTCTGGCAGTTACAATATCTGAACATGCAAATGTGCAGGAAAGTAAGAATTTTGACTTTTTAAAAATGTATGCATGTTAACCAGTAATTATAGAAGGTATTGCACACAAAAGCAGATTCAAATATATCTTGTGGCTCTCATAATAAACAGTTTCATCAAAAACATGAATAAGAAAAAATGCATTTAGTGGGGGACTGTAGCCAAAGCAACTCATTATGACTGTAGAGTGACTTTAATATTTATGACTGTATCTCAGGATGATTTGGTGAATCTCTTAACTAGAAAAACTTTATGATGTCTACAGGTCATTCAGATAATAGTCTAACCTTCCAAAAGCACACAGGGAATTATGATACATGGCAGGAAGTAGGGCCCAGATTCTAATGAAAATTTAGAGTACTATCAGATAAACTCTCCTTCCAGAACTCAATAATTATGCATAGTTCATAAATTGTCACATCAAGTTTTAAATTAGGGCAAGAAGGTTCTGACTAATACGCAGCTACTGAGGTTTAAAAAAGCTTCAGAGCAAGGTTGTGGAGCCATGGCAGAATCTTCAGGGAATTTTAGTGACAGAGGGCAAGGGAGTGGATGTTCTTGTCAGTTCAAACCTGACATCCCTGAGGATTTCTCCGTTTTTCTGTGTTGATATTTCTGGGCTGTGCACATCTCTGGTAAGTATGCACTATCCTGTCTTACTGTAGTGTCAGCACCAGTTAAGAATAATGCCCTTTTATCTCTTCCAAACAAACAGTAACTTTCAGTGGGAAGAGGGGCAATTTTGCATTTTTGAACTACTTTTCTTCATTTCTTCTCCACACAAAGACTTATTTTCTGAAAAGTAGTTTGGTACTTTAAAAAAAAAATTTAAAAGTTTTTAAAACTTTCTAAAAGTTCCTACCCTCTTTTTGAAAAGTGTGGAGGAAACCACCATTTCTCAGTGGGAATCGTGGATTCTCCTTAGAAGCACAAATCATTGGCTTTGGTAGAAACTTTCCCTTGGAAGCAGAAGGAACAAAGCCTTCCAAGCTTCAAAACCACTTGTGGATAGTTCCTCTTTCATAGAATACAAATGCACATGGCTGTCAATAGTGATATTTTTGAAGCATTATTAAGCTTATTTTATGGGATTTAAAGTGTCTTAGTCCATTTTTTTGTACTCAGACAGCAGTTTTCTTCTTAAAATTACTATAAGCTTGATAATTTTAGAAAATAGGCCTGTCTATTAATATTCTTTCCTCTGAGAACTATAGAAATGACATCTTAAAACAGTAAGTTGAAGAAATTGCTTGGAATGAGACATTTTATTAAATGGTAAAATATTTAAGTGCTGGTTTTGGTTGTTTGAAGGCAGCATGCCTTTATGTTCCATGCTTGCTTTTGTATTGAGAAAACATCTGTCTAATTAAATCCTTGGCATAAAATGTTTATGCAACTTTTAGTAGATTAGAGGATGTGTTGGCTCAGGATATATATAATCAATTCAATATACATGAATGCATATCATATCAAGATAAAATGAGAACAACTCCCAATTCCCAAGAAAAATCTTTACTACATTTGATATGACTGGTCCTAATTCTTTAAGCAGCAGTAAATAATAAACAGATGCTGTTGCCAGATTATAATTCACAATTAAAACCTTAATTGTGCAAACTCCATGTTTTCTTGTCTGATCTGGGAAATTGAGCAGCATTAAAGGACTCAAGAAATTTCTCTCAGAAACTCTTCATTCTCCATGCATTCATTGATGACTGAAAGAGCTGTGCTCACCTATCCTTATGTGGCTCCTGCCTCAAGTCTTTCTGAGAAACTCCTCCGTAGGATAATAAGCTGCAGAAACCATTTCTTCTCCTTCCATTGAAGGAATCTCCAATACAGGATGAGAAATTAACCCAATTGCCCAGCTTTCCAAATCGCTGCTGTTGCACAGGAAGTGCATCCCTCTCTCAAGGTTGTTATTACTCTGTGACGTGCAAGTGACACTCAGTGGGTTCTGTGTTCATTTTTCTCTTTTTCCCTTCATTCCTTCTCCACTCTGTTGTTGTTTTGTTTCCCCTCTGCTCCTGGGAGCAGTGCCCACAGCTCCACCTCAGAACGTGCAGGTTGAAGCCGTGAATTCCACAACCATCCAGTTCCTCTGGAACCCTCCACCCCAGCAGTTCATCAACGGCATTAACCAAGGCTACAAGGTGAGTACACACTTCAAATAATGTCTGCATTAACAGATGTAATATCTGCATTTACACATTTCTGGTGTAAAACAGAATTTCAACCTTATGATCTCTGAATCTCCAAAGTAACTCTGTGCTTTCATGAGTATCTTACACAGGTAAAATAAAGAGAGAAGTGAGCAGATGTTGCTCCTAACAGGGCTTGGAGCAGCCTGGGATAGTGGAAGGTGTCTCTGCCCATGGCAGAGGTTGGAACTGGATGATCTTCAAGGTCTCTTTCAACCCAAACCATTCTATGATACTAATATTTGCAATTTATGTAATTTCTGAAAAGGAAACATGTCATAGCCTAGAAGTCCTTATACCTTTGTCATTTTCCTGGAGAGTTTCCAAAGCCAGAAAGCAATTCCATGTCAGTTTGGAAAGTCACCTCAGGAGACATGTCATTGTGGCACTGAAAACCAACCTTGAGGTTTCTGTTTATGCTAATAAAAATCCCTAAAATCACCATTCATTTCACTGGGAATCAAGGCATCACACTAAATAATTGCCTTGACTTTCCCACTGTGATAATCTGAGAGATTTGAGAATGTAGAATTTATTAATCAGGCAACATCTGTTAGAGTACACAGAGCAGAGAGTGCTTAAGAGAACCTCTGACCAGTGGAGTGTTTGCTGAGGGACTGGGTAGGGTAGTTGGTTCTCAACAGAACCTCCATCAATGATTCAGCAGTCAGGGCATAATAAATGAAGGGTTTAAAAATCTCCACAGAGAGAACAAGAAGAAATCTTGCAGGAATCTCAGAGCAGGAAAAGGGAAGGCAGGTGTGGTTTATGAGCAGGGAGAGGCAAGGTTGATTTGAGTGCTGGGTGGAGTGATTTGAGGAGGATGTTGTAGTTCCAAAGACAAGTTGTGAATTAAGGGATTGTAAATGGATTTGAGATGTTTCAGAAGACTTGATCCTTCTCTAGGAATGTCTCAGAATGACAGAGAAACTGAGACAGAGATATGCATGGGAATTTTGGTACTTCTGCCCAAACCAATGTATATCTCATGAGGGTCAGCAGTGATCTGAGAATCTCACTGCTGAAGAAGTAAATAAATGCATGGAGATGTGTGTATCTGCTTCTGGCAGGAATAGAATCAGCTCTCAAGGCTCAGTGACTGACAGGGCTGCAGCACAATGCCCTGAAACTCCAGCACAGGAACAGCACTTGGCTTCTGTTCTGACTCTGGAGAATAAAAGCACTTTAGGGGTTCAGTGGACTGCAGTGCATTGTAATTTTCTGGTGCAAGTCCAAGCACAGTTAGCCCACATTTGCAAAAGTCTTATTTCAGATTTTCATTCTCTGTTATATTCAGAGTTCCAGTCTAAAGATCCTTGATCTCATTGCATAGCTACCTCTAATTTTTGTTTCCACTTCTTCAGCAATGCTATAAAAGAAGTAAAATTGTCATTTGTATCTGTCAGTGGCCAATAAAAACTTCTGAAATTATCAAAATTTGATTTCTTTGATTGCAGTAGATTGCCCTAGCTTTACCAGCCTGTTTCTCCCAGGGGTTGGGAATTGCAGTTCAAAGACTGTGTGAGATCATTTCTGTCACTTGTTTCTACAGAGTAGCTTTGTGTATGATTTATAAATTTCTAGTAGTCAAAGCCAGGCCTTTGCCTTTCTTAAGGATTAAACCCATTTTTTCCTTTAACTGACAAAATTGTTCACCTGTATTTTCTGCACACATTTCCTCGTGAACATGCACTCAAGAGTTCAGTCTTCCAAAGTTATAAATGCCAATTGTAATGCACAGAGGTGATTTCGAAAAGAAAATAAAACTTACTATCCTTTTCAGCCATTATACATTTTTATCTTTTCTTTGAAATTTATTTGCATTTCAATAAGTTGTAAAGTGCACTTTCTCAAATATGAAATATTCCTAACAAATTATTCCTAATAGTCCCCTAACTGTACTTTCTGGTTATCAGAGACTCTAGACATTGGCTAAATGTGTCAAATATGGCTTATTAATTTCAGGTATCTATTCCTGTTTATGAGCCTGAAATCAATACAAGTAGCACAATTTACACAGATACTGAATCAGGCCTGGAATTTTAACATTCTCCTGTAAGCCACATGATAAGGATTTTTGGACAAAATAAAAATTTCATAAACACTTTCAAGTTTTAGACCCCTAAGCCTTTAAGGCGATTTCAAAAATTGTTTCAGAATTTCAAAGTCGTTTGCCAAAAATGAATTTTTTAAGTCTTCATTTAGGTACCTACACATGAGGTATTGCACTCTCAGAGATATTGATCGCCCAGAACATCCACTGAGATGAATGAAAGCTGCAAGACTGAGCTCCTCTGACAAGCACCCTATTTTAAATGCATGAAAATGTCTTCAGGAGTCTAACTTTTGGGACTCAGGTGTTGAAAATTGTAGTAATCATCTTTACAACCGTTTTTCTATTCTTTCTGTAGTTCCAGAACCGCTTGAATCATTTGCAGTGTGGATGTCCCCAGTCCACTGAGCTTGTAATGCCCCCAGCCTGTGAGGCAGGGCTGCTCACTGGGGTGCAGGGGGAGCTCTGGCAGGGGGAGGAGAGGGGTGTGTGTCCCCATCTCTCTCCCTCTGATCCCAATAATCTCCCCAGACTGTGGGGTCTTTAAAGAAAATAAGATAAAGCATTTATGACAGAGTAGCACTGAAAGTACTTTTCTTCCTTCAGCCTGCTTTCAGCAGCAGAGACTGGCCAGGCTGATGAGACAAAAGGCTCGTGTCATCTGAATAATGATTTGCCATAATTTTGGCATTGCTCAGCAGCAGCCATGGTGAATTGCAATGCTGGTGTATCCCATCAGCAGTGAGTGTTACAGACATCCCTCCAGTGTCACAGTGCTGCATCCATCTGTTCAGCATCAGAGCTGACAGTGGTTTAACAGCATTGCTTGGTTCTTTACAATCAGATTAAGATGGTTTTGGCAGCCAAACCGACTTTGATTCCAAATAGATACAACTTCTAATGAGAGCTCATCCCTGTTTAAATTTCCCAGCTCCTGGCGTGGCCGGTGGATGCTCCAGAGAGTGTGACTGTGGTCACCATCGCTCCGGATTTCCATGGTGTTCACAGTGGCTGCATCACCAACCTGAAGAAATTCACCAGCTACTACACCTCAGTGCTGTGCTTCACCACCCCAGGGGATGGCCCTCGGAGCCCTCCCCAGCTCCTGCGCACCCTGGAAGACAGTGAGTACCCAAAATTTTAAATCTCTCTGCTTAAAATTTGACCTTGGGTTCACAGCAATCTCTTCTGACGTGACCTCGTGTCAGATGAAGACTTCAGCCAGTTTTCCGTGGGTGTTCTTTCAGCCTGTGGCAAATATTTGATTTTTTTGTTTCATTAAGGACTAAACCTGGATGATTTTTTTATATTGATGATTAGCTAAGAGCTTCATAGTCAGGTTCAGCCAACACATAATGCATTATGTCTGCAAATCCTTGTGCTCTTAAATTCATGTTCAGGCACCCAAATAAATATGAATTGATCTTCTTAGGAACTGAGCACTGGAACTTCCTGTGGAGGTCAATGATTCATTTACAATTGTTTCCTGCTGTTACTCAATAAATTGAAAATGTCTGTATCTATATTACATTGCAAGTCTTTGTGTGAAAGAAAGAACCAGCAAGGCAGTTTCTTGCATCCTGAAAAACTGGGGGTAGGATTAAATAAAATGAACTGAATGATTTAGCATGTAAATTATTTCCTGCATCAGAAAAAGGTTTGGTCTCTGTGGCCCTTGAAGCTGTTTTCTCAAGACATATTTGGGCCTAACAAGTGTAGTGTGTGTCTGATGCTGATAAATTGACTGTGTCTACAGTGATCTTGGCTCTGGCCAGTGCTTCAGGAGCACCATAAACACTGCTGCACATTTTCAGGTTTAAACCAGAATAAAAAGTGTCTCATTCATCCATTAAGATATAGTTTTTAGAAATACTGCTCTGCCTTAATAGGGATCTTTTGGGTTAGTCAGTGTTCCCGTAAAGAAGAATCCAATTGTTGTTAACATTCACAGGAGTGAGGCTAAAGTGCTAATCCAATTTTTCATGAGATACTTTTGAAGGAACCTGGAGAAAATTACTCTTCCATGGATTTTTCCTAGTGTGGTTACTCTCCTCTGTGTACTAGAACAGGTTGCCAGAGGTAGGAATTTAAGGACCAGAAATCTGTGTGAGCCACTAACCTGAACTCCAACTTGTGTGTCGGGGATGAAAGCAAAAGGTGTGGTGCAAGGAGAAACATGTATTAGGTTCCTCTGTGCATTATCGGCTTTTTGGCCCATTTTCCTTTGGAAAAAAACTTTAGCTTTAGCTTTTAATGATTTGTAAATGTGTTTGAGTTCATCTGCCTTCTCCCTCTCAGCACAGTAGAACCCCGTGGTTGATCTCAGTGAGTGCAGAAGGGTAACAAACTAAAGATACAAAACTCCTTGGATTTCACAAAAAGTTATCAGCTGGGAAGAGGAGAGAGACTGTTAATATTTCTGCTGAAGGAAAGGCTGCAGAAATGAACCTTAAATGCTTTCCACAAAGTGGGAGCAGGGGTAGAGTCATTGCCCTGTCTCCTTGAGGCTATCTCAGGGAAATGTTGGGATGCCATGCTGATTTAAACACAAGAGAATTCCATGGGGAACAAAAACCAAGAGAGAGCCTTTGTATTTTCTAGATAATCTGAGACATTTCTTGGTGTGTCCAGCTACATGCTGCAAGGAGTCTCAGCAGGAAAGATGAGCAGGATTGATTTATTTATTTATTTATAAATCCTGCAGAATTGCTTCTCTGGGTTTTCACAGTGATGGAGAAGTTCTGTGCAGGATGGTGTAATGCATCTTGAGATGCATTACAAGAGAACTCCTTGAAGCTGAGTTGCTTCAGGATTTATGTGGTGGGGAAAAAAGATTTGAAAGGCCTGTCATTCATGTTCTCAGGTGATCATTTTCTGTCTGGATAGCCAAGTTAGGCAATCCTTTAGGAAAACAGGGATCTGTTTAAAAACAGGGATCAGATAAAACCTGACATCCAGTCACAAACATCATGTCCTGGCCTGGAGTCACCTGCACCTGTGTTTCCTGATGACTTTAAAATTGGGCTGATTGGAGCAAAGCTTTGTGAGTGTGTGGTTTCAGTATCTGCAGCTCCACAATCCCAAACTGTGATAATTCCATGCTCTTGTTGGGCATTCCTGGGATCACTATGGGCTCAGCAGTTCTTCTGTGTGCTTTGACTACTGGGTACTGCAGCATGGGTTTGGGAATTTTCCTCCCTGGGACTGCAGAATTGCAAATGGGGTTGTAGCTGACCTACTGGCAGGATTTGAGCTTTTTTTGGTCATAACTGGAGGGGAATAAGAGGCTGGACTAAATTGAAGAGGAAACAAAACATGAAATTGCAGACAAGAAATTGCCAACTGATGTCAGTGGAGCTGGAGGATGCTCGGGCAGGCATCCAGTGACAGAAGCACAGTGAATATAAAGTGAACAAAACCTCCTTTTTCCAGCGCATCGATTGAGGACAGAACAGCATTTGGATCAAAAATCAGTCAGGTTGTCTCCCTTGAAGATCAAAATTGAGGGAGGATGGCATATTCTTGACAGTCATTCCATTTTATGCTCTTTCATTGCACACTGGGGAGCTGAAATTTTTAAGAGCTCTTGAGCTACATCATAAAAACCCTTTAAAAAGTTTCACACACTTGTATTCATTTTACAGAAGACAGTTGCCATTATGTTGGACATTTTTAGAGTTGTTTTGAGGGAATGTATCCAAGCAGTGGCTCGTGACTCTGTCCTTGCTGTGACCTTGCATAGGGAAAAGGTTTTTTCCAGATGAGGGGATTGCTGGTGGTGCTGCTGCACAAAACAGGGCAGGTAAACACCTCACAGGTATCCTTGAAGGAAAACAGTAAAACTGTTAGATCTCCACACACTTGGGATGATGCCTGGGTGAAATGACTGACATGATGATAGACAGAGGGTTTCTTCCCACCTTGCATTCTCCTCTCACCAAGGTTTCCAGCCTCCCTTAGCCCTGGCTCAGGGACATATTTCTCTAACCTTAGCCCTGCCATGTGAATCTGATCCCAGTTAAGTGGGTTCACCTATTAACAGCTTTCCTTTTCTGATTTGCCAGAGCCAGGAGCTGTGGGACACCTGAGTTTCACTGAGATTCTGGACACCTCACTCAAGGTCAGCTGGCAAGAACCTGTAGAGAAGAATGGCATCATCACAGGTATCAGCTGCTATCTCTGCTTTTATTCTTCTTTTTTATTCAGTGTGTGGGGGGTAGAATGTGTTGTTGCAGTGAAAAACTGTGTAGTGGAGCATTTAGGGAGAATTTGGGCTCTTGCTGATTTCCTGGCCCCTCCTCTGGGTAATTGAGATGTCACCAGGGAGTGTTATACAAAGTACAGCTCCAATTACTGGCAGCTCATGATTGTGCTTACTGGAAAAGCAGTTTGTGTTAGAAATCAGCTCCCCACAGGGTGTCTGGTCTTGTTAAATCCTCCGTGACCTCCACCTGCTTTACTGAATTTTTGGAAATTTGTGAGACCGTGCTTGACCTTTGCCCCAAGGGTGGGGGGTCCCTACACAGAGCTCACAGCTGCAAAGTCTGGATTGGCTTTGCTGAGGTTTGCAATCAAGACCAAGCCTGAAATCAGCAGAATCCTTCCTCTGTGATCAAGTGGTCTGGCTGTGGACTGCGTGACAGAATTTGCATGTCATTATTTAATCTGTTATAAACTAGCACAAGGGTTCAGAACTCTCTTGTTTCCCTTTGATGAGTCTGCCATTTGACAAGCTATTTATCTATTTACTGTATGCCAGTGTAGATACAACAGCAGCAACTTCATTGTTTTTCATAAAGGAAGGTATAAATACTTGAGAAAACCTCGAGTTCTTATCAACAGAGGCAATATTGTTTTCAGATGGGAAACTATTGCAGCTGCACAGGATGGATGTTCCATTTAACAAGGGTTTTCAAGGTTTTGAAGCAACAAAAAAGCTCCCAGATTTTAAATTACTGGAGGTAGTTGGGAAGGGAGAAAATAATTTCATGTGGATCAAAATATTTTGATTTTAGAGTGTTAAAATGTCTAATTTTTTGTTTTAATTGTGTTACCATTTTGAAAAAATGCATTTTAGGAGTTAAAAACATCTGATTTTCTGACCCTTGACCACTGAAATGTTATCTCAGTCTAATTTCCTGAAGCATTTTAACTTTGACAGGTGTAATTATTTTGATAGGGTTTCACTAGTGTTTTCCTCTGTGTATCTGTGACGTGCACCATTTGTAGCTGTGTGCTCTGAGCTTTTGTGGAGTCCTCATGCAGATCATCTCCTGCCTCTCCACCGTGGAAACCTGCCTGAAATATGCACTGATTTAAGTGGTTTGAGAATAGAACCTAATGACTCCTGAAAGCAGAGCAGTATTGATTCAGTGAGGATGGCCAAAGCCTTTCATGCCCAAGTGCTTAAATTTAGGTGTCTCCACCCAGGATGATGTAATACTGATCCTTGTTAAGCAGCAGGTAGCAGCTCTGTGCTTGGTGTTGCAGAATTACTTTGCTAAAAACAAGCTGCCCCCTCCCAGAACGGGTTGAAATCAGATGGAGCCAAATGATGGACTGGGTTGTATTTGGAGTAAATTGTTTCAGAAGGAATCAACTGAATCCATTCTCTTATTTATGACAAAACACCAGTGTGAAAATGCCCAGCAGAGTCCATAAGGAAAAAGAAACCTCCTTAATGATGCAAATTGCGTTTGGGATAGAAGAACAGCGAAATTGTTCATGCCCTGAGCACCTCAAAGGTTTAGAGAGGGCTGCTGGGAGACCTGAGTGCTCAGGGAGGCAATTATTCATCATTTCTGCTCATTGATGTCTTTACTGGACTTTCTTGTTCCCTGCACAGGCGCTGGGAGGAGGGAAGCACGGAGGGGGTGCCTAGCAGCCAACCTGCTCTGGGAAATTGCCCATTACTCTTGCTGTAAATCTCAGTATCTTCCTCGTTCCCTCAGCAAACACTGATTTATGAGGATCTGGATGTGGACGGACAGTTTGTGATTGGGTGTAGTGCTCTCGTGTAGAGAATTTACTCCACATCAACAGAAAATTATTTCTGAAACTCCTCTGGTCGTTAGCCCCCGTTAGGCAGTGTTCTGTGGAGTGCCGGAGTGTGGGGGAAGGATCTGTGGCACCTTCCCTGTCCTCGCTCACACCGGAGCCAGGGGAAACCCTCTGGAAAATCCAGCTGTGCTCCCCAGGCGCGTTTCTGGCAGGGATCACATCTGTAACACAGGGAGTGGGTTCTCACCAGCCACATGGCCCAGAGTTCTGCCCATCTGCCACTCAGCGTGGCTGAAGTGCTACTTGGGGGTGCAGTGCTTGTTGTTCCTTTCCTTCAACACTTTTTTTTTTCCATCTGTTTTTGTTATGCCTGATTGCATTTGGCTTTGTGTCTGCTCGCTGCGTATGTACAGATTTTCTGTTCTCATCTTTTATATGACTGGAACTTAACTATGCATTGGGGACTGAAATCCCTGACAGTAAATACTGCCTCTTTGCCTTTTCTTCAATTTACACAGAAACTTGGGATGTTTTTCTTGGTGAACATTTTTCTTTTTTTTTCCCAGAAAATAAATACATAGGGACTATGTGCTTAATGGGCGGGAAAGCTGGGTCTCTTCTCTGGTCACAAGGGAGAAGAGATAAAATGTCCAAAGAATAATCACCAACATTTGATGTATAACCTAAGCTTATCCAGATGGGAGAGGAGATATCTCAATCACTGAAGATTGCCTGGTGTATGCTGAATGACACTTTCTATTGTCCTTAAGCAACAAATGGATAGAGAGAGCATTAAAAGTCCCCTGCTTATCTTCCTCTGGTTATTTATTGTCTGGAACAGGCTGCACCCACAGCTATTGAAAGAAAAGGGTGCTTGTGATGGTCCTTCTGTCTGCAACTCTTGACTGAGCATCAAACACAGGGACAGTCAGCCCTCACCTTTCTGCTCATCCTCTGTTAATTCAGGCAACACAGCCCTTAAACTTCGTCAAAAATCTTCCTACAGATTACAATCCTGTCTCTGCTACATCAGCTCTGGTCTGGCAAATTATTCTTAAGCCTATTCAGAGAGCATCAAAACACCACAGTGTTTCCAAGACATCAGTAAATTACTGAGTTAATTAATTCCCACTCAGATAATTGTTTAAAACCAGTTCCAGATGAGCATTCTGGAGTTTTTCCCCTTCCCCTCTGCAGTGCAAAGTCAGAGGAGCATTTGTAGTGTAGCTGGAATTGTTGAAGCATCACATCCCTTTATCACTGCCCCCTCACCTGAAACATAATTAGTGACTGTGTGAGCACACTGAGCCCATTTTCATGCAAAATTAGGTCAAGATGAATCCCTGTCAGTAATGGCAGCTCAAAAGAGGACTGAGAACGTCTCACACCTCTCAGACTCTTGCAGAAATACTTGTCTCACCGTGCTTTTGGCTCATGAGATGATGCTTTCTTGCTGATTAATATCATGAGGGATTTTACTATATCAATTCATATATGTTAATCAGCTTATCATGTCTTTTTATTAAAAAAAAAATTTCGAAAAACCCTTCAAGCCCTCCAACTGGTCTGAATTCCTCATCTTAGATGATGGGAACAGGAACCCAGTAGGGAGTTTCTCTAGCCAGTTTGCCTTGTTCATGGTTCACTCAGTGGGATTCCTTTCTGTTAGTCCTTTTCACTCACTTCAATTTCACAGGCATTCAAGAGCTGTGTGTATTTTTTTTTTTTCACCCTCTGAGTCAAATCACAAAGAAAGCAGCAATCAAGCAAACTTTTCAGACATGCTCTCCAAGGACTGGCACCGTGAGGTTCACATGGGTTCAAATGAGAATAAAGTGGGACTGGGCAGGAGGAGGACAAGCAGATTTGGAGGTAAAATTGAGCAAATCAGACAGTGGAAAGTTTCAAAAGTTCTTGGAAGGCAAGTGGTTATCAAAGAGATAAAAAGGAAAGTCTGGTTATGATAGAAGAATAATATGGAGGTCAGGGCAGGAGCAGCTTTGGACAATGCATTGGCTCCAAGATGGTTTTGAAAGAAAGGATAATGATTCACCCTGCTGAAGGATTTCTGCAAGGAACAAGCGGTGGGGAGTAGAGGCTTTTCAGTTCCTAGAAGATTCCCACAATGTTCCTGCCTGCTTGTTATTGTCAGATTTCTAAGTATTTCTAGACAGGCAGCGCTGAAAGTTACTTCAGCATGCAAAGGGAGAAAGCCCTACTAAGCACACAGGGATTTTTAATTAATTCAGTAGATATTATATTTTCCAGTGTTTCTTCCCATTTGCTTTGTAGAGTTCACAGAATGAAAGTCCATCTTTCTGTCAGGTTAGTTCCAAGTCTCCAGGCCATTTCATATCAAACATGAAAAAAAAGCTGAGACCTCATGTCCTCCTGACAGGGAGATAAAGGTCTATGGGGTACCTGCATCAATTGTTTATTGGAAATAACAATATTTTAAAAATACTTGGGTACTTTAGCCAGTGTTTACTTCAAGGAGGTTTTTTTTTTTTCTGTTTATAAAAGGTAATCACAAGGAATGGCATAAGGAACAAGGATCCACCACTGCCCACAAGCCCACGCAGGAATCCTCTGGGTTATTGGTGTCCCCCTGAGCTGTGGGTGATGTGTTTTGCAGGGTACCAGATCTCCTGGGAGGTGTATGGCAGGAACGAGTCCCGCCTGGCCCGCAGCCTGTCCAACAGCACCCTGGAGTACAAGATCACGGGGCTCTCCTCCCTCACCACCTACACCATCGAGGTGGCCGCCGTGACCGCCCAGGGCAGCGGCTCGGTCACCTCCTCCACCATCTCCTCTGGAGTGCCCCCAGGTTGGTCAACCTGCAGGAGACAAAACAAAACCAAACCTGCTGGTTCTTGGTGTTTCTGTGTTCCAAAGGTCACGGGTTACTTCAGTTCAGCAGTAATAAAGATTGTTTTATTTGTAAAGCATTGGAGTTCTTTGCCGCGTAATTTGGATTTAATTTTCGGAGCAGACTGAAATGTTAACGTGAAGATATTTGCAGTTTGAAATTTCCAGGAAGTTGAAGATGATTAATACAAGTACAAAAAAAAAAAAGTGTGGGTATGACAATGGAATGGACAAAGTAATAAAGTGGATACAATACAGAATCTCTTGACATTTACTAAGTGACATCAGAATGAAGCTTGAATCAATTCAAAGTGTTGCTTTGGGGCAAAAAACAGAGTTTGGGTGATATTAAAAGGGAAAGGATTTTCCATGTGGAAGTAATATAGCTTATGTCAACTATGAGTGTTTCACTTGTATAGTGAAACTAAAATCTTATTTACAAGAATTTGAAGTTTTGACCTGAAAACATATTTGGGAGGAGGCAGTTCTGTCCCACATTGTCTGAGTCATTTGGGCACTTGTACATTTACTCTTTTTGTATTTTCTTTTTAAAATTCTACACTGTGCCCCATCCACTGTAAAAAGCAAACTAAACAGCCAATTCATACCTCAAATAAGCAGTTTCAGTTAATATAGAGGTTACAGAAGTAGAATTTTCCTAAAGTGGAGCAGTTATTGCTCATCACTGAGCGAATCCAATTTTTCCCTTCCCCAGTATTATTTAACTTTTCTGTCTGTCCTAAAGTACATTTGCCCTTCTATTCCTTAATCATGGGTAATTATGACAAGCTGCAGACTGGATCAATGCTATGATATCTGATGGCAGGGTGCCTGCCAGATAACAGCATTATCCCACTTGGGCAGGGTTAGTTGATCGATCGTGGTTCCCACAAATGTGAAGTAAGAACCAAGAAATGCTGGGTATTTTTGCATATCTGAAATATATGCCAAAACCCTGCCCATTTTTAGCCTTTTGCAGTTGCACAGAGTGCAGCATTATCATAAAATTACAGAATGGTTTGGGTTGGAAAGGACCCGAAAAATAATTTAGTTCCAAACCCCTGCCATGGGCAGGGACACCTTCCACAATATAATTACTGATTATATTAGTTATTTCCATTTGTTATAAATGCAGGTAACTGTTGAGAATTTATTATAAACACTCTGTATTTAATCTCTTTCCTGAACTTGCTTTTGTTGTTAATTCACATGATATTAAAAACGTAAATGCCACTGTAATCTTGACTGATGGGAGACAAAGATCTGATTGGGGCTTCAGATTTTTCCTCGTGGGAGGTCACCTTCTTTATTTGCTACAGGAATTGAAAAAAAAAATCATCTACTTTAATCAGGCTTTAGAAATGCCCTGGAAAACCTAGATATTGTAGGTCAATATTAAATACACTACCCAAAACTTGGAGTTTTTTCCAGTTGTAGTTGTATGTTCTTTAAGAATTTAATTCTGGGGAAACAGAAGTTCAGTGGAATTAGGTGACTTGACAGACCTGGAGCTGGGAAGTGCCTTTCCCCCAGGAACACCAGGGTTTATTCATTGGGAAGCTTCTCTAAAACAGTACCTGTAATTCTGTAGATGGGCTCTTTCTGTTCTCATTTGATCTATAACAATGTGGTGCATGCTCAGAGAGAAGAAATAGTAATGCTGTGGGTAAAACTCTGCCAAAAAGAAAAGAAAAATAACCACAACTGGGGCAAATAGAGAGCCCTTTTCCCTGTGTTGTGTTTTTTTTTTTTTTTTTTTTTTTTTTTTTTTTTTTTGGTGGTTTTTTTGGGTTTTTTTTTGTTGGAAACTGAATGTCAGCTTGTGTTACCAGCTCCTAGACAGAGTGTTTCTACCTCTCATTTACTTTTCTGTTTCTCCAGAGCTTCCAGGTGCTCCAACCAACCTGGTGATTTCCAACATCAGCCCTCGCTCTGCCACTCTTCAATTCCGCCCAGGATACGATGGCAAAACCTCCATCTCCAAGTGGATTGTGGAAGGCCAGGTATGTCCCTGAGAAAATTATCTTAATGAAGTTTCTGGGGGATTAAAATGAGCCTAACTAATGAATTCCTTTTGGGGTTGCAGTTTTTGTTTAACTTTGGAGCAGAGCTCTCCTGTAAATGCTGGAGTTGCTGTCCAGGGGGTTCTGGCAAGGTTGGGATGCAGGGGTGATTGAGAGGCTCAGTTCAGAAATGTCTGTGTCAGCCAGGGACAAAAGGGCCAGATGAATGCTGGGACTTCTGTTCAGAAGAACAGCAGAAAAAAGTGGTATATAATATAAATGTGTGTATATATATGTATGTGAGAATGCTTATCCTTCAAATAATTCACATGGGGTTTTGTTTATGTTCAGAAGAACACCAGATATACATAAACAGCACACACAGCAGAGCTTTAGTCCATCCTTCTATTTTGGAAAGGATTTGAAACTTGTGTTTAGGTTCTGTGAGATGTCTTTTCAGAAGTTTGGAATTATTATCTCATAGATTCAGAAGTATAGGAAGAATTGCACTGAGCAGTAAAGATACCATTATTCATGAGATTGAGTGTATTTTTCTATCTTGTAATGGAATATATCAAGGTTTTCTATCCAGGCCTCTAGATATGAATAGGATGAATTCTCTTCTCCATCAGCTTTAAACAATATCCCTCTTTTTGCTGTCATTATGCCTTGGAGGAGTTATATATACCTCATTTGTTCTCCTGACAGATGAGCTTTGCTTCTTCCTTTCCTCCCACAGGTCTTTATAAATACTGTAATCTGTTTTTAAGACCAAATGTTGGACTTCTTAAATCACCATCACCACTTAGACATGTTGATACAATCACTTCACTTGGTAATGAGATTGTTGTGAACAAGTTGGTACATTTTGTGCCATTTATATACACATTATGGCATATTACAGAATTAAACACTAAAATCCAATAATATGGTGGCTTAGCACATTCTGAGGAGCATTTTCCTGCTGGAACACTGCATTGATATTGGTAGGAATTTGTTAATTCAGTGAGTTACAGAATGTTGCTGAAGTGAAGCAGATTTGAATGCTTTAAAACTGCAGTGATAATTACCATGAAGTTCATCTGCATCCTTGAAGAGCCCTGGGTACAAACAGTTGTTTGAAGAGTCCTTGGTGTGCAGAAAGGGTCTTTCTTGTTCACAAACCCTCACCAACATCTCTTGCATCACTAGAAAAGTCCAGGGGTTTTTGGTTCTGACAGATCCAGAAATTATTTACTCCTCCTGGGGAAGGAGCACAGCCAAGTCCTTGAGGAATCTGGGCAGTCCATTTAACCACAGCAACCCTACAAGCTTCTGCTGCACCACACCTCACTGCTCAGCTTCAGCACAACAAGAAATGTTGCTCCTAGTGGATTTCAGGAAGAAATAAAAACTCTTGCTCACCTGATTAATGAAAATCAGTTCAGGTATGCAGTGAAATTGGTGAGTCCTCAAGGATATAGCAAATCCTGTTTCCAGGATGACAGCTGCATATAATCCTTTGTTCACAGCCCCTTTCTGCCAGCACTCCTCTCAAACTCTTTCTCTCTGAAAGTGCAATTTCACAGCACTTTTAGCCAATCTAAAGCAGAGCTCTGGTTGTCCTGCTCCTATTCCCTCTCCCCATCCCACTTAACAAGACTTTTCCTCCTCCTGCCCTCTATGTGCGCTGACACAGGATCAGACCTGGAGCTGCTGCAAGCTTTGATCCAGCCAAGAACAAATGATTTTCAGACAGGTCAGCTCTGCACAGGCTGTGTGTGATCAGAACATCATTGTGAGGGAAGGGGGTATGAACATGGCACTGGGAGCAGAGATAAGGGCAGGAATGCCTCTGTCTCTACTTGGATCTAAACTGCCTTGGCCCTACCCACCTTTCAAAGAGCTTTTGCAAAATGGTTTTTTGCTGCCAGTGCCACCCCAGTGTCCATTTCTGCCTTTGATGTGGTCTGTTCTCAGCTGGGATTTGTCCATGCTGGGGTGCAGGCTGGTGTTGCAACATCTGTATTTCAGCACAGACAACCATAGTTGCTCCTTAGGACTGTGTTGGATTGAAGGGCTGTGGTTGTACAATACTGGAATGGAGGGAGGGGTTTTGTCCTTCTGGATCTTTCATTCACTGACCCATGTTCAGCTTTTAGTAGCAGTGTTAATTGTTTCATGCCTTGGCATTAAATTAAAAGCCACTTAAGGGTGGTTTTGCGCACTCTGATTTTAAAGCTGATGGTATTGCCAAGGGACAGGATGACATTCAGCTATAAAACACTAATCTGTGATTTGGGCTCTTCGTCTGTGTTCCTCCCACTCTGTAAGCTGGGCAACACCTTTGTTTTGGACATCCCTGATAATTCTGACTCTTCTCTTCCATCTCCATTGGGAATTTACCTTTCACTCTCAATGTCTGTCCTTACAGACAAAATTCAGCTGTTTTGTATTCACAATCACAACCAACCTGCCACCAACGTGCTTTTCTTCTTTGTTCCTTTATTTGGCAGAAAGCTTCCTTGGTGAGGGCAGGTCTAGAAAATGTTCCAAGTGCTCCAGTTTGGCTGAAAGCCATTTTTGAAGTCTGATACTTCATGAACAATTTGGATGAGAAACACAGCTGGGAATTCCAGCTGACGTGAAATTTTTGTGCATCTGGCCTTGGTTTCTGCTTTTTGTTCCTGGGTGTAAATTCATGGGAGCCACTGTGGAACTAATTCTCAATTATGTCAATGAGCATGAGAGGAGATCAAGTCTTTAAGAGTTTAGTGTTGGTAGATAGTGAAATATCAAGCGTTAAAAATCCCATTTCTGTGTTTCTAGTGAAGGTACATTCTGTACTTTTGAAGGATTTTTTTAAAAAATCACTAGATTGTTTCTTTTCCATCATTTTATCTAGACTCAGGCCTGGAGGAAACTGGATTTCCAAATAGAGAAATACAAAAATGTACCAATGCTGTTTAAGAAATACTTCTAACATTTTTTTATATATTACATAGAGTATAAATTAAAGGGATGAGGCTCAAATGCTGTATAAAGGTTCCACTGGCACTTGTTCAGAGGGACCAGCAGTCCCACTGCCTTATAGCATTGACACTCACAGGTAACTTGTTCCTCCACAAAGAATTTCAGTAAATCCTTCCAGCCATCCTGTCCTCTCAGATACAGTTAGAGCATATATTACAGACTCTTTTTTTGGACAATTTTCAGCCAAGCATGACTACAAATCCCTGCTGGTGTTCATGTAGTTTCATGTTTGCACTCGAGCACTTGCAATCCGGTCTCTTGTTTTTTCTTGTGTTGGATTTTTCCTGGGGTTTTCTTTCAGGAAAAATGTGTCTAAATTGATCATGGAATGGTTTGTGTTGGAAGGGACCTTGAGGATCACCCATTTTCAACCCACTCTTGGTGGGTGCTCAGTCCACACCATCAAGCTGATTACAGAATCTGAGGTAACTTCTGCCCAGTCAGGTGTGTTGTTCTGGTGATTAACTTTATTTGCAGGCAGCACAAGACCTGCAGAATGGCTGAAAGCTGTTTCTGAAGAGGCATCACATTTCCTGGAGCCATGAGTGTATGGGCTATTGTAGAGAGTTTTTGCTTAAAGCCTTTCTGCTGTTTTTAGAAAGATTTTTGTATGAATGTCATGGTGAGCAGGAGCAGAGTTTCAAAGTGGTAAAACCTTTAAAGTATTATCTCTGTGTTGCCTTCTAAAGCTGTGAGGGCAAATAAGTTGCAACTTTACCCATGAATTTGTGTGGTTTTTGTGGGTGAAGCCAGTGACCCAGATAGGATTCATCCATTGCACCAGGTGATTCTCTGGGTGTCGTTTTCACTTCAGAGCTGGTAAATAAAGTGTCTGAAATTCTGACAGTTTTATGCCCTTGACAATCTCTAAATCAAAAATGGCTGAATCGATGTAAGGATTTAGTAAGAAAAAAAATTGCACCTGGGCTGACATCCCCTGAACCGAATTTCTCCCAAAGCGATTTCAAATGTGTGAGTTATGGACCTCTAAAACGAAAACTCTGGCACATCTTGAACTATAGCAGGACAAGGGCTACCTCTGTAATGTGCAGAAACATTGTGTTCTCCTTTCCTGCAGTTAGGACTTCGTAACTGAAGTTTTTTGGGGTGTTTCTGTCTTATACACGTTATCTTTTCATGCCAAATTTTCATGTTTTGGGTTTCCTTTTTAAAGTCAGAATTCTGCAACTTTTCTCATAGAGTGCATTCCATCAGAAAACATTGAGTCATTTTATAAAATATGTAACATTTTCCTTTTAAGAAATGGAGAAACTAATGCATGGGGAAGTAAAAGGTTCTGACATCACTCCCAATATTGTTTTACACTGTCTCATTTCTGCAATAATAAAGGAATATGGCCTTTTATTGGATGTATTGCCTTGGGAGCAGCTGAGGGATGGCAATGAATATGTGCTGAGCATGATGGGTGATGGTTATTGAGCATTCTGTGAAGTGTCTCAGGGGACAGAGGTGTTTTTATTCTGGCAGTGCTGGGGTCCCTGAGGGCTGTGGCCCCGTGGCACAGGGAACTGGTGCAGAGTGTGTTCCTCGAGGAGTTTTTCTGCTGATGGTAACAGAAAAGCAGCTGGTGCCTCATCTGCCTCCCAAAACAAAGCACCCACGAGCTTGTGTGATCTGTCAATAAACACCATCCTGCTCTGAAGTGTGCATACACTGTTATCCAAAAAAACAGCTACAAGAAAGAAAAGCCTTTAACTTCACTTGATGTTCTGCAGAGCAGCTCAGAGTGGGCTCTCCTGCCCCTCAAAGGACTCTTTTATCCCAACCACTGCCCGTGGTTCTTTCTGCCCCGTGGGAATCCCTTTGTACTCTGATTCTTGAAACTGATAAGTTTCCTCTGATCTGACATCAGTGTGTTTCGGCAAAAATAGTTTCCTTTTCCTTCCACAGCCTGAAACTTGGAATCTGCTATGGATTTTGGGGAAGCTAAAAATATAAAGTCCATCACTGAAGGTTTTCTGCTAAGGCTCACTTCTGAGAATACACACACATATATATATATATATATTGAATAAATAAATGAAATTTCTTCCGATCAACATGGACCTAGTACAAGATCCTTAGTATTTCTACCTTTGCAGCCCACCAGAAAATGTCTCACAGAGGCCATGTCAGCCCTGCTGGGCCATGTGGTCCTTAATGTGTATTAATGACCTGCCTGCTCTGCCCAGCAATTACAACCTGTGGGTCCTATTTTTTTTTTCTCATTATTTTGTTAGGTAAAAAATATTTTAAAAAGCTCTTACTGCTCTTAGAATACAAAAAAGACAACTTAGTCACCACTGGAGATTATTTGCAGCCTCCAGAGCACTGTGGATTGTTGCTATACAATTACTGCAGCACTTGGAGGTGATGCTGTTACGTGCAAAATTTGCAAAAATAAGCATTTACTATAGACTTCCTACAGTATTAATAGAAAATTCATTTAATAAAAAGTGTTCTCTGTTTCCTTCACTGAAATCAACACTCTCATCATTTCTTTGTTTGTGTAGGGTTTTCTTTTCTTTTAAATCTTTTTATCTACTCTTTGTTCTGCAGTTTCAGTTTAGGGATGTTCTGTTTTACCATGCAGATCCATCTCAACTTGTTTCCCTTTAGATTCCACATCCATGGGCTTCACTACAATTTATGGAGCTTGGTTAGGACTGGGAATTTTAAAAGGTCCATAATTTCACCATCTATTTTATATGTTGTTTAGTCTATGGCAGTGACCTTCATCCCCCAACAAGTCTGAAAGGCCCCTCAAGACCTGTCCAGCCACATCCTCCATGGAATCAGTGTTCTGCTGGGAAGATCAGACAGGCTTCTTTCCACAGTGCAATGCAGAACTTACTTCTCTGGCCTAATTTTCTTTGTGTCGTTTCTTCATGCACAAACATAAATATGCAGCACATCAAGTCCTGGGTGAGCAAAGAACTAAAACATCTATAAATAAATCAGGCTGCTTCTTCTGAAGGGAAAAAAAAAAGAAAATAGTGAATGAAACCTAATTTTCTATTTGAAGTACTCGGGGTAAGCGAGATACTTGGGGCCGTGGTGCCTGTCGAGTGTTTGACAGCGTCTGTGGCTGTAACTTGTGCACAGAACTTGCAAGGGATCTGTTCAAAAAAGATTAAAGGAAGTGGCTCTTTACACAGTGGGTTGTGAGCTTCTGGAATGTGTTGCCACAGCAGCCTGTGGGAGTAGATAGTGTCAGTAGGTTAAAAAGGGATAAGGTGTCTTTGTGGATGTTAAGTCTGTGACTAGACACTGAAGGGAAGAGCTGCCCAGGTACCCTCTGGCACCCTTCAGCCCCTGACTGTGGATACCAGGGCGCGGGAATTGGGCTGCACCCACCCTTTGTGGTGGGGTTGGAACACCAGAGGAACATGCTCAGTGCTGGGGAATTATTCCAGGGCCTTTGCCTGAGCTCCCCTGGGTTTCAGCACCAGTAAATCTCCAGAGTGAAGCCCAGCCATCCAGCCCTTCTCTTCTCCCCTCCTCCACACTCCTCCCATGGGTCAGGCACAGCCCTGCCCACGCGTGCTGCATCTTCCAGGGCAGGCTCTGGCCTCTCTCTCATTCCCTATTGGTTTCCTTTTAAGTCCTGATTCATCTTCATTTAATCTCCAGAAAGCTGCATAGAAAGCAATGCTCAATTCTCATCAGTGCTTAGTCCCTTCTAACTCTGCTGTGGCTGAGGGCCCATGTTGGGCAACATGTTGTGATTAATTACTACAAAAGGTTGCTCATGGAGAAGCCTGGTCTAAGTGCAGAGCAGCAGATGAGGTTAAAACACTTTTGTTCTTTGACTTTGTTCTTGTTTCTCTGTCTTCATTTCCATGGCATTTTGCCTCCATTGAGACTTACTTAGTATGCATCAGTTCCTGCGAGTTATTATCAAGGCTATTTTTCATTCTCTTATATTACTACTTGATACTTTTGTATTGTGGCAGGAAGATTGAACAGGGTATTATTGCTCTCATGGTGTTTTTTCTGGAATGGATCTTATCACAGGATCCAGTGAAATCCCATCACGTACAAGGAGACTTGGCTAACTTGGCTGGATTTTCTCTTTACAAATAACTAGTCATATAAAAATTAGTATTAACTGGAAAATGTGTTTAACAGCATTTGTGCTTTCACTGCTGTGATGACATGCATTGTAAAAGAGGTTATATGTATTTATTTATATATATATTTAGATATATATATATCTATAACCTACTTTGTATTCCTTCTAACCTCTCCCTTGTACAGGTTGGTGTGCTGGGTGATGAAGAAGAATGGGTGACACTTCATGAGGTGGAGAATGAACCTGATGCTCAGATGCTGGAGGTACCAAACCTCACTCCTTACACTCATTACAGGTAAGAACAGCAGGTAATTATCTGCAACATGGAAAAAAAAAAAGAGTAAATAGCATCATGAAACAGCTTTCCTATTCAGAAACATCTTGCTGAGTTTTATAATCTGAAGAAAAGGGAAAAGCTTTGCTGTTTTCATAGGTTATACTTAAAATTACCAATCTAATATTGTCAATTGTAATTCACATAAAATCCAGTTGATAACATTGAGAAGGAAATTCTAGTGCTCAGTGAGATGCTTTTACAAGTAACTGCTATCCTGTTACTTCCCTCCCTGAAGAGAACACCAGTGGAACATCAGCCAGTGACAAATCAATCGTAGTTAAACTGGTGCAAACCTGTAATTACATATTTGCATCAGCTTAAACATCTCTTCATTGATTTAACTTAATTTGGTAACATTAGTTAGATGAAACCTTTGTTTATAGGAATTTACCAAGTTAAGCTTAATAGATATAAGCAATGCCTAAACTGATTGAGGTGACTTTGCATTGTGGGTGCACCCCAGTTAAACGAGATTGATTTTTAAATCAATCCAATCCAAGTGATGCTGTGGTATAGACAAGACTAGAGAATTTGAGGTACTCAGCCCTAATGAAAAATACTTTCATGATCCAGCTTGATAATGTGGAGGTTGGTGGAACGGAAATCCAGTGGCAAGTGTTAAATCAGCACTCTAGAAACTTGTCCATTTTGTGCTGGCTGAAGGGGCTATTAACTAACCCATGTGCTGTTGTAAGCCAGGAGTAGGTGCAACCAAGGAGAGCTCATGTAATTTACAACTGACTCAGTGCTGGCATGTAATTTTCCTCACTTGGTCACAAACCTAGGAACATATTGAATTTCTCACTAACCCTCCACTGAAGTGTTTTAAACCTCATCTTCCAGAGCTAAACCTTTTACTAAAAGGTCTTTGAAAATTTTTTTGAACTTAAGTAGAGATTTCTGGTGCAGAGGTTTAGGAAAATTATCTTCAGGTTAAGAGGATTTTGCTCTCCTCATAAAGACAGATCCTAAAGCTGAGAAGGCAGGGGTGAGCAAGAAAGCGCAGATTGTACCACAGTTCAACCTTCACTGTCCATGAAGAATAAGGAAAACTTGAACACCCAGACAGGTGCATGGAGAAACATTTTTGGGATAGCAAATAATGAAGAATATGAGAAATTTGGGCTGATTTTTTTTCCCAGTTGTTAAACTTATTGGTTTATTTTATTCTTACATCTCATTTTTCTCTTGTATTCATTAAATTCTAGAATGGTCCCACTTATGCTGGAATCTTTCATACATCCACTTCCCTTTGACTTTTTTTCATTTCAAGGTGGCTCCTTGAATTTTGCCTATTTTTGTCTCTCCTGCATGCACAGATGGGAACTTTTATCAGTTTTGCTTCAGTCTTGACCAATTTTATACAAATTTTTGAAACCTAGAAAGCTGTTGCCAATTGGATTTGTTGTCCCCTGATCTGCTTCAGTCATTGCTCACTGAGGAAATGCATGGTGAGAGCTGATTATCAGAGCACATCTTTACAGGCCATTCTTCTTCCCTATATTTTGGGCCAGTGTTTGAGGGTGAAATCAGGACAGTATTTGTTTAATGTGTTTCCTTCAGTGCACTTTGAAGGGAGATCAGAGCAGGTAAATAAACACTGCTGTGTTGACTGCCTCATCCTTTTCCCAAGCTCAGTCATTAGGTCCAAAAATTAAGGGTTTAATGTGAGCAGGTCATGTATTTATGTGCAAGTGCTGGGTGTTTCCAGTTGCTTGTGATGGGTGAGAGTATCTGAAATATACAGCACATCTTAATTATGTGGTGCTTCTTGTAAAAAAAGATTTCCCTAAATCTTTTGTGACCCAATAAGGATTTCTATTGTAGAAGAGATGGTTTCAAGCAGACAGGGTATTTTTTAAAGATGCATATCCATATTAAATAACTTAATCTTTCTTGTGCAGGAAGGCTGAAAATGCAGCACAGGGATAAATCAGCCTCTTTCAATGCGTAATTGAGGGGAAATGTTATCACCAGTATATTTTTTATATTGACAGGGAATGAGACTATCCGAAGTTTGATATTTTAATACCTTTCTGAATGTATTGTATGAGCATCACCAGAGAAAATCACTTACTGCCAGCATAAGCTCATCAGGCTTGGTATAATTAACATAAATTTCTCACACAAATACCTAAGTTTCTAATAGACCCTAAGCTAATCTCATTTTCATTTTTTAAATACCTGAGAGGATCTGAAAGCAGTTACCATCAAGCATTCAGCAGTGAATACAAAGGGGACCCGCGTGCGGCGACCTTTGCGGAACGTTTCGAAAGCCGCTAATTCCTATTTTTCCACCCGTCCTCCCGCCCTGGCGAAGCAAGGGAGCATTCCCCAAGCCCTGACAGCAGCACTCACTGCCTTTTTCCCCCCTTGCTGCAGGTTCCGGATGCGGCAGGTGAACGTGGTGGGCCCCAGCCCCCTGAGCCAACCCTCGCGGGTCATCCAGACCCTGCAGGCCCCGCCGGACGTGGCCCCCGGCAGCGTCACCGTGCGCACGGCCAGCGAGACCAGCCTGTGGCTGCGATGGGTGGTGAGCAGCTCGAGGGACATGGGGATGGGATGATGGGGATGGGGCTGCTCCCCTGGGGCCAGGGCAGCCCTCCCAAAGTGCCACCTCCTCCTCGTGGTGCTCAGCGCAGAGGAGTAACAGCCAAATTGTTTCCTTTTCCAGACTAGTCGGAAATCTGAGCCTTGCCTTAAGTGCCTTATTAATCAAATAAATTGCCTACTGCCACTGTTTCTGCCACTTCATCAGGGGAATGTGGCTGTGTGTAAAAGCTTGGCTTTGAGGAGCTCCAGGACCACAGTCTAGGTCAACACGTGGGCCAGGAATGGGGCGCTTGAGCCAATTTGCCGCTTTCCAGGGCTCGGTTGTTTGCTCTGTACAAAACATTCCCCAGAAGGTGCACCCCAGCCATGGGCAGCATCCTGTGGTTCTCAGAGCTGTGGTGCAGAAGCAGCGAGGCTGGCACTCCTGTGGGAAGATTCGATTTAGCTGAATTGGTGTGGAATTATGCGCTAGAATGCAGAGATAAATGATTAATTGCAAAGATGCGGCAATTGCTGACATCGCTGTGCCCCTTTGCCCATCTCAGTTACCTGCAGAGTTGCCACGTTGGGATTTACTTGGCAATTAACCTGCTCCAGAATGGTTTTTCTTCACCCCTGTTAGGCAGAGTTTTCCACCGGGGTTACTGTGGTGTGAAGCTGATGAAGCACAGGTTTCCTTTTGCCCAAATGTTAGCTTTTCCATGCATAAACTCATTATGGCTGGAAGTCAAAATCAGGCTGGGAACAAGAGGGTTTTTCTCCTGTTGGAAAGGAATAATTCCACTTTCTCAACAGGATACTGCACTTAATATTGAACCTTGCCAGACCAAAACCTGAAACTTGAAAGTGTCACCTCACTACCCACAGAAGAGCCATTGCAGTTCCTTTGAGAGGCCCCACACAACTCTGTCATGGCTTTTCTGTGTGAATGTCATGCCCATAAGTGGGGCTGTATCCAGACCTACATATCTTCCATCAAAATTAACTCTAGATTGTTTTAAGAGCCTTTAAAACATTAAGATTGAGCTGCCTGAAAACCTGTTTTCCTTGAGTCAAACTGCAGGGTTCAGGAGAAGCAACAGCCACAGCTAAAAATGACCTGATAAACGCTTTTCATGCTTAATAACATCAATATTTGAAAGTGTTTAATGTCTTTTATTTCAAGACCTGCAGGTGAATCTGTTTTCCCCTGGGAGCTGGGGATTCCTCCCTTCCTGCAGAATGAGGGTCTCGCTTCTAGCCGTGCATGCCTGCAGGGTAGAGTCTTCTAAGCTGTGAAATGTTAATGTGTATCCAGCTTTCCCAGTGAATCAGAACTGAGTCTCAGCCATCCGTGGCATCGTGTAGTTAGTTTTACAGCAGAAAAACTCCAAACTTCATGAAGTAGGCTAATTATTTCATATTTTAATCTCTGAAATTGCTTGGGGAGTTAGAATACTAGAATGAATCTCTGCTGATAAATGAGTAGGCAGAGAGTCAGTAAAAAAAAAGTAAAAAATGTACGATAAATGAATTTGTCACATGCTTCAGCAATTTATCATTCATTTCCATAATTAATCACAAAGCTCTAAAATATACTGTATTCATATCGTCTCTGATGATACACCCACAACAAAGGGCTTGGTTTTGTGAGCAAACCTTCTTGGCTCAAAATTAAGGTAAAAAAAATCAAAACAAAAATTCCAAGCAGCACAGAAACCTAGAGATCACGAACCATAAACTAGAAAATCAACCTCTTGATCATTTTTGCCTTGCTGTGGCCTGCACGTGGGTTCAGGCTGACGGGAGCGTTGTGTTTTCCTGTCACCCGCCAGCCGCTCCCCGACACGCAGTACAACGGGAACCCCGAGTCGGTGGGGTACAGGGTCAGGGCGTGGCGCGTGGATCTGCCGTCCCCAGCCCTGCTGAAGGTCCTCGCCGACCGCCTGGCGCGGGAGTGCACGCTGGAGGAGCTGCAGGAGTGGACGGAGTACGAGCTGCAGATCCAGGCCTTCAACGCCATCGGGGCAGGGCCCTGGAGCGAGGCCGTCAGAGGTCGGACACGGGAGTCGGGTGAGTCCAAGCACCACATCTGCTGGCACAGAAAACCCAGGAAATTCACCACGTTCTGCCCTTTTATTCACATTTTAATTTTTTAGTTTGGCGTTTCGATGTTGGGTGGGGATTTTTTTGCTTGCTGAGCCGTGAAATCTGAAATTAAGTTTTGAAAAAACTATCTTGAGATGCACTGCAGGCAAAAAGACGTACAGACATTTGAAGGGTATTTCTTTTATTTTATTCCTACCTTGCTTTCATGCAAACCTTCAGGTTTTTTATTTAAAGCAAACAAAACAACCTTTCCCCATTTCTGCCCCAGTGTGGATAGCACAAGGAGAAGCTCGTATAAAGACTTTTCTGTCTGAGATGCTCTCTCATGCCTCTTCTTCCTCCCCAGTACCTGTTTCCCCTAATCCTTCCCTTTTCACTGTCTGCTTCTAGCCTGAGGCACATTTTCTCACAGCTGTGGTTACCTGAAATTTCATTTCAAGCCCCAAATAATTCTAAAAGGGCACAAGTCACGTTAGAGAGCTGATTACACGGACAGAAATAAAATAATTACCTGAGCTTCTGATGGCACGTTTTCAAACCTGCCTTCCAAAATTGTGTGTACAAGGCTGTGTAGACATAACCTGCTCACAGACCTGGAGCAGCGGGGCTGTATTGTTGAGCTGAATTGTCCAGGCAAGCACAGAGACTTCAAATATCAGAAGGAAGCTGTCACTCTCAGGCAACAGTAAATTACTGTTAGTTCAGGAGAGCAGTGAAGGCAGATGTTGAAAAGCTGCTCTCTAGCTGTTGACTTCCCCAAAACTTATTTCCAGACCTATCCTGCATGCATCTGGGAAATGAAAAGTTATGTTGCAAGTTAGCAACAAAGTTGGCGACATGTGCAGTTTAAAAGTTTAATAATAAATCTATTTGCGACACGTATTTTTGCAAGGTTCAATGCTGATTTTTCCCTGTTTGTTTTTTTTTTTTTATTTTTTTTTTTTTTTGCAAATTTTCTTTGCTAAAGAAGTTTTGGGATTTAATCCTGTGCATGCCTGATGTGTGCCCTGTGTACCACGCAGTGTCCCTTGGTGGGAAGTGAGACCAGGCACAGCAGGGTTTGGTCTGCTGGTTCAGATAACTCTGCTTTGAACTAGCCAGGGAGAAAACTAAACAAAGTCATCCCCCTCCACTGAAGTGTTGCTCTTTGGGAGGGAGTAATTGGAAAGCGATTGCCAGAGGTATTTTAAAGAAGGCTTGTGCTGGAGTTAGAGATAGCACGACCCAGACAAAGCAGTTCTATATCGTAATAAAAAGATATCACATCCTCCACTTTTGCCTCTCCACTGCTCTTCAAACACTTCTTTTGAAATGTAGTAAATACTAAGATTAAGTCATTTCATAAAACCTTAGGATTGCAGCTCTCTTGCTCAGCATCTAAAGATCAGAGGTTACGTGTGGATCTGGCATTTTCTCTGGGAGTATTAAGAGAAGGTTGACTTGAAACTGATTGTAGGAGGCACACAGAACCCGGGATCAAAATAACACAAAGCTGTGATCTAGGCCGTAAGGACTCGTTTGGTTTTTTCCATGTGTTTGCTTTGATACTGACATCTGATTTCTTGCATAGAGCAAGTTGGGGCTCAGACTTTTGGCTGTATCTTCCTAGATTTAGAATATACAAGATGTGCTGGCTTAGCAGCAGACTGTATGAAAGCACTCCAGGGAATCTGGAATTAACCTGTATGCACAGTCAAATGGGGTTAAAATGCAAATAAAAAATATTTAAAGCCAGAGAGAAAGGTCAAAGCACTTTTAGGTCTGTCTTTGGAACTATAAGAAAAATTCTATTCGTGGCTTATGTTCTTCAAGCACTTCAAAATATTTCTTTTTCCATTTTTTAGATACAGAGTCTTAGGGAAGTTGGTTTGCTGGTGCTGGGGGTTGTAAACATCCCGCACAGCTGGCCAGAGGTGCCTTGGTCAGGATCATGTGGTGCTTCATTGGCACAACTCCTGGTTCCATGTTTTATGCCATCCAAGGAGATAAGGAGTAGAGCCCAGGCACTAAACCAGGTCGTGGTATCTGATGGCAGTGCAGCCACTGGAGCCCAAAATCTTTATTGAAAATAAAGCTCTGTTTGAGCATTTGTTTGCTTTAGCTTGTGCAATCACAGTACTGATAGCTGAGCACAAATGCCAACAACAATAGTGGGGCATGTCATTACAAGTACTCACTGGTTTCTGAAGCTCTTGAATATATAAAACAAATCAAACCCAAAGAAACTAGGAGGGAATAATAATGCTGTAGGTTTTGGTAACACTGGTAAACAGTTGGGAATTTCTAAAATGAAAATCTGGGGTAGGGTTACAAGCAGCTGAAGGTGGAGGGAGATGAGTTAGGATTTTTAAACAGGACAGGTTCTATCAATCCAAAATGTTTCTGTAATGTTAGAAATTAAATAGCTCATTAAATTTTACAGTGTAAAATAACTGCAGAGTAACAAGCTCAGTTTCCACTCAATAAATTGACAATGACAGTAGGTCCAATATAGAGAAAGCAAGAAATTGCAGAGACATCTGATGTATTAGAACAACCTTGGCACGGCTGCTTCCTCTTAGATACAGACCCTGTTGCTTTCAAAAAAATTCATCTCAGATACACCTAACCCAGTGCCTTAATGGATTTTGTGCTCTTAATATTCAGCTACATGAATGTGTACACTCGTCTTACAGGATGAGCTACTGTAGGAGCATGGTCACACATCCATGGCAAGGATCAATCTCCTGGTGCTTGGGAGTCTGACCTTCACAGAGCAGTTACTGTGCTGTGATGGAGCATCTCTTGATAATTCAAATGTGGTCCAATGTCACTGTAGAAATTTGTACAAGCTGAGGATTTGGCCTGCAGTACCTAATTTTAAAGGCAAAGTGGATGTGTGCTGCAGCTATGCTACTTTTGCCATGAACCTTGCTGGAAATTTGCACTTCTTAGCCAACGTCAGATGTACAATATGCCACTTTAATTTTTGCTTTCAAAAAGAGTGAGGGATGTGCAGCTAAAATGAGCTGCAAAAATGCAGAGAACCACTGCATCCCACTCTCTAGCTTTCTTAGAAAGCCAGAATACAGACTAGCTTATTAAAAGCTCCTTTTGGCCCAGTTAGAGACATAAAACGACACAATTTGCTGTACATCAGATGTGGCTGTGTCAGATGTAGAAAGAGGATGCATAATTTTAGATGCCAAAGTGGATAACCTTAAAAACTTGAGCTGTTATTGACGTTCCAGTGCAAAGTGCCAGTAACTCTGTGATTTCCTATGTTTGATCTTCTGAAGTGCTCCGCGCTGGCACTTGGCTGGATTAGCTCATCGTTTAGTTTCAGTGTTTCCGGTTCATTTTGTTCATGCTCTGGGACTTTTTTGGACACTGTTGCTCAGCTTCTGTGCTGTTCTTGCAGGTTACTAATGAGAACTCAGCTTTTTGGAGCTTATAACAAAGTCTTCAGTGCAACAGTTTAAGGAACCCAGCATTAGAGAAGGGAGCTTGCAGAGGAAAGTGGGATTATGTGTCTCACTCACTAATTAGTCTTAGCAAACTATAATTTCTTTGAATCACAGCTTCCTCAGAGAAGAGATGGGTCAGAGAAATGAAGGTTACCTTTCAATTCATTCTTAGAGGGTCAATCAAAGTCAGTTACTTGATAAAAGGCTGGCAACAATAAGATCCATAAAATCACTTGCAGTTCTTGAATTCATATTAGAATCAAATTCTCGACACTCGCTCGAGGTGAGGACTGAAGATTTAAAGCTCGCTCAATGAACACAAGGATTTTTACCATTCAAGCAATGGACTTAGATTCCTTTCCAGTGAGAGGGGGCATTCAGCTGCTCTATCACTGGGAATTGAGAGAGGTCTGAGATAATGAACCTCCTTCTCTCCTTTGTCAGCTGTCCAGTGCCCCACCAGCAGTATGACCATCCTCACCTCAAAGCCAGGATGCCCTCGGGGCCAGCCCGGGCACAGCCTCTGCCTTCTATGAATTCAGGAGAGTTCCTGGCTGCTGATCAAAGAGGAAAATAAATATTTGTAAAATAAAGTAACTTTTTCTCTTTTGAAAGGCCTCAAACCAGATAAAACAGAAATAAATGTGGTGGGAAAGGGCTTCTTTCCTCTACGCATCCTGGTTTCTTGTGACCCACCTCCACCCTTTCTCTCTCCAGGAGTGATTCATGTGGGAGTAGCTCTTTGTGAAGATCTACAGATAAAGTTATGGCAGCTATCCAAAGACATTCATGGCTCCTGGCAATCTATTTTCCTTTAACATAATTATATCCTTGTGGGGGATAAATCTGGGAGAAGATTTTAAAGAAAAAAGACACTTCAGTGTTGGAGGGGGGAAAAAAATTGGATTTCAGTCTGCTGCAGTGTCATTGTGATGGTGCTCTGTTTCTTATGCCCCAAATAATTAGTATCAGGGAAATTGTTTCAGAAATTACTATCTCTGCTGTTAACCTTGAGTGCACAGGGGTGGGGGTACCACGTTTTGGGGGTGGGATTTTTCCATTTTTATTAATTCTGGTGTCATACTCATTATCTCATTCATGTTGCTAGGAGCTTCAGGAGCTCGCCTCCAAAACAGCAGATCTGTTCTTTCACTCGGACAGCCAGGAAAGCTTTCCTTTGGCAGAGCTTTGGGCTGCTTTTTGTGATATATTCAGGCCCTAATCAAGCTGTACTGTCCCTAAGTGCTTATGTAACATAACTTGGTGAATGTTCTCTGGAGGTCTGACAGGTGTATCAGGCTTTAGAAAAGATTGTAGCCTTCAGATGCTGGAAATGCCATGGGGAAAAAATGCAAAAGGGCAGCATAAAATGTGAACTCTTAAAAATAGCCTCACATCCTGCTTGCATAACGTGGCATGCTATTAAGCTTGCCTACAAAAGGCTGCAGTTGTGTGGTTCTGCAGCACTCTGAGTTTTAATGGCATGGGAAAATGCAAGTTTGCTCTTCTCTGGAGTCAGAGAAAATTACAGTGTTCCTATGCCATCAGTCCTAATGATGTTTGCAGTTTCATGAAAGCCAATTTTACAACAGAGATGAAATAGGCATCTCTCATTGACACCGTATCACTCCCTGAAAACACTCCTGGTGTTAATGCATCCAGCTCTAATTGATGTCTTGCAAATGTTGAGCACTATCACATCATCAAAAGGCTGCATAGGTTAAAGAACTTCTTACTGAAGTGGCAGTGCTATCCAGGGGGGGAATTATTGCTAGCTCTAGACAAGATATTACAATTTCCTTTCAGATAATATAGGAAGCCACAGGGGCATAAAACTTCTTGTTAGAACAGATCATGCTGTAAGATAAACTCACATTCAGAGAGAGTTCTGGATTTTGGCATAGGGCATAAAAGATATGGTAAAGAAATACTGTGGGATAGGCTTCTGGAGAAGTCCAGGAATTTAAACTTGGTTCTAATTACTGTAAATATATAGAATTTGAAATTTATTCACAGCTGTCAATATTTACTGTCTGTCTGTAGACACTGATAAGTATTAAATGTTTAGCTCTTTACAAACATTGTCATTTCTGAGATGAACTGGCAAGAAATTGTGAGACAGGCTGAAATATAAAGATGATGTAGAATGAATACAAGAAGAGAAGGGATTGTCTAAAACATATTCCAGCTCTTTTGGGTTTGAATACTCTTCTATGGGATCCTGGAAGACTCCTGGGCAGGTGGGGAGATGGCAAAAAATTATCTGCTCTGTCTGACCTATTTCTGCTCTTTGGTGATGCTGTGTGGTTCCAGTTCCCTCTGCTCCTCCTGAGAATGTCTCTGCTGAAGCTGTAAGCTCAACCCAGATCCTGCTGACCTGGGCAGCAGTTCCTGAGTCTGAGCAGAATGGTCTCATCCTGGGCTACAAGGTATGCAACTGGAGTGTCATACTCATTTGATTTTTAGTGTATTACCAGGACATGATTTTGTATTTATTATTTATTATTCACCTGCTGAGTATTCTTATTGTTCCAAAGTCAGCTGGAGAAGGTACAGGAAGTGTGTTGGCTTTAAAGGGGGTGATTGGTGAACGTTATCTCATTTTATACTGGGTGACGAGGAATCTCCTTCTCTTCAGTCCTCATGCAACAATCTCCTTCCTGTTATCTCATTTTATACTGGGTGACAAGGAGGAATCTCCTTCTCTTCAGTCCTCATGCAACAATCTCCTTCCTTCTGTGTCTCATCCACATTTATCCTGCAGATCCTTTACAAAGCAAAGGATTTGGACTCGGAGCCCAAGAGCCAAACAGTGAGGGGGAACCACACCCAGTCAGTGCTGCTCTCAGGCCTGAGGAAATTCGTCCTCTACGAGCTCCAGGTGCTGGCATTCACCCGCATTGGGGATGGGGTCCCCAGCTCCCCACCAGTGACAGAGAGAACCAAGGATGATGGTGAGTTTAAAGGTTGCCAAAATAACCATCTCATTTGATCCAGCCTTTTAATGCAGATTTCTTCTAGTGGTGTAAGTGTAGGCAATAAATATTTGGATTTTGGGGGGAGTTTTTTTCGGCTTTGAACCTAAAGGACATTGGCTGTACCTGGTATATAACTCAGCAGTATCAAATTGGTCATGGGCTGAGAATCTGGCAAAAGCACAGAAAACCAGTGTCCCCTCTGTCCTCCTTCCCTGCAGCTAATGAAGAGGAAGAAAACTTCTAATATTGAACTCTGTAGCTTGATGGAGATAATTTCTATTGAAGACAATTTTAGAGACCAATTATAAATTCCTATTGAAGTTCAATCATGCTAAAAAAAAAATGTGCTGCAGTTGAAAGCAATAAACAAATCTGGGTCTGACTGGACTGAAGGAAAGAGGTGGAATTTGCAACTTCAGTAATCCACTCTCCTTTTTTTTAACCCCAAAAGAATGAGGCATTGACCTTGGAAGCTGATTCTACCAGCTTCCTTTTGCAGCTGCCTCCAGCATTTCCAGGGGGTTCCCAATGCAGTTGGGTTCCTGAAGGAACCCAAGCAAGCACTCCGTGAGCACACTGGTGTGGTGGAAGCATTCCTGCTGATGGAGTTCTACAGAAATTTGGTTCAATTCTTGAAATATTTTTGGGCTCTGCAGATGCTAAAACTGCTTTTATTTTCATTACCTTTTCAGGAATAAATAGGTTGAGATCAGTGTGAGAGGCTTCTGTTTAAGTCTCTCTCTTTCTCGTCAAAATCTTTTCAAAATAATAATGGAGTAAACATTGGTTTACCCAAGTAAATTCATTAAGGTAATTTGGTTGGGCTGAAAACACATTTAGACTTCTGGCTTAGCAAAACATTTTCTATGCAGTGCAGGGAAGGAAGGAGTGGGAGCATGTGGGGTCAGGAAGAGGGGCAAAAACTCCCTGACATTTTTTTAGCCTTTTTCTCAGCATATTTCCTGTGTGTGGATCTGGCTTTTCTTTAAAAAGAAAAATAAGAAAAGTTACTGTTAGCAGAACTCTGCAGGGAGAGAAAAGCACTCAATGAAATGTACATATCAGACTGTAATGAGAAATACTTAAAACTGTTTGTTTTGGATAACCCCATTACAGCAGTTCCCTCCTTAAGTACATGTTGGCAAATGAAACTAATTGTTCTTCCATCTCCATACCCCTGACATAAATATGTTGTGTCTCCTCTGGGCTCAACTTAATTAAAAGTATCACCAGGAGTAATGCAGGTGGAATTTGTGCTGAAGGGGAAAATTCATGGATGGTAATGTATGAATTAGCATCTCCTCACCTCGTGACCCTGGGCTGGTCAGCACCATTTGTGTTAATGTGCCTCTCACCTGCCTCAGGTTCTCCTGCTCACACCTCAGTGTTTAAAATGCAAATGTAAAGTCAGGAAGCAGTTCAAAGCTGGTGCTGATGGCACAAGGAAGGGATATTATTGAATTTCAACAGGTATGAAGTGGATTCAGCTATATAACTTTCTGTAAAGGCAGCTTGGTGTCTTGCTTCATAGTGTGTTCTCAATTACACCAGTGGTGATGCTGCAGTGAGAAAAATCCTACAGAGCTCAGAGCTCGTGGTGCAGTAAAAAACCACTGTAGGATGCACTGGTCTGTGCTGTGCTTGGTGTTTGAGGGTGTTGGAGGCCTTTATCCATGGACAGAATGTATATTTATATACAGAATAAATGTGTATTGTGCACGGGTGCTTCCGACCACTGTTGGAGAGATCCAGCTTGGGTCATAATTCCGTGCAGGGTGAGCAGAAAACCTGTGATCCCTCTGATGTGCAGTGCTTGCTGCCATGCTGTCTGTGTTGCCTTGCAGCCCCCGGGCCCCCCGTGAGGCTGGTGTTCCCCGAGGTGAGGCTGACGTCCGTGCGCATCGTTTGGCAGCCACCGGAGGAGCCCAATGGGATTATTCTGGGTAAGGTGGAGCAGCAAACCCCGGGCTGCGAGTGGAGGGATGGAGATCAGAGCAAGCTGGGTTTTCCTTTGCCTTGCACATATCTCTGGCTGATGAAAAGAAAAAGTGCTGCTGAAGGGCTGTGGTGAGGGGACCAGTCTGCGGGGCTCCATGCTGTGGGTTTTCCTGAATTCAGTGTTGTTCAAGGCCCTGTGTCTGAATGTCATCTCTCCTCCCATCTGCGTTTGGGTTGGTAACCTCTTTGGCTGACTGTTGGGAAAACTGCCTGGAGACCTGGATTTTCCCACCTTTGCCAGACACGCCCAATGTTTCAGTTTTATGTGTGCTTCCATTTTATTGCTTCCTTGAGATAATGTCTGACGGGTCATGAGGAGTTAAATCCTATTTGCCTTTTCATCAAGGGAAAGAGAGGCAGCAAGGCATGACAGTAATTTGTGGAAAACCTTCTCACCTTCCTGCTCTCATAACTCTTGGGTTGCCTTTGCAATATGTGCACCAGCCACTGCTGCACTTAAAATGTGAAGACTTTTACAATGTAAGAATCCATTCCTGCCTCTAAAATTAACGTAGCTCATAGTTACCAAGCAATTTAGTGTTTTCTGCTGCTGCTGAACACATTTTACAGTAGTTCTGGCTGGTGAGTAAAGATTTGTGTCTCAATTCTGAGAACAGAAGCAAAAGCTTTTGTTTTTATCTAGTACTCATTCTGCCAGGCCTTTCTGCTTCTAATTTCACTGCCATCCTTCAGGCTCATATGTTGGCTTCCAGCAATATTCCCTAAAGCCTTCCTTGATGGCTGGAGGGTGCCTGCTTCAAATGCTCCTGCAGAGGTGGCATTGCTTTAAATACAGAACTTGTTTTGCATTGCCCTTAAATCTTGAGTCAAGAACTCAAAGTGTTTGCTCAGGTGTGTAGTTTACTAAAGTGATCCTGGCATCTGAAGACACAGGGAAATCATCAAACAGCATCCAAAGGTAGACTGCAGGATTTTCTGAGCACGAAGAGGAGTCTGTGTGAAGCTTGGCAGTGGTGAGCTGCCAGAGATGGATCCACACAGGGTTTCTCTGCAGCTCAAGGAAGCTTGGCTTCCAGGGTGTCTTGTGGGTTTGATTTGTTGCTTTTTTTAAGGAACTGTGTGTCCTAGAACTTGCTCTCAGCAGAGATTGAGATTTGAGTCACAGGATATGGTTAAGGAGAAAAAAAAAAAATCATTTGATAGGAGTGATGAGAAAGCACAAAAGACATTTTGCTCCCCCAACTGTGTTCCAACCTCTCACGTTGCTGCACTTTGTCAGCCTCATTTGCTGGAGTTGCTGCAAGATCAGTGGAGTAGAAGCTCTCCTTTATTTTGTCTTTGCAGAGTGCTTTGTGCAGTGCATCCCCTCCACATCTGGTTCTTGCTCGTTGCCATTATGGTGATGGTAAAATCATACAAAAAACAGGGTTGGAAGGAAAGGGAAAAGATGTCCCTTAAAGAATCTTTAGCATGTTTGGGGTGTAGAGTGTTGTTTCCAATTGTTGTTTTCACAGCCCATGCCCAGTAAGACTTCCCAGGATACTTCACACAGTCCATGACTACTGTGATGGTGTAACTAAGTCAGTTCATGTCCCACTGTTCATTCCTGCTCTTTTCCACTGCATACTTCCAGGTCAGCCAGCCCTCCTTTCACAAGAACATTCAGCTTTTTATCTTTAAGTGTGATAATTTGCAGATGCCTTTATTGAATTTCATCTCACTGATTCCAGACCATCTCTCTTCATTACCCAGATCTCTTTAAATGACACTCATGTCCTCTAAAGTGTGCACAGCTTGCTTTCGTTTCATTTTTGGTGTTTGCAATTGGCAATTCCATCAGCGAGGTCATTAATGAAAGTATTAAACAGGACCAGACTCATTCATGAGGTCTCATGAGAGCTTACTATGTCCTCCCAGGTTGTTAGCAAATCACTGATAACAACATTTTATTTTTTTGAGTGTTCATTTCAAAATGTGTGGTGTTTTTCTTAGATTCTGTTATTGTGTTTGCTTTTGGTGGGACTGTGTGCAACCATATTAAAGCCTTACTCAAAGTCAGTGTGGATCATATCTACTCTTCCCACCTGGCCAATTACACTGTCAAAATGGAAAACAGATTATTTGATATTTATTATTTGCTCCAATCAAACAGATATTGGCTGTTCCCTGGCACATTATTATCCTCATGGATGCTTGTATATTGACTCATATTTTTTCCAGGTTCTTTCTGTGTATTGAACTTTAGTTTGATTTGTCCATAATTCCTTTATTTGGTCTTGCCTCCTTTTAAAAGGTGGTGTACTCTGTTTGCCCTTTTGTAATGTTCTGGGATGTCACCTGTCGTCCACAAGTCCTAGAAGAGAATGGCTAATTATTCAGAGATGGCTCCATCTCTTCAGGGCAAATTTCATCAGGCCTTTCTGACTTGATTACATCCAGCTTAACTAAATATTCGTTAACCTGTTCTCCATTCCAGCCTGCATCTCTACTTACATTGTTGTCACTTTTAATCTGTGTGGAGGATCTTGTCAGCACCAACTTCTTGTTGTGTGTGAAAATGCAGCAATGCAGGTACCGGCCTTCCTTCCCTCTCTGTCTCGTCTGTCTTGTGCTCATTTTTTCTTCCTGCTGGCTGACCTGTTCTCCTTCTCTCCCTCAGATTTCTAATGTATTTATGAAATCTTTCTCATTGCCTTTCCTGCCCTTCAGGTGATAACTCACTTTTCTCTTTGGCCGTTCTGATTTTGTCCCTATGTGCCTGTGCTGTCTATTTATACACTCCCTTAGACCTGTGTTCTGTTTCAACTTTTTGTCCAATTCACTTTTGATTTTCAGGTCATTAGTGAGCTCTGAATGCAAACATATCGGCCTCTTAACATCTTTTGTCTGCATTGGGATAGTTGTACCATTTTTTTTTGTCTCTTAAAATGGTCAGCTAACCTGGATTCCTTTTTCCCTTAGAATTTCTTCCCAGGGTGATGTTACCTGCCAGTCCCTCCCATCCACCTCTTTGAAATCCATTGTCTTTATTCAACAGTTCTCACTTTTATTTTCTCAATGGTAGAAATACTGAGGTTCCTGGAGGAAGTAGTTAGCTGCCAAAGAGAGAAAAAGGGAAAATTGCTCATGCTGGGTACTTCTGTGATCTTTCCTAAGAAGTGAACCATGCTTCAAAAATAGATAAAAAACTATGTGCAGCGTTCTAAGGAAAGGTTGCAAATTTGGGAAGTTTTGGGGTTTTATTTTTTCCCTGTACACTTTTTACATCTCATTACTATAATGAACCTCCAAAACACCACTCCAACCCTCTGGTCAAGTGCACCAAAGTGGAGTCATTGAGAAAAATAAGTGAATGTAATTTTGTGTGCTGCCCTTCTCTTCACTCCTGGGGCTCGAAAGAAAAACCACTTGCTTTGCAAGAGCGACTTATATTCAGAGCCTTTGAACTAATGTTCCTACTCTGGCTGCCTTGTCCTCTGAGCATACATGCACCTTTGCAGCTAACATTTCTGTAATCTATATAAAAACATTTTCTAGCATTTCAGAGAGAGATTAGCAGGATGAAGTACTGGCAGGCACCAAGAGGGAAAACCACTTGTTTGTTTGTTTAAATATTTTACCATGCGAGACTGTGAGATATTTCCCTTTTTCCTTCTGGGAATGTTACTCCAACCATCTGAGGTTTCACTCTGTCTTCCTCTCTGCACTCAGTTCAGCCAGCACCCACATAGTTCCCTCAAATACTATTAAAGATAAATGAGGCATTAATGTGCATTTGTGCACTTCAAGCCATGAGCTCCCCCTGAAAATGAGAGCTTAACCCACATCCTCCCAGGCCCTGGTTAGTATTCCTCACGGTATCCTTGTATTTAGCATTTACCTGGAGCTTATTGCAAAAAAAAAAAAAATAAAAATAAAAATAAAAAAAAAATAAAATAAAGTGTAAGAACTCCGCCGAGAATTAGAACCAAAATTGGATGTAATCCATGTTTGCAAATTCCTATTTTGATCCCAGGCTGCATTTGCACACCCGCTGGCCCTAAAACAGATAAGCAGGAAAATCAACAAACTGGATTGCTGCTCCGCCGCGCCGAGTAACCTCGTGGTATCGCTCAGCTCTCCCCGAGTTCTGTGACAAATTAATAATTGTTTGTATCTCTGCTGCACCGTGGCCTGCACCAACGGGTGCTGTCACTTCTTGAAGGGCTTTGTATGGTGATGAGCCTGAAAGCTTTTTGATATTCATGGGGTGTTGTCACCCTCCTGCTGCCTGTTTGCTTCGGGGAATCCAGCGGCTGTGTTGCGGTGACCTAACGTTTAACAGGCAGCTGCCATTTATTGAGTTTGGGAAGTGTGCAGCTCGTGGAACTGCTTGCACTTGTGCAAAAAAGTGCTCAAAAAGATCCTGAAGTGAAAAATAAGCCTAGTTTCAATGAATAAATAAACTCCTGACGACTTGATATTTTCAGGAGGGTTTTTAATGCTGTTGTGGTCTGGTGATTGGCAGCACTTCCAGTATCAGAAGGGATTTGGGATCTAATGCTATATGGCAAAAAGGTTAAGAAAATGTATGAATTCTTACTGACCATCCAGATACTTCACATTCTGTAAGATATTCCTTTCCCCCAAAATTTTGCTCCAATCACCTTTTAAAGATTATACTTTCATTCATAACCTTTGATTTTTTTATTTTTTTTTTCCTAAGATATCTGCAATGTCTTACTGTCATAATCTAGCAAGGAAAAAAAGCTGCTCATTCCTCCACTGCAGCAATTGCCTGTTATAGCCCTCAAGCATACATTAATTTCTCTTTGAACACTTTCCATTTACCTCTATTGATTTGTCTCGTTTGATTTCACTTAACATTTGCTTTCTTCTCCTATCCCTTGTTGCTGAAATTCATCAACTTAATAATTTTATCTTTTTGATCTTGCATTAGCCCTAGTTATTATCCAAGTTGTAGTTTAAGTACTGAGTCTTCTCAGAAAAAATAAAATAAATGCTTTTTATGCCAGTCTGGATCCTCATTGTCCCAAACTGTCTAACAGGAGATGCAGGGGGTCAGAATGAAATACTGGGTGTCTCTCAGACGGGTTGTAGGTAGCAAAAAAAGTGAGCTGAGTTCAGGTGTTCAGCTTGGATATTTGCCTTGGAATCAGACCTATGGAGGTGTTGAGTTTCTTAGGAAATCTGTTAAGGTGATGGCTCTGGTCATGCAAACTGAGGAAAACAGATATTTCCTCAGACTTCGTGCCAACAGCAGATGTCGGAGGGGACAGTGAAAGCTGCTGCTGTTTTTCACAGGGATGCAAGGAAAGGGAGTTTGCAGAGCCTGTCGCAGAGACAGGCTGTGACAAGTGATTTCCTCTTTCTCACAGCTAAATTAATGATTTCACTAGCCACAGACCCACTTTTGTGTAAGATATTGTAATGGCCTAGATATGTATGTGTTCCTTTGCCTAATCTGGGTGTGTTTGTAATTGCTTTCCAGCATGACTGCCACCATTTAGTAGTAAATAGTTATCTTTCTATTCCCCCCTTACATTTTAACTACACTTCATATTTTACAAAGGTTTAGAAAAGAGAGGAAATTACTCAACAAGGATATGTCCCAGATATCATACTTATCTTTTAATAACTAGATAAATCAACTTTTCTATTCTTTTAATGTTCTCTGTTTCCCTCCAGGTCTTATTCTTTGCATCCTATATCCCTTTATCAAGCTTCTTTAGCCATCTTAGTTGCTTTTTCCTTCATCTTTCTTGCTTCTGTAAAAATTTCCCCAGTGCTTTTCTTTGACTATTTTTTCTTCCTTGTTAAGATCCTGCACTGGGGTTTTCACTCCCACATTCTTCACATCAGTATAAACAAAAAAGATCATATATATCAGTTCCTTCTCCCTGTTGCTCTCTGTCTTTCTGTGGACTTTTTAAAAAGATCAAAATATTGCAGCATTAAACGTACAGAAATACTTTGTTGAAATATATTGGACCAGTAATGGAAGAACTAGTCCCATGGATAAAAGGAGATAATTTGCAGGTGAAAGAATGAAATGTTGAAAGTGTAAGACCCCAAGACTTTGCTGGGATCTAAGCATACTCAGGAGCACTGAAAAATCAGGAGACTTTTTAATTGATTAGAATAGAATAGAACAGAACAGACTATTCCAGTTGGAAGGCACCTATAACAATAATTAAGTCCAGCTGCCTGACCAGTTCAGTGCTGACCAAGTTACAGCATTATTAAGGGCTTCATCCAAATGGCTTTTAAACACAGACAGGCTTGGGGCATTGCCCACTTCTCAAGGAAGGCAGTTCCAGGGTTTGACTACCCTCTCTGTGAATAAATTCTTCCTCATGTCCAGTCTGAACAGCGGCTGAAGCAGTTTTGAACCATTCCTATGTGTCCTGTCAGTCCCAGGGCGATCACAGAACCCGGATAGTTTGGATTAGCAGCAACCTTTGAAAGCCATCTGGTCCAACCCCCCTGCCGTGAGCAGGACAGGGGCATTCTCAACTAATAAAGGTTGTTCTGAGCTGTGTCCAACCTGACCTTGAAAATTTCCAAGGATGGGGCAGCCACCACCTCTCTGCAGCAGTGTTTTACCACCGTGCTAGACCAGCACCTCCCTCTCCACACCCCCTCCTTAGGGAGCTGTGTGGTCACCCCTCAGCCTCCAGACTAGACAAGCCCAAAGTCCTCAGGCACTCCTCACAGGACATTACTGCCAGCCTCTGAAGAAATCTAAAGCTCTCCACCCAGCTGTGGAAATGTTCCTGTAGGATTAAACCAACCACAGCCTGGGGGAGCTGGGGCTGAAGCCACAGGTGCTCAGAAAAGCCGGGTCACTCCTGGAGGTGTTGGTGCAAATTGTTCCACGTGAAGCAGCTGTAACTGCTGCCCCACGTCCCCGAGCAGCTGCCAGGGAAGAAAGGACAAGGAAACCCTGGTGCATCATCAGTGACACTGTGAGAGTCAGCACAACAAAATTAATACCATCTGTATCCCAATTAAATTCCACTGTTTGTGGCAGAGTGCACCACACGCGTGTGGCATCAATTCCAGGGACTGCAGGAACTCCAGGCCTTTTCTGTGAGTGGCAATGTGGCAACTGTGGCATATTCACAGTGGGAAATAAATGTCATTGGGTTTTCTCTAATAGCCATAGGTAAGATCAACCCCTCAGATTTCATGCACTGACCTTTCCCAATGAACCATGCCAGGTTTGGCTCCCCTTGGTCTTGTTACAGCCAATATGTGGTGGGAGTTCAAACTCTAGCTGGGATATTAATTCCATGAGAAAGAGATGGCTCAGGTGCTGCAGACCTCTTTTGTCATTCAGAGGGTGAGCAGAGGGTTGGCAGAACTGTGCCGTGACTGTTTTGTTTTCAGCTGGTTTGATTTGGATTTGTTGGCCGTGCTCTGCCCTGTGTAAGTCCATGGAGCATTTAATCATACATTCAGCTCGGGCAATAAAACCTCACATCAGTTCTGCTATTAATTGATTTTGGAAGTCAGCTGCTGGACTGGAAGTTACCATTGAGCTCCAGAAGTGAGAGCCTGATTGAATTGCTGGGTTTACAGAATAGATTTGAACATTTGGCAGACCCTCTTTGGGGGACAGTTGTCGCTAGTGGTGCGTAAGAGCCCTGGAAGCACTCCTTGCACAGTGGAATCATTAATAACCCAAGCTAAACTGTGAGCTCCTGATTGTCGGGCAGGGTGGAAGGGGGGTTATCACTTACAGACATCAGCAAAATTGGTTATTGAGACCTGCCTGGATGAAGCAGGACCACAGAGCTTGCAGGCTCCTTCCTCGCGCTCTGGGCAAGGGCAGTGATGCTGAATGACAGAAGGGTGGCTTTATTGGCAGTTCTGGCACTCACTGCTGAGGGAAAAGCACTTGCAGAAAGGAGAAGCAAGCTTTCACTGGAGCAATGCGAAGGCTGCATGGTTTGGTCAATCTAACTGCTGGAGCTGCAGCTAAAGAACCTTGAATTTGAGCCAGTGCTGAAAATGGGAGAGGGTAGAACAACCGGTGAGCATGGGTTGGAAAGCTGGAACTGGAGCGTTGCTTTGAACCACCTCAGCCAGGTGACACATTGTACCAACTTTGCTTTCCAAAAAGGTGCCAGAATGCCCAGGAAGGATTAAACTGGTTTTGCATCCTGTTGGCCTAAGGAATGGAAAGTGAACTCAGTTTCATAGCAGTTGTATCCAGCAGAGCCTCATGTGTGAGTGATTTCCTTTGTAAGGTGTGTGGCATCTGCCAAAAATCTGAGCTTTATAGCACCAAAAGCAGTAAATTACTTTTCTCCCAACTTCAGATAAGCATGTAATTAGGATAAACTAATAGTGCTGGTGTTCTTTTGTCCCTGTTAGAGATGCCAGCTGAGCCTTTTCCCCTCTCTGCTTGCAGGGTACCAGGTCGCCTACCGCCTGGCCAGCAGCAGCCCCAACAAGTTCACCACGGTGGAGGTTGGCTCCACAGTCCGGCAGTTCACGGCTACAGACCTGAGCCCAGAGTCAGCCTACATCTTCAGGACATCTGCCAAGACCAGGCAGGGGTGGGGGGAGCCTCTGGAAGCCACGGTGATCACCACTGAGAAACGAGGTAATGCTTGCAAGCCATGGGTTCAGGGAATTTGCCTGCCTGCCCTGGAGCCTGCACTGCACTTTGGGGGATTTTAATAGCAGGCTTCGCCTCCTCCTTCTCACCCCATAAACCTGCCCCAGTCCATGGCAGCATCATGATTTGAGAAAGCAAGGCAGACTTTTATGAGACACAGTTCTTCTAACCTGCCGGGCTGTTGGAATTGATTTTTCCATCAGCTGCTATATTGGCCATGTGCAGCCTCCTTTTGCAGTCAGATGGTTTTTTGGTTTTTTTTTTTAGCTCTCTCGTTTTCTAGAAAGATTGCAATCTTAAGAAAGTAAGTGATGGATGAATTATATTGATTAGGGAACGCAAAATGAGAGGCAGTGGTGTTGCAGAATTTCTCCACAGCTCCTCCATTGTGCCTCAGCCCTGACCTAATGTGTTTCTAATTACTCTGGCCTTTCACTGCCACACGCTCCAGTAGAGCCTTTGCATCTGGATTGCCCAGACTTTTTCTGCTTCTTGCATCAGCCATGAAATGGTTGTTTGCATCCTGACTCTCCAGACAAGTTCTGCTCTGAAGGGAATCTAGAAGGTGGCATTTATATGTGCGTGTAAATGAAACCAGATGCTTTGATACCAAATGTACCAAAATGTGAAAGACGTGTAAGGTATTACAGGATCTGCTCTGCATCACTGCTTGTTTTTAATGCTTTGGCTCAAGGAACTGCTCATTCCTCCAGTTTTAGAACTGATCTGTAGAGCTTCAGTTAAAAAATTTGCATTTTCTACTTTTGCATGAAGATTTTAAATTTTTTTTTATTCAGAGCTAAAAGAGAATATAGTGCTGAATATTGCTGGAGAACAAGAGCGTGGGTTTTCCCCTGGTCTTGCACATAGGCCATGTTCCACTGCAAAGAATGTATGTGGTCTCTTGAGCTGACAAAATCAAAACAAGCCAGGGTAACTCTACCAGCACCACTGGGTTTTGTGCTATGTCTGGATGTTGATATTTTTTAAGTAAAATTCTCCCTCAAAAACTAGAACCATGCAACTCCCATGCCATATAAAAGTCACAGTTCAGAGAAGAGCACACTCCAGCAGGTCACCAGGCCAGACTTCCACAGATGTCTTTCAGCTGTTGTTAGAATTTCTTCATGTGTTTGTGGGCTTGCTCTTGGGGCACTATAATGCAACCAATGGCATTTGCTTTTAATTCCTAAAATGTTCCTGATAAACCATCATTTGTTTAAAGTCCTTTCTACACCTTGCACATAATTGATTGCAAGAGTAAGGATCTCCCATTGTATTTGCCAACAACGTCTTCCTCATTATTTTTCTTTTAACATTTCTAAGAGAGGAAGTTGATGTTCAGCTACCAACAGCAAGAGCCTGTGAGGTGCATTTCAGCTACTCCTGGCCTGTTTGGTTTGGTTTAAAATTCCCTCTGGCAAAGCTCTGCAGGTCATGTGCAGCCTTCCCAGTGCATAACAGTGCAGTCTTCAGAGAAAGAACCTCTGGAGATGTACTAGGAAATTGGAACTGCCTCTGCTAAAGGTACTGTCCATCAAAGAGATTTATCAGCTCAAGGTTTCTCCCACCCCTGTCTGATTGCTGTCAAAGGGGAGGATCAAAGCATGACATGTAGAGGCTTCCAAAAAAACTCCACCATGCCAAAAAAAGTGAATTCTCAAAGCTCAGGGCCTCCCCTGCTCAATAAAATGTGCTGAGATTCCCCAGACTGTGCACAAGGATGCACAACAGCTCAAGGCAGAACTCCCAGCTCCACTGTGGGAACAGTGACCCCTTGTTGCTATCAGTGCTTTAGGGTTATCTTGAGTACCCAAATCACAATGTAACATGATCCCTTTCTCTTTTTGATGGGCAACTCTGCTGCGTCTCTACGTGCTTTGCAACAATAAGTCTACTGATCCCATATAAAATATAAAGACAACAATATGTTTTCTCACATCAGCAAGAATTATAAAAGGGGATCATAAAGAAATGTATCCAGTGCAGCTATTTTGCTAACAAGAAATTAACCTGAAATGTGTATACATGACAATAAATATTCTAGAATGAAAAGATATCTAATTCCTGTTAATAAATATGTATTTAATATCCTCATAGTCCTTGATACTAAGGTAGACAGACACAAAAATTCTCTTGAAAATTAACAAAATTAGTCACTCTTGCCCTTGTAAATTCCTTGGTTAATCCCAGTATAAATCTTTACATTTTGCAGTGATGCCTGTGATTTATAGATCCCAAGTTATATTGTGGCTGTAGTCTCCAGAGCCTCTACTGCAGTGCTTTGAATCTACACTTCAGAATAGTCAACATTGGTGATCAGGGCAGAACTGAGTCAAAAAACTGAAATGTAGCAAGAAATTAAAAGTAGTCTATAGAGTCATGTGGCCTTTCAAGCCTGCACTGACAGTCTCACCTTACCATTTGCTTGTGGCTAAACTCCCATAAATAAACTCTTTATACTAATGGGTTTGTACAAACAGTCAGGGAGTATATCCTGCAGCACGGGAGATTTTAAGATCTCCCATTAGCAGTAGAAGGAAACCAAATCATGGGAGACTGACTGCAAGATCTGACCTGCCCAAAAGTGCAGAGCTTATCAGCAGAATGTATAAAATCTCTGCATGACTCTCCCTCCCTGGCATGGAATAACCCCACGTCCCTGTCTCTGCCTGTCAGTGTAAGGCACTGACCTTTCGTGTCGTGCTGCTGCTCGCAGGCTGCTGGCACCCAGGGCTTCCTCCAGCTAATAGCTTACAAGTCTTTGGGCACTGATGTCAGCAAGAGCAGGCTGCAGAGAAATGCCAAAACATGCAGGAAATGGTTGTAGGGGATGGCAGGGAAATGAAGCGCTGGCCATACGGAGCTGTGAGGAATCAGGCAGGCAGAGGTGGGTTTATGGAAACAAGTGCTGATGAAGTTGAATTGAATTGCTTCTCAAAAGCAAGTCACTGCGGTGTCTCCAATCAATTTCTGCTTTATTACATGCCACACATTTTAATCAGAATCAATAATCTTCATGATAAACAATTAAACAATTATTCCTCACTCTATAGAGTTTCTCTATTGAAATCGATGGAGTGCGGAGACATGGTGACGAGAAAGGAGATCTGTAATGAAACAGTTGGGGGCTGGCATGCTTACACCTGCATTGCCATTCCCTGCTCATCCCAGAGGTGTGAGGGTAATTACTCTGGAGAGATCTCCCTCAGCACTGGCTGGTTTGACTTTGCAGGTTCAAAGTTAATGGGTATGAAGGGAAGAGTTGGGGAGCACTGGAAGGAACCTGCACCAGGTGCTCCAGCCCCAGCTCTGTGCTGGTTCCAGGCTGGGGTTTGGAAGCAGCAGCAGCAGGAGCTGCTGATGCCTCCTGGTTCCTTGCCTGGTGCAGGAATTCAGCATCAGCTGTGTGTGCTTGGACTCTGCCCCACAACAGCCTGTTCCAGCTCGCCCCTGCCTCTTCCTCATGCCTGGGGAAAGAGGACCCTGCACAGCGCAGAGAGAACAGAGTTCCTGGTACCAAGTAGTAAGAACAGGTTAAAAAGTGAGCTAATTTACACACAGAGTCTGTCAAAAGAGCAACTGCAGCCAGAAGCACAGCTGAGTTTCATTAAAGTTTGCCTTGCTTTGCTTGGCTGTCAGTCCTGATGATTCTTCTTTAACCTGCCAGGTCAAGACCCCCTCCCAAGTTTGAGGTCCACTGTGAGGAAGGTTTATATCCTGCAGTGACCTTTGATGCAGGGAGATAAGAATCAGTTTTACTGCTTCTCCTTGCAGTGGAAGGTTAAGGAATGGGATGGCCGTATGCTTCATGTGGCAAATCCAAAAATTCAATGCCCTTTGGCTTTGCCACTGTGAAAATCTGACCAGGCTGTCTCATTTTACATTGCTTTGAATTTCCTCTCAAAGCAGCTAAATTATGGTTTGATTGCAGAACGACCAGCACCTCCCAGGCAGGTGATGACCCCCCAGGGCGACGTGTCCTCCCGGAGCCTGGTGCTGACCTGGGTCCCTGGCAGTGATGGATCGTCACCAATCCGGTATTTCACAGTCCAAGTGCGGGAGCTGCCACACGGAGCCTGGCAAACCTACTCCTCCTCCATCAGCCACGAGGCCACATCCTGCCTTGTCGAAAGGTACCACGTGATCCCAGGCTAGCACAGAAATTCCCATACTTTCCCACTAGTTAGAAAACCAAAACAAGCATCACTCAGCTTCATGTTCTTTTTGGGGGAGAGAGGTTAAGTGAGGCCGCTGCTCCCATTTCAGAGGTGGTGTTATGAACAGCAGTTGAGAGATTTGCTGAAGGTCATGCAATAAATCTAATTAAAGTTGGGCTGCAGTGCATCTTTTTGAAGCCTTTCCTGGAAGCTCAGCACCACAGATAACACTACTCAGGCTAAATCATATGTAGCTACACAGTGCTCTGTAAAATACAACTAGTTAAAAATCCTTTCAGTAGTGACTGATGTTAAAATCCACTCCGAATGCTGCATTGCAATTATCTCTATATAAGCTTTTCCAGATGAAATGAGAACCATTTTTATCTGTATTTTCCATACTGAAGTTTATAGATAGCATCAGAATGTTTAAACTTTGTTATTCAGGCTTCATTATATCCTCTGCAATACTGGTGTAATTAAAGTCCTTGTAACATCAGCAGAAGTAATTGAATGTCTACGAGCAGGTACTTGTTTTGCTGTCCATTTCCTCTGCTGACAAGCCAGTACAAATCAGATTATTTCTAAAAGGCTGAAAGCTTTTAGGCTGCAAGGTATTCTGAGCATTCAGATACAGATTTTTTGGGTCTGTTATTAAAAGCATTGGTGGCTGTGGTATATGGCAGCTCACTGGTTGTGTGCCAGTATCTTTCCAGTCAAAACATGCAAAAGCAAGGAAACCATCTATGTCACTTGTACTTGACATTGGCATGACTGAAAACAAAAGATCAAAAAGGATGATTCACATTAATCAAGTTGCTGTAGATAAGTAATTGTCCTGATAGTGTGGCACTACTGAAAGAGATTTCTTCTCCCCCTTGCTTAAAAGCACTTTCCTGTGGAAGTCCAGAAGAGTCATGGATGTGAGAGTGCTGCCCATCAGAATGCGTTATCCTTGATGTTTAATCATTCCTTACAAGTAGCTTGGGTTTGTAGTCAGTGTTCCATCTGCCAGTGGATGGTTAGACACTACCAATTAATCAGTGAAATCCCCCATAAGTTACAGCTCTGCATTTCAAACCTCTGCCTGCAACTCCAAAGGCGGCCTCCCCTTCACCTCCCCTGCCAAGCCAAGACAGAATCATCTTTGCAAGGTTGTGTCAGCTGGAAATCACTCTTTGCATATCTTAAAGCACCACATAGATAAAAGAGCTGCAGGGAACCTGTTGTCACCGTCTTTATTACATAATCCAAGTAATGGCATCAATTTGGGATTCAGCAGGAGCAAAATGCACTGATCAAGTGGTGTGGTGTAAGGGATTAGTCAGGAGCTGGCACTCTGAATTCCAGAGCCTGCTGGACACTGGCTGACCCTGGGCACGTTTCCTGCCTCCTCCCCACCTGCCCTGCCCATCCATACTCAGATGGCTTTGGAGGATATCTCAGCAAAGCACCTTGAAAGCCAGGCTCTGCACAGCCATGCAGAACTCAGATAGCAAGCCCCAGTCGTGGGCTGCTCCCTGAGCTGTAGCTTCAGGTCTGTGTTCTGGTGGTCTCATTTATTCAGCAATAAATGAGTGTTTCTGGGAACTCAGAGCAGGGGTCATCTGGGAAGGTGCTGATGGCAGCAGGTGTGGGAGCACCTGGGGAGCTGAGGGAGACTGCAGAGAAAAGGTGATGGAGAGAAGACAAAGTGCTCTGTGACTCTGGTGGGCAGTGGGCAGGGTCTCTCTGGAGGCAAGTTGTGATGAGGGAGGGAAATTTCATCCCCTTTTCAGCCTTGCTTTCCCCATTCCACAGCCTGAACCCGTTCACCTCCTACAAGCTGAGAGTGAAGGCCACCAACGACATCGGGGACAGCGACTTCAGCGCGGAGACAGAGGCGGTCACAACCCTGCAGGATGGTAAGGGAAGAGAAGGCACACTGGGGGCTCCCCAGGGCTCCTGGAGCCACTGCAGGGTGTTCTCCATGGAGGCTGGAGTGAAAACCAACAGCCAAAGCAGTTTTGTCCACAGGAAGTTGACACAGGTAGCAATGAGATATGGCTGAACAGGCAGCCTTTAAGTGTCCTGCTGTGCCCTCTGATAATGAATCATACTTTCAGGAGTCTCAAAATGGATTAAAACTTCATTTGATTGGCTTCCAAACTCTGCACTAACCATTATCTTTGCAGAAATTGAATAATTTACAAGACAGCATTAAAAATAAATGTAGAGCCCTGCATACATTTGAAGAAGTTTCTTCAATTGTTTTCCCCTCACAATCCACGTCAGTCTGCAGAATGGCAAAATTGCTGAGGTATAAGTAAGAAAGAGTATGAAGCTCCTGGAAACATGAGCATTTAATCCTGCAGATCAGGACTAATAAACTGTGAATGACATTGACAAGGCTTTTATTTTTAGCCTTAGAGATCAGCTTCTAATTCCTTGATTGTATAAAGTCGATGCCTGAATGCAGAAGTAGCTCTGATGTCTTGAATGTTACTTTACAGGAACTCTGCAAAGTAGGAAAAGCATCAGTATGTGCTTTGACCCTGGGAAACTGGGTAATCCTGGGATACATACATGGATAAATATGTATATGTGGTTGGTGTGAGGTGGGGGGTCAATCTCTTCTCCCAAGTAAGAAGTGGTAGGACATAAGGAAATGGTCTGGTTGCACCAGGGGAAGTTTAGATTGATTATTAGGGAAAATTGCTTCACTGTAAGGTTTCTCGAGCACTGGCAAAAGCTGCCTAGGGCAGTGCTGGAGTCCCCATCCCTGGGGGGAATGGAAAGCCATGTACATGTGGCACTTGGGGACATGAGTTAGCAGTGGGCTTGAAAGTGCTGACTTGATGGTCTTGTCCAACCTAAATTACTATGTATATAACCATAGAGGAATTATTTCCTAGAGAGCAAGGAGTGATGAGTTAGAAATGACACTGAGATATAAAAATAGGAAGCCATTTTGCCAGGGAATGTGATCTTGAAATCAGAAGACCAGAGAGAGGACAGAGCTCATCCCAGAGTGTGGGATGTTAAACAGGAACCCATTTGATACCTGAACCAATGTGCTAAGCAGCCCCTTAAAGGCATCCTGACTCTCCACCTTCCTGCATAGCAGCAGCAGGGTCGGTGCAGGCTGTAACTGGTGCTAATGAGGCAGCACTGACTCACTGTTTTGGAATTTAAAATTTCATTTTAAGTTGTCTTTGAATTTAGCTACAGTGGATCCAGAGTTGTGCTTGGCCTCCTCACAATACAGGTGGGAAAAAATCATGAAAGCTTCTCACCTTCTCAGCAAACTGAGCATTTATTCTGCTGTGCAACTCCAGTCCTGCCACTTGAGCATTGCACTGTGGAGGGCTGTGAGCTCCTGATAAGCCTTTGCTTCGTGTCTTTGAGCTGCTGTGGAGTGTCTGGGAGGCCATGGGCACAGGAAAGGGTTAACCTGTGGTAAATCAAGCTGTCCTGACTAAAATAATATGTGGCTATGTGACACACACTCCTAAATTCAAGGCAGGCTTGCCCCAAAGATGGCAAAAAACCTCCTGAAAAATCTGGGAGCAGTTTTCTCACCCTTTGGAGACAGCACACGGCTGGTTAAAGTTCCTTACAGATGGGCATCAGGTGGTCTGTGGGCAGCTGGCTGCTGCAGCTTCCTCCAGGTTTATGCCCTGAGCTTCTCTTACTCTGCTCAAGCTGCCAAAGCCCCAGGCAGAGCAAGGGATGTAAGAGGTGTGCCTGGCTTCTCCCTGGGCTCCAACATCCACATCCACCATGCTGCTTTTGGGATCCACCACGAAGCAGCTGGGCTAGATTTCCTTCAGCAGTGAAGAAAAAGAACTTGATGAGTGAAAGAAAAGCTGTTCCTTTTCCACCCTCTTGCTGTAACTGCTTTTGTTTCCTTTTTCTCTTGTTTAGTTCCAGATGAACCACCCAGTTCTGTGATAGTAACTCCCCACACGACTTCCTCTGTCCTTGTGCAGTGGCAGGTAGGTAAAATGAAAAATTCTGATGTTCCTGTGAACAATTTTTTGGTTGCTTTAACTTGTTGAATTTAAGGGTACATTGCCAGGGATATTTTCTTGAGCTGCAAGTATTGTACTAACATTGAAGGACTGCAGCTACTTCCTTATTTGCCTGATCTAGCATAAATTTTAGTGATGAATGGAGATTCCTGTCAGTTGCTTTTACTTTGTCCCCCACTGGGAGGTAAAGGAGTGTCTGTAGCCATGTCCAAGGTTGTTTTGTGTCATGTTTTCCTGCCCTTTCATTGCTCTCCATGGTTGTGCATCTTTACACAGAAAATACTCCACGGAGCTATGGTGTTGGTAAGATCAGGTAATCAAAAGCTCACGTTGTGCACAGCCTCCTCCTGCTGCTGGAATGATCAGAAGCCTGAGATCAGTGCCTGAGATCCCATTCATACCTCTGAGGAGCTCCACATGCCCTCTTGACTCTTGGAGAGGGAAACATTGAGTTTCTTCAGAGAAAAGAAAAGAAGTTTGAGCTCTCTGCAGTCTCTCCGGGTTGGATGGGGAAGTATTTGTGTCAAGTCTGCATTTTATATTGGCATTTCCTCTGCCTTCCTTTAGCTCTCAATCCTGGCCTCCTGGGAGATGCAGGAACATTTTGTGATCCAGTGCCTGAGGTTTCTTTTTGCAGAATGGGCATTAATAGAGGGACCCCAGCGGGGTGCTGCACATTACCCATAACCCATCCTGGAGAGCCTCTCCCACCCTCCTCCCCAGACAATGCCCCCCACACATCATAAGGATAACTTTGGACAGATTGCATTATAGTGAAAAATGTACATATGCATTTACAGTACAGATGGGACTCCTTGAATTTTTGGAAGAAAAATATATGGATGAGGGTGTGTTTATTGGTGTGCAGCAGCACTTTCAAATCTGCCTGGCTGTGCTGCTGGGTGCCTGGCCCCAGCTCACACAGGAGAATCCTAAGCAGCAGCATTGCTTACAGCCTGTTGAGCAAATGGGAGACATGTTGAGCAGTTTTACCAGAGGAATTATGGAGAGATGCAAATCTACCTCCCCACCTACAACAAGAGCCCCCAGCAAAGGTGAAAAAAGAGCAGAAAGAGAGGACAAAGAGGATGTGAGGCACGATGGACCACAGAAATAAACGTTCCCCCAGCTGACTGATTACTGGTGTGTAGTTAATGTGAAATAGGTGGTTGTTTAGGTAATTGGATGCTTTTCATTTCATGAAAGTGAAATGGGGTTGTTGTGCCAGAGCCATCTCGAGGGAGTTGTGGGCGATTATATGTCATTACCACATGTATATTAATAGGTCCTGGTAATTCAACCATTCTATATTTTTCAAATAAACAAAAATCTTGAAGTCCCACAATAGCCTCCAATTAAGAGGAAGTTTCACAGCAGTGTCTAAGAAATAATGTAAACTGAAAGCAGCAGTCAAGCTAAATGGGAGAGTGGATTTCCAAGCAAAGCTAAATTTTTTACTTTGAGCTGTGTTAATAATTCACAAAACAAATTCTCGATGCACTATCTGGGCTTTCAGCTGCTTGGTCCAATCAGTCCGTTATTTTTAAATTTAAAGGAGGAAGAAAATAAGTAATTTCCAGTGAGGTCTGTTGTATCAATAATGCAGGGTTGTTTCAAATGTTCTGGAGGATGTTACACTTAACATCAGGATCATGTACTGTTCTGCTTCTACCTTAGAGAGAACAATTATTCAAACTTACATTTCAGTCTTTATTTATTTATTTCTCTTTAGAAAGAGCACAAAGATGTTTCTCTTACTTCTGTACACCATTATGGGCTGCCACTCATAACCATTTTACCTATTTCAGCAGATCCCCCAGGCCTTTCTACAAAATCCTAAATAATCCATTACATCAAAAGCAGAGTTTTGTCCACAGAAGACAGATAGGAAGGGGAAGACCTGACCTTTTAGCAGACTACCCTTTCCAGGAAAGAATCATCATTTCCATGGCAAAAAGAGAGACAGTTTGCAAGCTATTTATTTTCTGAGCTTTCCTGTCTCCTAAATCTCAAGGAAGGAAAAAATGGAGAATCACATGATAGCATAAAAACCCAATGTTTTATTTTTATATATTGTTTTGTAAGAAAACAATAACATCAGTGTTGGGTCACAAAGAGAAATTAAGCTTTACTTGTAAGGCTGTTACGTGGCAGAGCAGGGAGTCACATTCTTCTCAGCTTCAGCAGGGTTTTCCTTTTAGAGTTATGCAGGATATTCCACTTCAACTTTTTTTTTTCCCCTGAATTTGAAAAAAGTTTATTAGTAATTAAAATAGGAAAAGTCATAGGTAGGTAATCATAAGTAGGCGAGGACACTGCTGTGCTGTGGAGTCCTCTGCAAGGGCACCATCAGGGCTAAAGTAACTTCAGTGTAATACAGAAAACAGAAAGTCAAAAGATTTAAAAAAAAAAAAAAAAAAGAAAAAAAAGAAAATATCGGGAGAGAGATACTGATGATTTCCAGTAACCCCATCTCATCTTCTTGCACAGGAGAGTGTTTCAGCTGGTCCATGAGCACTAACATCATGGGGCAGCTCTGGAGGAACCTGGCACTTTATTTGGTCTATTTTCTTAGTCCCTTGGACAAGGGGCTCTCAGCCTGAGACTAGGAAAGGCTGTTGTACGAGACCTTGATTTATTTGCCTTGTGAAATGCAGTCGTAGAGGGAATATGATTGCCCTTTCTAAAATACATCACAGGAGTAAACACCCCACAGGGAGAAGAACAATTTAACCCAAAAGGCAATGTTAGCACAGGAACAAATGGTTAGAAACCGGCTATGAATTATTTAGATTAGAAATTAAATGAATGTTTCTAACCACCCGAGTGGTGAGGCTGGGAACAGCTTCCAACAGGAATACTGGGAGGCTGAAGAATCAGCTCCATTTCTTCTCTGGTTGTTCTGGTTCTGGTTTCTGGAGGTTGTTCTGTCTGTGGAAGAAGCTTTCAGCAGGTGGGGTTCTGCAGTGGGGAGCTCCCAGCCCTGATGATCCTCGAGGTCCCTCACAATCCTGTATCCACAGCATCGTTCTCTACTCAGATCCCAAATAGCAGTGAGAGGTGGTCAGAGCTTTGCCAGGGATTGGAGCACAATGATGAGCCTGAAATGACAAATAGGAGATTTCCACCCAGGCAGCGCAAGTGAAATCTTGGGAGGGTTTGGGTTGCTTTCAGCAGGCTCTGTGCAGGACAGCTGCAAAAGAAGGCAGCTTCCTTCTGGAGCAGGTGTAGTTTCCTTATACTCTGATTCATGTACTTTTCTTTTTTTGGTTTCCATAAACTGCAGTCTTTCTACTTAATTCCTTCAGCCCTCACCCAAAGCAAGGTCCTTGGCACTGAGGACAGTTCTCTCCCTCCTCTTGCCATTGCAATGGAATAATGGAAAACTCATGTCATTTCTGGAAGCAGAAGTACCAAAGATCTTCCTCATTTCTGTGAAGATGTCCTGACTTTCTTCATTAAAATTACATGGGGTGTTACCTTCTATTGTGACAGTGTTTCACACCAGCAGTTAATTTTTACACAATGCTTTTCCTTAGTAAAGTTCTCAAGGCTGGTAGGGATCTTTCTGGATTAAAGGCAAGATTATCATTAAAACCCTTTTCATTTATACTTTCAGCCCCTTAAATTTCAGTTAAAGACTCTTTAGAAGATAAATGGCTCAAGGCATCTCTTCTCTGCAGTTCTTAGCCTGCATTAGCCTCAGGAACGCAATATTTTTCCAAAACATGAGGAATCCATTTGCTTGTCTCTACCTAAGCAAGACACCCAGATACAAATCTCCATTTCAGTGTTCCAGCTGTGTATCTGTAGCTGAAGGAGGATGTGAGGGGCTGCTGGAGAAGCCTTCCTGAGGTGTTTTGTCTTTGAGCATCTCCCAACATGATGCTGAAAGAAAAAACCTCATATTTGAGCCATCCCATGGCTGTATGTGCCAAACTGCTCTGAGCTATTATGGAGGAGCCCTTGGTTTTCCTCTGTGCCCACACCAGAGCCCATCACACTGTAACTTCTCTCTAAATGCCTCTATGAGGTTGTTATTAGACCTAGTTTTGTCTTCCTAATCAAAGCCAGAACAATTTTTATTATTCCTTTTTATTTTCCTTTTTATTTGATCATCAGTCTTTCAGTAAAATAATGCCAAATGAAGACTATCCTGTGATCAGTCCCCAAGGAAAAGGAAGAAATTCTGTCTGTGACAAAATAATTCATTTCCTTTTGGAAGCAGTGAAACACTGTTTGGCTGTTCCATGGTTGATGGAAGGCAACTTGCATTTCCATGGAGTGCTTATTTATACTTTTCATCCCACCCAGGTTTCTGTGCACCAAGAAGGTTCACTGTGTGGATTTTTCAGTCAAGAGCCTTTTGCAATGGCCACAGCCGAGCAAAATCCTCAAAGTTGCCTTTAATTATGCTTTTGAAACCACACAACCTCCAACCCAGTGCATTATTAACGTCTGTTTTCAGCAGAGCCCAGAGCCACTGCCCCTGGTGCTGGATGTCTGTTGCCATGCCCATCCTAACCAGCCTGTTCTTCACGTGGGTGTTTTTCAGCCCCCCAAGGTGGAGAGTGTGAACGGGCTCCTGCTGGGATACCGCATCTACTACCGCGAGCTGGATTACGACACCGGGCCTGGGACAGAATCCAAAACCATCCAGAACCCCTCGGCTCTGAGAGCAGAGCTCACACGTAAGCCTGTGCTTTGGACCTTAAAATATCCCACAATGGTAATCTGTCATTACACCAGGCACTGCACCCCACTCTTGCCCCATGGAAATAAGATGTAAGTCTAAGAGAGCTGGGAATAATTCAGGTTTTACACAGCCAGCCTGAAGATGCTGAAAAATGCAAGTGACCTGAGTGTGATCAGCATTGTAATGGTCTGTGCTGATCTCTGCCAGCATGCTGGAATTGATGGTCTGTCCCTCACATACCCTCTGATTTCCTGCATCCCCCTACCTCCACCTCATAATTACCCTGGTACACTTTGTTCTGCCTTCAAACGAGAGACACTTCATTTTTCTCAGCTGGCAACTTTTGCCTTTCTTGCTTTTTTCAATAGTTTTTATAATTGACATTTTGTTTTTCTTTTTACAGTATGAGGAAAACAGCTGAGGAGAATTTTAAAATAGAATTTTTATAATTTCAAAGTGCTTGTCCACATTTTAGAAGAAAATAGCAAAGATGAGCAAGAATTTTTAGGTGCCTGTTTTCCATTTTAGCCACTGGGATTTATGGCTCACATGGAAAGAAGGTGGAAAGGGAGAGGAATAATAGAAAAAATGAAAAGGCTTTTTAGATAAAGGCTAGAAAAGAAATCAGAGGGAAGAATAGGCAGAATAAGATGATGTGAGGCAGATGTGAACACTCAGTAGCTTGAGAAATAAGGTCCAGCAATGAGATGTGCTCATGTAGGGACCAGCTTTTGTCCTCTTCGATGTCACTGGAATATTCAGAATAAGATAATACTCCAAGAGCAGGAGAATAGGGTTCAGTGAGACTATTTTAATATCTTATATCATCTGCCATGCTTTCCTGAACCCATAGAAGTGATTTCTACAAAAGCAAGAGTGAATTTTAATGTGGGTGTGGATAAGTGGGTGCTTTAAATATAAAGTAAGCCCCTAACTCTGACCTCACTTATGTGGTCAGAGCTAATGAGACTTCTCAGGCTGAGCAGCTTGAACCAGGAGAGAGATGTAAAGCTCTCGTAGGTGTAGGAATGCAGAAGGGTTTTTCTCAGACAAAAACTGAATGACTGACAGTGTACATTATGAAATCATGAATTTGGATGCTCTCACAAGACAGGGAGCCTGTGGAACTACCCAGTTTTGTCTTTTCCCTCTTTTTGTCTGGCCCTGCAGCTATGTTCCTAATTACTGTAGAGGAGAAAAAACAAGCTGCACCTCGCCAGGGAGTCAAGAGACAGAGAGAGCAAGGGGTGGAGACAAATGTGTTTTAAGATAAATTTCCCTCTTTCTCCTCTTAATTCTCACCTTAGAACACCTCTGTTCCTCACTGACCCACAGTTTTGCACAGCTTAGCATATTATTACAATTCACTCACAGCAGGAATCTTGAATTCTTTCAGTGAGACTGTGGGAAATCAAATTCACGCTTCAAGAAACAGGTCCTGCCCTGATCTAAGTGTTCACTTTGTGGTCCACGTGCCAGCTCAGTATTCTGCAGCTCTTCAGGTTCTGAATTTTGCATCTCGAGAAATCAGGACGTAATGCACCACTGAGAGCTTTCGCCCCTAGAAATCATTTCATTTTTACTCATTTGTTCTATTTAATCTAAAAGCCAGAACATCTTTGTGTTGTGTATTTGTCAGCTCTCTGTTTGAGGAGGAAATGAAACAGCCCCATGTGGGCGAGATGCTCTTGATGTGTTACGAGAGAGTGATGTGATTTTATTGCCCTGCAAGGTATATTCCTAAAGCTTAAACTGTGTATGGGTGTGCTGCCTCATTTGCCTCTGTCTCTGCTGTACATCATTTGCAATAACTATTTCCTTGCACTGTAACAAGCTTTCTGCTTTGCTTACCCTGAATAGCCCAAAGCAGCTTCAAGACAGTGAACAGCAGCTCTGCATTAACGACGTATGAATTAACACGTAAGTGCACATTGCCTTCAGTTGAGACTCTTTGTAATGGCTCAAAATATACCATGGGCAAACTCCTGTGGCTCCCCTCCGTAGATCCAGCAGAAATCAACACAGATTAATGACTCTGGCTTTCTCCAGTTTCTTTTTCTTTAAACCTTTGCTTCCCCTACGCCCAGAGACATCGATGATGCAAGTAGGTAGCTGTTGTAAAAATGTGGCTGCTGGGAAGGTAAAACATTAGTGACTGTAACAACCCAGTATTGCTAATGCTAAATGAATTTTGATTCACTTGCTACATATTCTGCAGTCCATCTGAGTTTAGCTGTATCACATCGTTAGTCCTATGATTCAAACATTGCGATGCTCGGGCATTCCATGGAGTACAAGGCCAATTTAGAAAGGGCCCAATGAATTTATGTGCATCTCCAGAGGTGTTTTCAATTGGAAATGAATAAAATAACATTCGACAGAGTTAAAAGGCAAGTTGCTTTGTGGTGCTGATGGTTCACTAGATAGGTTTTGCCCAAGGCTTTTGAGTCACAGATTGTGATGGACTAAAAAAAAAGAAAAAATGAAGCCTGATCCCCACTGCAAGTTGCATGCATGAACTCTCGTGTTCCATTTTCTTCCACATCCAGTTAACACTAAAGTCTCCTTTGTGACTTCTCATGGCAAAAGAAACAGTTTCCCTGTGCAAGCTGCCCAGTTCTATACGTGTGTATCTTACTATTGTTTGTTATTTCTGATTTGCTTGCTCCATCTTTTGAAGTCCATCCAAATGTAGTGATATGACACATAAAAAAATGGGGATGTATTAGGTATAATTTACAGTATGCCAGAGACTGGGGAATGATGCTGAAGTCACGGACAGATATTGGAGCACAACACACATCAACAGTTTTGTGACACTGAAATTAGACAACTTGCCTAATTAGACTTTTTGAACCATACCAAACCAATGGCACACTGTCAGCCCCCGTGTTAAGAGGACTCTGATTCATAGATAGCAGGGAAAATTATTGGCAAATGGAGAAATTTGGACCTCTGGCCATGCGTGTCTTAATTCAATGCTCATTTAAATAGGGCAATTTATATTATTGATTGCTCTCTTACTCTAATTTCCCTGTTAAGTATTGTAGATGATAAATATATCTGTTAGGATTGATTCTTTCATCCTGAAAATGCAAAATCTGAAACTGCTCAGGCGCTGCCTCCCTTAATGACGTTGATGTGATTCTGCTCCACCCTCGTTGCATCTGTTAATTACCCACAAACAATTGGGGTTTTCAGATTGTTTTCACGCTTCTCTCACTCACCTGCCTCATCTGTCAGAGTAGTTTCTCTGTGTCAGCAAAGAAATTTGTTGCCTGGTGGCCAAATGGAGTCCAGCCTTCAAATTCTCCTTTCTGATTTTGATTGATGGTCGGGCTGTGGTCATGTTGGAGGAGAAGATCCCTGTGGAGGACCTGGAATGGGACTCCAGATTCCCCACTGCAGCTCTCCCTCTGCACCTGCTTCAGCTGTTCTAGAGGAGTGCAGTTGCCAAATGCCACCCCTAAATAAGCATTCCAGGGATTAGGCAATGGCTAGGCAGGCTCTTTCCTACCAGTGCAGATCAAAATGAGGCTTTATGGTGACATTCAAAGCCAAATCCTGCCATTTTCTGTACTTAAGAATGACCTAGAGATGTTCCTCTGGCTAGTTATCCATAAGAAATAGAGATAAATCATTATTCCTCTTACTGGAGTAACACTGTGAGGAAACTCTGAAAAATCCTGCCATTTCATCACAAATGTCTTTCAAAATGATGAAAATACTGATGTGTGAATTGGGGAAGGCTTGAAGTAGACATTGCACTGTTGTACTGTTCTACTGCCCCTGTTCTATTCTGAGAGACAAGTCTGGAGACAAAGAGGTGTTGGAGTCTAAAAGATAACTGTAATACAGTGTAAATCATAATATATAATATTAATATGTAATACTTTACTTTTTCAGAATTGAAGAAATACAAGAGATATGAAGTACTAATGACAGCATATAATGTCATTGGTGAGAGCCCTACCAGCACACCAGTGGAAGTGTTTGTGGGTGAAGCAGGTATGTGAAAAGAAAATAAGTTGATTTCTTTTTTTTTTTTTT